ACGTATACCACTCTGATTGCTGTGGTCAGACTGCTGAGGGCGTCCGCCGCGGCCTCTGCCCCTGTCTATGTCGTTCCCGCAGCCCTCATTTGAAGGGTTGCCGCCGTTCTGGTTATTGGAGCGGCCTTGCTGAGATTCAGCTTGGTTGACAGAGCCGCCTTTCTTCTCTGTGCTGGCCTTCTTGCCAATACGATCATGAAACTCCTTGTTGAAGTTGTTGATGATCTGTTCAAGGGTCATGGGCTACGACTCCCTGGCAATATTGATACAGCGCACCAAGAAGCTGACCTTTGGACGTGCTTTCTCAAGAAACAGAAGGATTAGCTCATCCTCATGTGTAACTGACTTAATGCCGCAGTCCTTGCAAGCAAGCACTCTCTTCCGCCATTCTGTGATGTATGCAATTAAGCAGTTGCCGTCATACATGAGCTCTATTAGTTGCTTCCAGACGAGGCCTCGCTTGGACTCTCTGGTGAGCGTGTATGAGTGATAGAGGAGCTTTAATATCTCTTCACCATCTCTGATACCTTTAATCAGTGTAATAGGGCTGAGCTTTGACTTTGGATCAGTCTTAGAGGTCTTCTGTATGATCTATGCAAGGTTCAGACGATAAAATCGAGTGAGCTCTCAGCCTGGCTTGTAACTAATCACTTCTATGCTGACAGAAAGGGTCTCAAGCCACTCTTCAAAGTTATCAGGATCAGTGAGAAGCTGATCCTTAGGCCATTCGCTACTCTCCAGTTTATCCCAGGCAAGGTCCTTATTCTTGCGGGATTTCTTCTTCTCTTGGTGATGGCGATGGTGCTGAAAGTCGTGCCGCTCGTCATCAGAGTCATCTGACGAGCTTATATTAGACGAGCTGGATGAGCTCATATCAGACGAGCTGAAAGAGTCAAAAGATGGGCCTGATCTGCCAAACACGCGTTGTATACCAAACTGGGAAGGAGGCTCAAAGATTGACTGCGATTGGCGTAGTCTCTCCTTCAATGGACTTCGTAATGTCTCCACTGCCTTTCTAAAGGGTGACTCCTCGCCCAAAGAGCGCCGAAAGCCTTGTATCTGTGACAGGGGGATCCTGATGCTTGCTCCGCTTCTTGACGGTGCAAGGCTCCAATTCTGTTCTTGAAAATCTCTCATAATTCTCAGGGTCAAGACGAGCGCCACCTGCTTTAGGGGTGTTGGCGCTCTTGGCTCTCAGTTATTGCTGTTTGGCTAGTCTCTTGTTGGCCTCAGCAAGAGCTCGTTTGTATATATCGCGCTTTTTCTGGGCGCGCTTGTACTCCTTGGTGAGCTCTTGTGTGGTCTCTTGGACCTTGTTGATATGGTCTCTCATGTTTGAGAGATTCTGGATCTCTGTGAAGGTAAGGTGGCAATCTGACCTTGTCTTTTGTGCCTTCTTGGCGCGTGCGCCCTTCAAGATTTGTGCTTGAGGGTAGGGGAGATATCCTCACTATCTCCTTCGTAGTAAGTAGCCTTGTCTTTGTCGCTGTCCTGATCAGTGTCTCTATCATAGGGCTCTTCCTGGCCCTCTTCGTTCTTGTAGTTGCCGGTGACTGGCTCATACTAGCGGTCTTCAATGCCTCTTTAGGCATCCGAATACTCTGAAACCTCGTCCTGCTCAACGGCAGCGGCGTACTGACGATTGTCATTGTAATCTTCCGCTTCAACTACCCTCTTATACGCTTGCAGCTGCATGCGAGGCGTGACAATGCGCTGGCCTCCTTGGCCGCTGGGCTCGCCCTGCTCTATAGCAGTTGGTGTGGTGGGATCCATCGTATTGTTGATTTGTCAGTCAGAGAAACAACAGACTTATATGATTGCAGCAACAACTCAACAATAAACTGAACGAGATGCTACATGTGAGATTCTAGAAGGGTCACAAGCCTTGGGGGTGTGAGCGGTCGCTGTAAATGTTGTTGTCATTCTCAAGTATGCGCGGCAGGGCTAATCTACAGCTAAATACCATACTGCACCATGCCAGGGTGGATCGACTGTTCCTTTGACAGCCCCTTAGTGGGTACTGCACCTAAAGGCACCATGTCTGGGATCCAACATCTGACACTTTATGTATATATATATATATATTGTTAGATCCATGTGATTCTACAATCAAACCATCCATATAGAACCCACATGTATGATTAGATAAGAGATTAGATACCAGATTGTGAGGTCACCTAGTCAGACCTTAAGGTCCAGCTAGACTTCCCAATCTAACCATCATCAACATCATGACCTTGATCAAATACTCAAGTATTATGATTGATCGTTCAAGCCTGTTCCAACATATATAATTTTTACTATAAAAAAACTTCTTTACTTACCTTTGAAAAATATCCGTACGTACCTCGTCGTCATATATAAAAAGAAAACGTTTTAAAAATAAACGCGTTAATAAAAGCGCGGCAAGTTTATAAATGTGACGGTCCACAGGTGGTCCACCTGATCAGGTGACTAGTCACGTGTAGATTAAATAAGGGAGACGGGACCACATCTGCTGCAGCCTTTGGCTATACGCACATCTGTTCCTTTTTTCCACCTTGTTATTTTCGGAATACGACACCAGATTCCAGCAAACCGCCGCATGCATCGTGACAATAGATCTTAAAAAATGAATATACGGCATTACGACGTAAATACGCTATAATTACAAAGATATTAAGTTTTTAAAGTAGTTAAAAGATAATAAACTAGCTTAAAAATATACAGCATTAAAAAAGCCAATGTTTTTAATTTAATCAAAAAGGTTTATAATATATTGAGTTATTAAGAAATTATATTAAAAAGTTAGCTTTATTATTTAGTTGTTATAATAATAGTATTATACGTTGTTTTAATTCTTATTATATTTTTCAGTTATTTAATTATTTGAAAAGTTTTGTAAAAGCTTATTATATGTATATTTGAATAAAAGGCGTATAAAAGTTAATCGTCACAAATAAACGAACAGTGCGGCCTGATAGCAGACCTTGAAGGGACGATTAGAAACAGATTAACCAGAGAGTGGGGTGCTGATCAGTGGAGAGATCGGAGCAACATAGCAACGGTACACAGATCACTCGACCAGCAGAGCCTGGGTCACGTGACTAAGAATTTGGATCACCTTGGATCACCGGTGATCCAGGGTGAGCCACCTAATCAGTGAGGGAGAGATTGGATATATAAGGACAGACATTTCCCAACCAGATAGATAGACAGTCTCTATCTCAGTCATCAATCTAAGCATCTTAACCAACCCTAAGGTGGGAGAAATCTCCTGACGACTCGACTACACAGTGAACCCAGTTCAGACCAAGCCCCAGCATCTGAGTGTCTTCTAATTGATAGAAGCCTCTATCGTCTTTTGTGTTGACTTATCTCAGAACATAAACCTTATAGAACCCTTTAGCCTTATAAGTTAGACGGCTTGTCATATTAATAGCTTAAAGTATATAGTTTAAAATAGTTCTTACATTAAGATAACAAGAATTTAATTTCAACTTTATTATGATAATAAATAAACGCGTTATATTAATATATAAATGTGAATTCCTTAATATCAAGTATAAAAAAAAGGAATAAAATAACTTCTATTTAATTAAAACCACTTATTTTTAAGTTTTACAATTAGAATGAAATTTATAATTATTTTATATAAGGTTTTATATTAAGTCGTTACGCTAGCTATGGGTTTAACCTTAAAAATACGTGTTTTTACTTAGTTATTTTACTTTAATAAGTGTTATATGCCGTTAATATACCTTAAAATCGGTACGTGTTTATAACGTTATAAAGCTAGATTTAATCGCTAAGATAAAGGAACCTAGTGTTTGGCCTACCGGTTTACTCTGGCTCATTGTTATTTTTCCTAAGTATAGCGTTTGAATTCTCAGGTCGATATAACAATTCGAATCAGTCTCAACGCCACAGATCTACTGTTGTTGGATTAAAGGTGAGCCGAGAGGGCACCTTGATAGGTAGACACCGGAGCCTAGTTGTTCCGTCCCGATCCAGCCCCCTCTGGCACAAAACTGCCACGGTCGTACGAGGACACTCTAGAGAGACAGAATACACACACACACACTTCAACCTCACGATTGGCTCAAATCTGACAACTGTGAACATGCCGCGAAAGTCTTTACAGCGAATTCCCTAGGCCAATGAACTTGACAGTGGACGACGCTTATGTGGTCGAACTCAGCCGTCGATGAATGAGGAAGCGGCACCATGTTAGGGTAGCAGTCAGCGGCCAAGCACATGCTTCAGAGCATCCATCACCCTACAACGATTGGAACCACACGGCAATATATACCACTTTGTATGACGAGCTGTCCCAGGACCCAAACCGGCTGATTTGTGGAAGAACCGGATATGCCTCGGCCTCAATCTTAGCGTTACCTCGGTAGATAGGGCGCAGAGCTCACCTGCAGATTCAGGCGGGGTGGTGAGCTGCATAGTGCCCTGTAAAGTGGCCTGTAAAGTGCCTCTAGGCGGGAGCGAAACCCCTGCAGTATAGCAGCTGGGCTGCTATCAATTTACGGCAAATGCGGCCCGGAAGCAGACTCTCTCTCTCCTCTTTCAACCTCCCACGAGCCTCCGTCACCAACCCAACATGGGCCACTGGCACGGCGTCATCTCGCGCCCAGAACTCCAATGGTAGCTCTTCAACACTTCCGGCCCTCCGCATCCGAGAATGTACCGACAGCCTAGATGGGCCAATCTATCCCCGTCGCGGAAGTCGACAAAGATGCCTCCATCCCGCTCGCTCATCTCGTGGCTTGCTCTTCCGCAGATTGCCAGATCTGGTAAGTTTGGGACTGTCATGACGCCACCGGCTATGAAGCTGTGGAAGCAGCAAATCAGCTGCCGGCTCTGCCATGATCAATCGAAGGCACGCCCCGTAGGGAGAGCCGTATAAGATGGACCAAAGGCCTGAGTGAACTGTGGGAGCCGTGACTGGAGCCAGGTAGCTTGGAGAGGAAGAACTGTTGTCACTCCCAAATCTCAAACGACCATCGACTATGCGGTCACACGTCTTCGCTGCAGTGCTCTCTGCAGCCGCTGTAGCCCGAGCAGCGCCCGCCGACGCCTCCCCGGTCGACAGCGCTGCTGCTGCTGCCGCGACAATCACTTGGGATGCAGCCTACACGAAAGCAAACACCGCGCTCGCCAAACTGTCACAGGCCGACAAGGTCAATATTGTAACAGGTGTTGGCTGGAACAAAGGGCCTTGTGTCGGCAACACACCAGCCATCAGCTCCATCAGCTACCCCGAGCTCTGTCTGCAAGACAGCCCCCTTGGAATTCGTTATGGATCGGACGTGACTGCCTTCGTTCCTGGCATCCAGGCAGCTTCTACTTGGGATCGCGCTTTGATCAACGAGCGAGGCCAATTCATGGGCGAGGAGACGAAAGCTTCCGGTATACATGTCCTCTTGGGGCCAGTCGCCGGTCCTCTAGGCAAGATTCCCACCGGCGGGCGGAACTGGGAGGGCTTCGGTGCCGATCCATACCTGCAGGGAGTCGCCATGGCCGAGACAATCGAGGGTATGCAAAGTGCTGGAATTCAAGCAACGGCCAAGCACTTCATCCTCAACGAGCAAGAGCTGAACCGCGAGACGATAAGCTCCTCAGTCGACGACCGAACGATGCACGAGCTGTACTTGTGGCCTTTCGCCGATGCCGTCCATGCCAACGTGGCCGCAGTCATGTGTTCTTATAACAAGATCAACGGAACATGGGCCTGTGAGAACGAGGGAACCCTGAACAACCTTCTCAAGACAGAGTTGGGCTTCCAAGGTTACGTCATGACGGATTGGAATGCACAACACACGACAGTGGCCTCAGCCAACACCGGTCTGGACATGACAATGCCGGGCTCTGACTACGATGGGAATAGTATATTATGGGGTCCCCAGTTGACTGCAGCCGTCAGCAGCGGCCAGGTCCCACAAGCCCGACTGGATGACATGGTCCGCCGAATCCTGGCATCGTGGTATCTTGTTGGACAGGACAGCACTTACCCTTCCATCAACCTCGACGCCAACGTGCAAGGAACCCACAGCACCAACGTTCGTGCAACGGCAAGAGATGGAATAGTTCTGCTGAAGAATGACGGTAACATTCTACCCCTGCAGAAGCCCGCGAAGCTTGGCCTTGTCGGCTCTGCTGCAGTCGTCAACCCCGCGGGCATGAATGCCTGTGTCGACCGCGGATGCAACACCGGCGCTCTGGGTATGGGCTGGGGTTCAGGCACGGCTGATTATCCGTATTTTATCGCCCCGGCAGATGCAATCACGACTCGTGCCAAGACCGACGGTACTCAGGTTACCGTGTCCGCCTCCGACAGTACTGGCTCGGTGGGCTCTGCAGTCAACGGCGCAGATGCTGCCATCGTATTCATCACGTCCGATAGTGGAGAAGAATACATCACGGTCGAGAACAACGTTGGTGATCGCAACAACCTCGACCCGTGGCATAGTGGAAACGACCTCGTGAAGGCCGTTGCAGCTGCGAACGGCAATGTGATTGTCGTCGTCCACTCCGTCGGCCCCGTCATTCTCGAGACCATCCTAACCCAGCCCAATGTCAAGGCCATTGTCTGGGCTGGTCTCCCCTCCTCGGAGAGCGGGAATGCGCTTGTTGATATCCTATACGGAGGAACCAACCCTTCGGGTAAATTGCCCTACACCATCGCCAAGTCAGCGAGCGACTACGGCACGGCTGTGTCAACTGGCGACTCGGACAACTTCAAGGAGGGTCTGTTCATCGACTACCGTCACTTTGACAAGGCTGCTATTGCCCCGCGATATGAGTTCGGTTTCGGACTGTGTAAGTGCACAACTACGTTATCTTCACTGACTTGCATGTTACTGACCTCCCCCAAGCGTACACCAACTTCACCTACTCGGATATCGTCATCGAGGGGACGCCTGCAGCAGGCCCCGCAACAGGCGACATCATCCCTGGCGGACGATCGGACCTCTGGGACACGGTCGCGAGCGTCACCGTCACGATCACCAACTCCGGCGCCGTACAGGGGGCTGAAGTCGCGCAGCTGTACGTCGGGTACCCTGATTACGCCGGCGCGCCACCAAAGCAGCTCCGAGGGTTCGAGAAGCTCGCACTTGCCGCTGGTGCGAATGACAATGTCACTTTCGACCTCCGGAAGCGTGATTTGAGTGTCTGGGACGCAGCGTCACAGAACTGGGTTGTGAGAAGTGGTACCTTCACCTTCAGTGTTGGTTCTAGCAGTCGGGACATTCGACAGAACAGCACGGTCACTGTTGGGTAAGAAGAAGGTTGGGAATTTCTGCGCATCTCTGGTACTGGAATCTGTAAATATGAAAGGGAATACCATCTGAACTGGATATCACCGCAATTGAATGCCACCGCTATTTATGAAACCACCGCAATTGCTCCCTTCCAGGCCTCAGACAAAAAAAGTTGTATAAGCACCGCAACTCTGCTCATTCCACCGAGGAAAGGTGCTTATTCCACACAGGGATAGCTGCTTATACCACGGGCAATATTCATGTGAAATCATTGCTCATAGTCCATCCACCACCGTCGACGGCGTCTCGCCTACTTCCTGGGCTTTCGCAGGTTCTTCAGGCTAACCGTGATCTTAGTCCTCGTTTCGTCCAGCTGTCGCGCCTCCATCTTCAAGCCATGCGAGACGATCTTCCAGTCGCCCCAGTAGATATACTTGATCTCCGGGCCCATACCCAGCAAGATCTCGCCGCGATTGTTCGTATCCGGTCGCACATCAGGAGCACGCGCCCTGAACTGGTCCTCGGGATCCTCGCTCTTGATCCAGACGTGTTCCTCGACGACGTGTTGCGACGCATTGCCGCTCTCGGCGTCGGACACGCGGATGATTTGCTGGCTCTGCACCGCGGTCCTCAGCCCGATCTTTCGCGCAACCGACGACGCGCGCTCGTATTCCTCCTTCTTGACCTCGGCTTCCTCGATGCGCGGCAGGGCAAATGCCGTGGGGTGCTTCTTGACCATCAGCTCCAGCGCGTGGACGTTGGCTTCGGTCGGGCTGAGATACACGAACACTTCCTCGTTGTCGTCGTCGACCTGGTGGATGAGCACGAAGACTGTGTTCTCCGAGCGGTTGCCCTGCTTATCGTTCCAAATGTGCTCGTCCTTCTTGAGCGCGAGGCTCAGTGACAGTGGGTAATATAGCTGGTGCACGGGGGTGTCCTCCGTGGCCACCGTACGGTTTGGTTGGAAGCCAGAGTCTGTTCCGTAGCGCCGAGGAGGCGGCCGGGGGATGTCTGGGGTAGCGGAGGGTCCTGCGGATACGAGGAACTCTCTTGCTGGTTCACGTCGGCGCTCAGGGGTTACTGGGCGTTGTGGAGGAGTGTGAGGGGGTCGAGGAAGAGGGTTATTGCCCGTGGTGATCAATATCTCGCGCAGACTCATTCTTCCTCGTCCTCTTCCGCGGGGCCGGCCACGAGAAGCCACTGGGGCGCTCGGCTGCTCTACTGTCGGTACACCACGTCGGCCTCCTCGTCCTCGCGCTCGTGCTCGTCCGCCGCGAGCTCTGCCCCGAGCCTGATCGCGTCCCCGGCCTCTGCCTCGCCCTCGACCACGGGCCCGAGCAGGTGCTGCCGCCGGTGACTCCTCCATCGGCTCGTCGAAAGCAGCCTGATCCATGCCAGGCATAGGAACGAACAGTTCGTCCTCAGGGGGCGGCGGGTAGGTGTATGCCATCTCGTATTCCACACTGGGCAGGGGGGAATCTGCCGGATCCTGGTACTCCTTCGCCATGCTTGCTGTTGGTGACGTTGGCAAAGTTGGGGTTTTCGGTATAAGCACCAATTTGTTGCTTATCCTAGCAGATTTTCCGCGGAATAATCGCTGACCTTAGATGCTTATGCAACTTTTCACTTTTGGAGGATGGAACTGAATATTTTAGTGAGAGGGCAGTGAATGGGCGGAAAAGCTTTGGGGATAAGTAACAACTTTATGTTTATTCCAGCCGGTCTCCGATGGAATTATCATTGACCTCTGGTGCCTATGCGACTTTCAATTCCTCAAGGAAAGGTTGATGGATGGTGACCCAGGTTATAACCTTCGTGATGAGTTAGATGTGAAAGGAGCGAACGGAAGGCCGGGAGATGTTGAGGCGAAGGGATGCACCGCGAAAATGATTTGTGGCATAAGCAGCAACTCGGTGCTCATTCCAGCAGGGTTTCTTTCTCCTGGGATAATTACTGAATTCAGATGATTATGCGACATTTCACTCTTCAGGATTAAGTTGAAGATGAGATCAGTTGCAAAGATGTCGGAGGAAGGCTAAGGGGATGGTGTTTCCTCGGTAGCTGGCAGACGACCGCCGTGACTCGTGAGATACAGGAAGGGACTTCCCTCCAGGACAAGCACACGATGGTAGGTCGCACTGTCTAGTTACGTTGGGGGATTCCGAAAGTGTATTTGACTGACTAGACGAGAAGATAAAGGTTGTGCCAATCTAGGCCTGGTCCTAGAGTGGGTGGTGCCTTCTCCGAGATTATGCGGCAGCTGATATCTTCAGCTTAAGATAGATGACAAGCTGATTTAACATCCGGGAGACGATGGCCGTTGATCATCATTGCTGGCGACTGACTGGGTTGCTTGGAAGAGGTTCGTGAGCCATATCACAATGAGTCAAGATGAAGAATGGACCATCATTGCCAGCTGACGACGCTGTATCCATCCTCAAACATCTTCGTGAGTCTCACCCAGGACCAGAACCACAGAAATATGGATCGATGCCAACTGCTTCAACGACACTGCGTCCAGACTCAACGTCTTCACAAGTGTCGCCCAGCACCAGCCTGGCACTGCAATCCATCTAACTTCACACTCTTGTAGGAAGTACTGCTGCTGTGGAATGACCATCCACAAGTACCCATCTTGACACTAGTTCCATCACTAACACAGGCAGCCAAGCCAGCAAGGAGGAATCTGGGCCGTGGTGCTGCCGTAGCCTCTCCCCTCTGAATCAGGGGTCCATCCTGGATATGTAGCATAGTGATTCACCGAACCTTCATGTAATAACCATCCGAATTGGTGTAGGGGTTAACATTTCACGCTCTCAACTCAGCTTAAGTGTCCCGTGGAGCCCGGGGTTCGATTCCCCGATTCGGAGTCACCTTTTTTTCCTTGATGGCTGGCTGGCTGTCTTTTTGATTGTGTTCAAGTTGTGCAAACAGTCTCTTCTGGCTCTGCCCTACGAAAGTGGGGTTGATGGTTCAACTTTTTTAAGCTTCCGCCCGTGCGCGTGCCGACCAAAAAACCGTGCCAACATGACCGGTCGGAAGACTGCCAAATAATTGACTAGACAAAATGACAAAAATGTAAAAAGACGGTCCCAGGAAGGCTCGAACTTCCGACCTCCTGATTAACGTTGGGTCAATTTATTGTTGAAATTAACAGTCAGACGCTCTAGCCAACTGAGCTATGGGACCATTGGATGATGATTCACCCTGTTATGAGAGTATCTATTCGTGGAGCACTGAGTTCGCCTCGCTAGGGTTGGTCGGCTGTCTCCACACTCGTCTAAATTCCTCAGTCCTGGGATGCTGCTCGCCCAACCTGGTATGACATATTCACGATGCTAGACAAGACTCATACATCAAGGGCATTGCAGAGAGCATGGGCAGTCCGCGACTGCTGCGCAAAGGTGCAAATCACGAAACATTGGGAGACACGGTTTTAGTAGGTTGCATGGCTGATGAATTCAGTGCAGTAGGAGTAGGTAATCAAACCGAGACGACTCCCTATGAAAGCTACCGCACCCTTCAGGCAATGATGTTCGCATCAGCATTCATGCCAATGGCCATACTCAGGATAACCGCCCATCCACCCCTACATCGCATTCCGAGCTGAAAGTGATGGATCCTCGAGGGTCCCGAACTCAGACCTGAACAGCCTCAACCCTGAAGCCCCAGCGGTCTCCCTCCCGAGCCCAGAATCTCAAAGTCGGACACACACGGTCAAAGCCAAAGGCCGTCCAGACTTCCTCCTCCCCGTCAGCCGGCTCTCCGGCCTCGCGAAAGCGCATGTTTCCATATCTGGCACCCATCAGCTGGTATTGGTCGCGCCCGAATACCTGCATCACCTTCTCGTTCGCCAGCTTAAGGTGAGAGAAGGTGCCGCAGTACATCTCGGCGGACGGGCTGCCCTCTATGTCGATGTATGCGGTGACCTGATACGCATCGCGCGCGGCAGGATGCTCGTCGATGAACTTGAATGTGTTGTCGAGGATGTAGCGTACGAGCCCCGCGGGGTAGACGAGTCGTAGGGGGCCGACAGGCTCGACGAGGTTGACTCGATTGACTTGATTGACTCGATTCACAGTCAGTTGCGCAGGCTTTTCATTCTCTTCATTCTCCACGCTTCTCAACAAAGGACCGTCTTGCACGTCCTTCTGCGAGGCATTTCCCTCCAGAAGCAGGCGTTGGCTCTGAGGTGACTGCTCGTGGACCTCAAACACACCGCGGGTGTGCTCCTCCTGTATCACCTCGAATCGTAGGGGCGAATTCTCAGCAGTGGCCCGGTGATCTCTCGGGTTCGCCGCACTCGCCCGCAGGACCATGGGGCTGTCGAAAGCTTGTCTGCGGAAGAAACCCAGGGGCGGCTCGATCTGCATGCTGCCGGGCTGCCAGGCCGGAGTCTCGATCTTGATCAGGGGGCTGGGCGTCTCGATTCGGAGGACGACACCGGGGCTCAGCTCGACCGGCTGAGACGCGAACTGGCCAGCCCGAGGCGCCTGGGCCTCCTTGGCTTCCCGTTGACGTTGGCTGCGAGGTTGTCGGGGAGGCCAGAAATTCGGAGGTGCGTCGCGAGGGTAGTAGCTACTGTCGTATATGCCTTCGCCTTCGCCTAGTTCGCCGCTCATGCTCTGACGCTGTCCTTCTTCCAGGGGTGGTGCATCCTCGCGGAGTTCCTTGAGGACCTTGCGTTGTCGTTTGGATCGGCGAGGGTTCTTTGGGTTGGGGTCGTGGTTGTGGTTGTGGTCGCAGTCGCGGTCGTGGTCGTGGACGTGGACGTGGTCGTGGTCGTGGTCGTGGTCGTGGTCGTGGTCGTGGTCGTGGTCGTGGTCGCGGTCGCGGTATTCGCGGTCGCCCTTGCGCTTTTGGCCCTTGCGCTTGTTTGCATTGGGCTGCTGCTTCTTGACTGGTGCCATGTTCATCAATAGGTTCAGGCAAGACGCTAGATCGAGTGTAGATGCGGACGGAGGCTGGTGATGATCGGCGACATTCTAGAAGGAAATCACAACGCAATTCTGAGGCTTGGGACAATCACCCAGTTTGGTGATTATGTCGCCGTGTGTGTTTGCAGATGGTGGCCGGCGTTGAAGATTCTCGCAGCTCCTTGGAGGTGACATGCGAGTGAGTGAAAACGTGTGGACCAGTTATCGATATTGTCAAAGCGCCATGGAGATGGAGTTGCCTGAGGAAGTTGCTTGCCAAATGAACACAATGGAAGATGCAAACTGGCGTGGTTGCCCGGCAGCTCAAGCTTGCAGGCACGTAGGGGGCTACCTACCTCCTCAGGGACCTGATCGCGAACAAAGCCCTTATCATGTGGAATATCGTGTACCTAATGTGGTGCACGCCCTGCGTGATGTTCCCCTAAAGGGTGACATGGCTCTTTGATGGCATATCAGTTGAGTCTGGTCACGATGCTAGTCACGGCAGGTCTGCTCCAGATATCACGGTCACGGTAATATCTCCACACGTTCAAGGTCTTTGTACATGGTCACTGTCTTTTTGTCTATACACCAAAATTTGACAACTGCATCGTCCCATAGGGAAGTACTGGATATACATCGTCTAGCTCCTTTACACCATACTCCATGCTGCCAGGAAGCGCGATCAAGGACAGGTCTTTGGATTCTGCAGGGCGCGTTTCAGAGCCGTTCGCATGGCTGTTGCGTTAATCGCATACACGTAGTTGACCTCCCTCAGGTCTTGCATCGCAGGCACAAATTCCTTCTGGTGGCCCCAGATGTTACCGTAGGTTGGGCTGTAGTACGAGGTATCGACATTCACGTAGACTGCATTCACATTGGTCAGCCTCTTGCCAAAACACCTCAGGACGACCGGGTCAGGACTTACAGGATGTCTGGTTCAGGACTGTGCTGGGGTCGAGCATCACCATCATGGTCCCTTCATCCCAGAACGGTAGATAGGTTTGCGTCACCTCACGGGCCAGATTCGTGTACACATTGTCCACTTTGTCTACGTCATCCAGGTATGCATCATCTGGGAATATCGCGTTTGATGCGGCCGAGACAAGGGCTGTGTGCAGTCAGCATCCACTGATCCACGGGTAGTAATTCCCGGTAAACGAACTTATGTTGGGGAAGTCTGCCGTCAAGGCTATCTTGGCAGCTTCAGGGTCTGCCTTGAAGTTGAACTGCGTTCGACATCTGGTCAGTTCTCAACATTCCCTCCCCATTCGTCATTTGAATAGCTTACGTCTGTGTTGATGTCGGCCTGGTTCGAGTTCCCACTGGTCATGAGGAGGTTTGTGTCAATAAAGCCACCCATGATGTACAACCCCTTCGTCAGCGAGGCGAATTCAGAGTCCATCCTGACAGCCATGGCGATATTGGTCAATGCGCCACCACTGTAGATGCTGACCTCGCCTGGGTACTTGTGGACCTGCTCGACCATCCAGGCTGCTGCATTCACACCAGCCAACGTCTTGTTAGGATATCCTTGGACAAAAGCAGCTCGGTTGACGCGGCTTGGATCTCCGTCAGTTGGGTCGGCACCGAGCTTCTCAGCCGTCTCGTTATACGGCTTGAAGACACCTCGCTGCATCTTGTTAGCGTCCGGGTGTCTGTGGTCTTCTTGGAACGTCAACACTTACCCATGGCAGCTGTCCCTGAAGGGTCTGGTAAGTCTGCATGAGCTTGGGCGTCATCAGGAGAGGGTAGTCGGAGCCCTTGTGCACAGGGATGCAGGAAAGGTTGCCGATCTCGAGGAGAGCCAGTGCCATGTAACTGCAGTGCATGGCCCACGAGTCGGAAGTGTCGCCCACCAGCCCAAGCACATGCCACCCATAGTCGAGAGCCATGAGGAACTGGCCCGCCGAGCCCGAGTTCCAATCATTCTCGATGATGACCTTCTGTCCGCCGGAGTTCACCGAGGTGTTGCTGTCGTCTGTCGATGCGTAGGCGACGGCGGTGTTCAACGCTGAAGCCAGTAGACAGAGACCCGTGTATCTCATGGTGGCGCTGGCGAGCAGAAAGGGGGGAATACAAAGATGCTCAAGATGAACTAGGCAAAAGAATGACTTCTGGGGAACACCAATGACCACTCGAGGCACCTGATCTCAACCTTATATGTTCCTGCAGGGACCCGACTGTCGAGTGCGGCGAAGGTGGGGTGCGTTGTTCATCTCCGAGAGCAAACTAGACGGTACAGTGAATGTGCCTGGTGTGCCTGAGGTCCACGTGAATGCAGGAGGTGAATGCAGGAGGTGAATGCAGGCTGACAGGCCGCACACCGGCAAGCACCTATCGAGCCCTATCAACCATCTGCCCCACGCCGGCACCTGTTGGCGCTGATACCGGCTTTTGCTTGGGAAGTCAATTGTTAGTGGCGGTTGGCCCCGACGGGACAATCATCGATTGGTAATGTTTGTTCATGGTTTGTAAATTAATAGAAGTCCGTGGGCCGTCAGTCCAGATCGCTATTGTGGTGAATAAGGAATGGGAACAAACCCGCCGCATAACCTTGGGATGATGTTTTACAACCTCACCTACCACACCGGCACATGGCACTTGACACATGACCACGGACGACTCTAATCAAACCTCGTGACAGACAAGGAGTTGACCAATCCGGATTAGCCAATGTCAATTCCTAATGTAGCATTGGAACGCTTCCCCTTACCTCTTCCCTCACACCTCTTTTCCTTACACCTCTTCCCCTCACCTCTTCCCCTTATGGATGGATAAAGATTAACTACCAGTTGATCCTCTGGTAACCCTGTCGCAATACTGACACCGATGTGGAGCATGATTTATGTTGTTGAACACGACTCCCATGACACAATAATCTCATTATCTCAACGATATATTTCGGGGCTGAGTCTACATCTGAAAGAATGATTCCGAGGTCGGGCGTGACTAACAAGATGACAGCCCAACATGCCCTCTATCCCACAACGTGTGGCGCCGAGTGCCAAGAGCAAGTTGCCTGAAAACACACTGCATTCTCCTAGCAATAGTTCGGAACCGAAACAGCGGCCGTATACACAACAATGACCCAATGGCAAAGGACTGCGAGAAGCGGACCCCATTCCATGATCCTCTTTGACCCAGCGGTGGCCCTCACTCGGCTCCAATCAGGCGAAATTAGCCGGCCGGCTTCATATGGCTGTGTATCATACTGATTCTCCGAACCGTGCCAGGGTCATGACGGACAGTTGGGCCAAATTCGAAGTAGTTGCGGGCCAACATCCGCTCCGTAGGATCGTCTGTCCTTTCCGCGACGTGGATCCATGGGAGAACCTTCGTGCCCCATGTCCTGCCAGACGCGCACCTCGGCGCTTCCGGCAGATGCACGTACCGAAAAGTCACCGCGTGCCGGGTGTAGAAGGCCTTCTTGATGGCATTGTGCAAGCCGTTCAAGTCCTCTAGGGTCGGACGTGTGTGGCGAGGGAGAGGGAAACCGAGATGTTGAACAGCTCCCAGCCGGGCATATGGATTGGCGGCATTGCTGCTAATAGGCTGTATATCTGACACGAGATGTGGGCGTATAAGCAGGCACCCGATAGCCTGGGGCGAGACGGGCTCAAGGGCACTGGTGTAGCGCCAGATCGACAGGAGCAGGAACATGAGGTTGCCGTCGATGCCCAGAACGACTTTGGGGTGGGTCGAGTAGTGGGCATCTATCGCTGGTCTCTCACTTGCTCTGCTTCCCATATGGGTAATATATCGTGGGTTGTGATAGGGTGTCATGAGTATTCGCAGGTAGTTTTGATATTTGCGGCGCTGCAGGCGTGTGTACTTCAGCGCAAGGGCGACATGGCGGTGGTCGAGACGTATATGACGATGATCCACGCGGACGTGACGTGGAAGGTTCGTATATGCCTCTTCGTCCCAAGTGCTCGACCGGGGACAGGATTGGAGTTGACAACTGGTCTTGAACACATCGGACTTAGCGACTGGGTGGAGCTTCACGCACACCTCGCACACCCAGTGCTCGGGCAGATCACGGGCGAGGCCGGCGAGGTACTCGAAATGATCATCGCGAGACATTTGCGCGGCCCCTAATGAGGCCTTTTGCCGTGAGCGTTGATGGCGTGCAGTGACCGGCACGCATGGGAGAGGAGGGCGCGGCTGGATGGATCGAGCTCATCCAATATGTATAGGATTAGGTCCGGCGATAGTTGGAGGATGGAGCAATCCGAAGGCTGCTTTTTCAGGAGCCGCAGCCATCTGGCTCTGCTGGCGGCGGCGACGCGGTTAACTGCTTCGAGGGCGTACATAGCTGCGACGATTGCTATGGACTTGTAATGTCCAAGGCGCTGAAGAGAAGAGGAATATGTCCGGAAAAAAATGATCAGAATATAAGATAAGAGCACACTGGACGAAAGCGGTCAAACTTCACTGGGCGTATGGTGGCGTTGGACGAGCAAACCTTCTGAGAAAATCAAAAACACGTGGACAAAAGAGCAGATCCTGATTAAGCCCTCAGGGGATATATGAGCACATATCCTAATCAACCAGGTCCTAGATCCCGAGACCGTCCGTACTGGATAACCATGCCGTCTAGATCATTACTCCCATCAAACTCTCCCCACCAGACTCTCTCCATCTACCACCCGCCACCGCCATGGTCGCTATGATGACCATGATGTCCATGATGCCCGTGGTGACCGTGGTGGCCGTGATGGTCTCCGTGATGGCTTCCATGCCCTCCATGATGACTGTCATGATGACTGTCATGATGACCATGATTCCCACCATGATGCCCGCCATGCCCTTCATAAGAACTTCCATGGTGCGAAGAGCCATGATGACTACTGCCCCCACTACTTCCGTAACCACTCCCGTGACGACTATGATGCCCACTACCGCCGCCATGCTGCTTTCCATGCCGGCCCTCGATCTTATGCTCAATCACATTCGCCGCCACAGCACCCACCGCACCGCCAAGGAACGTGCCCAACTTGCCCTTCCCCAGCTTGTGGCCCAGGAGACCCCCAGCTCCCCCTCCCATCAGCGAGGCGCCCAGTCCGCGCTCGCCGTCCTCCTCGCCGTGCTGCGATCTGTAATTCGGATCGCGGCTGGGGTCCGCCGAGTGCGGGCGCGGGTAGTGGTGGCTGCTTGTAGAGGAGCCGGGACGGTCGTCCGGGTAGGGAGGCGCGGGGTAGCCGGCGTCTGAGTGGGCGGAGCCCGGGCGCGCGTATTGCGGTTGTTGCGGGTATGGCGCGAGGTGGTTTTGCGAGTACGCCGGTGCTGGCGACTGGGCGTAGGACGGCTGCGCGGGGTACGGCGACGGTGACGGAGCACCGTAGGTCTGCTGTGGCGGATATGGCGAGTGTGATTGTGAAGCCGCGTATTGAGGCTGTGGAGGGTATGGTGACTGGTTCTGTGGTGGATAGCCTCCTCCTCCTCCTCCCCCTTGGCTGTTGCCGTAGTATTCTGCGGCGGACATGGCGCTTCTGGATTTCTGACGACGATAGACACTAGAGATCGAAGTGTAGGACCACACAGGTTATTTTTGAGCGCAAAAGTAATCGCTGCTTGATATAGTAGCCCAATATGGTCGATTATTTTCTCGACAAAGGCGTTGGTTGGTTGGTTGGTTGGTCAGTTGGTTGGTTGGTGGTGGGCGAGATGACCAGATCAGGTTGTCTGACGGGTAGCGAGAGGGGAAGAAAGATCACAGGAACAGATCTGTCGAGAGCAAAAACGAGACATACCAACCGTTTAAGTACGAATCCTACCGGCCTCCAGCCTGACGAGGCCATGACAGCATAAGCGCCAATCATCAACTCCAGTAGAACAGCCTCCTGCGCTTACACATGGCCTGGCGCAGAGGCGAGATGGTGTGCGGAGGCGCAGTCATTCTGCCCTCGGCATCAGCAGATGATGGTTGGATTACATTACGCCGAGATGCCGGATCGCGGATGGATTCGAGGACAGGCTAGCGGCGGAGCGAACAGGAACCAGGCCAAAGGACGCCGTGCCCTGGCGACCTCGCCGGATGATGTTGCCGAGTTTGCTGCAGGTCACAGGGCATTCGCGAGGTTGATTGCATATAACGCGAGCCTTCTCAGCTGTGGCGACCACGAACCAGTGGGGAAAACCATCTTGTTATTGGCGAATACCGCTATGTATGACGCCGTCACAGCCCAGCGGTCGATGACAGGCATCATCCCAGCTCGCGGTCCCTACAGAAGCGTTCTGTGCTGAATAATAAAAGCGGCTATATCGGAACGTCGCGCTGTAACGGCATAGAACATGAAGGTAGGAGGTAGGTTCACGTATAGCAACAGAACAAGATCAAGTCAGCATACCCTGATCGAAGACGCCCCGTCAATCCATAGCTGGCTCGGGCGCATGTGGCCATCGTTTGTTAATTCGTGTCTTGGATTGGCTATGCATCTTAAGATATCCTTATCCGTCATCATGCTCATCAATGTCCCATTGAAATGCAAGCAAATGCCCCAGACTCCAGATGCGACCCTTAAAACTCATGTTAATGCATCATAATCGTGAATAGAATGTCGAACTGGACTTTGTCTCGAGCCTGTGCAGCTTCGAAGCATATATACGTTAATGGGCATGACAAGTCCGCCAGAAAGATGGCCAACTGAGTGTGTATCATGAAGGTCTCAAACTCCAACGCCAGCCCCATTCCTCCTCCCACTCCCATGCGAAGGCAGTGGGATCTCACCCTCGGAATCTGAGCTGTCGTCTGCAACTGCCTGATCAATCATGCGTTCAATGTCGTCTTCCCGGAGAGGGGCCCTGGTCCGGGGTGGTCCGCCCAGGGCTGCTGGCATCGAGAGAGGCAGTCTCGGTGCTGACCCGTTGATTGCCCTTCGCCGCGGCGTGCCTCGAGCTTGAGGAGACCCATATTGCTCGTCGTTCTCGAATTCCACGCGCTTGGGTTGGCTTGCCTGTGGCCGTCCTGTCGGCAGGCTCTTCCGTCCCTGGCTGTTGGTATCAACCCCTGGGCCTAAGCGGGAATTTGGCAGAGCTGTCCTGGCGTTGTTGCGTGGCTGCGACGTTTGCGACGAGGGAAAGGTATGTTTGTGGTTTGCAGAGTTGCCCGGGCTGCTCATGAACATGAGCGTCTCCAGCGCCTCCTGTTCGCGGACGTCTTGCTGCGGCGAGAACAGTGGGAAATCTATATTGGGAGTGCGCATATTCCGTTGACCCGGTGTGCTTTGTAGTGGGCTTGGTTGAGCTGGGGTATGCGGCGAGGCATGGTGCGAGGGTGCTAGATAGGCTGGGGTGTATCTGGCGTTGGAATTGCGGCGAGTATTGCTTTGCCCTGCCTGTCGCGGTTGGATAGGCGCTGGAGGAGCTAGAGTTGGCACTTGAGACACGGGTGACGTCAAGTTGGAGGCTGTGGTACTGCTCTCTCGCAGATATGCATAGGACTCGTAGGGGCGCCCCTGAGGAGGGTACTGCATGGCAGGGCTGGTAGCAGTACTCGACATAATAGCCACGTGCGGGCTTGTAGACGTGCCGTGTCTACCGTGTAACGTCGAAGTGCTCGATACTGGAGAGCCGGCTTGGGATGCGAGCGACTCGACTTCGTCGATGGAATGGTCCTGCCAATTGTTTTTCACCTTGTAATTGGCATATGACAGTTTCGCTTTGAGTTCGGCCGACCACTGCGAGGGGTCAGTAGGGGACGACGCGTCTTCCGGGAGCGCGGTACATACCTCTCCGGTGCGACTACCATTGGTAGAGGCCATGCTAACGGCGCTGGTATTCCTCGAATGTCCCTTGCGCACCGGCGATGTACTCGAACTCTGGCGCGAATGCTTGACCACCCCATCGGCCATTCTCTTCCTCGACTGAGCGCCGCCGACGTCGCCCTCCTCGAGACCTATCATCTTCTGCCGCGTGGCAGCTAACTGGGAAAGCTTCATGAGCTGGGACTCCTGGCTCGAGCTGTCACCATTGCCATTGGCAAGCCGCGTGCTGCCCTCGCTGTCGCTCTCGGGCGGGGTGAATATGCGGTCGGTTCCATTGGAGACGGTGGTAGCCTGCGAATCATTGCTCGAATCATTGAGCGGTTGGCTTTGGCTGCTGGGCGGTTTCTGCGACTGCGACGAGGACATGTTTCCCCGTAGGGAGTCTGGGTCGTAGGTGGGTTGCGACATGGCCGGCGAATTGGTTGGAAGCGTACGAGGAATTTGGGTGCGAGCCGGAGCGGTCGCCAGTCGCCAGTCGCGTGGTTTCGCAAATGGTATGCGGCCAGACAATCCAATACACGTCTCGGCAATACTCGTTGCGCGAGGCGAAGAGGACAATGCAGCTGTGTAGAGCGATATGTTGGTTGGGTTAGAGTATGTCGCGTGCTGCCCGAAGCGGCTCCTCGTCTCTTTGTATGCCGAGTACGCGTCCTATCCAGGCCTCGAGTCCTGTTGAGTTCAATCCACGGTATAGCACTTGCAGCAGGTCTGAGACACTGGCGAGGTGTCAGTCGGTCTATAGGATACCATCGGGTAGGCGATCGTCGGAGAGTATTCACGTGCGAGCGGATGGCATCGTGGACAAGGCCGACAGATGGCACGGTACTGATCGTGTGGAATAGATAAATATATAGATATGTGTGTAGTATAAAGTGTAAAGGGAGGTTGAGGTAGAGCTAGACAGACCGACGGTATCGATGTGCGATGTGATGCGGGACAGGCTTGGGTCCAGTCTCGGCTGGGCGTTGCAAGCGAGGCGAGTCCAGTTCCGGTGATGGATGAAGTGCGCTGTGGCCTTTGGCTGTGGGCGGGTGAATCAGCGATCAGGAAGTGTGGATGCACATGTACGTCTTGGGTCTACGCGGTCAAGTCGCGCCTCCCACCTCCTCGTCAATTCTCGGCTTGGACTGAGGTGGGGCTGGGGTTTACAGGCCGGGGGTCTGGCAGCTACAGGGTTAGTCCGGCACTGTCCAGACACCGTCAGGAGGCGAATGCCCACTAAAAGTCTGGTCTAGTGTGCCCCGACGCCCTGTAGCGTCCACGTGTAGCGTTCTGGCATCCATGCGGATCTTGCCGTGTGGGTGATCACCAGTGGTCAGTCGCGCCCGTCGCGCTGACCAGAATCACACCCATTCATAGCCATTATTCACCAGGCGCATACCATGGCACCCGACACTTATTATTGATAACAAGCTATGCGATCCGGACTTTGCTGATTCCCATCATTACACAAGGTGTATGATATGGATACAAGTATGTATTTCTTCCAGTTCGACTTAAGGAGCTCCTGGGTCGACCAGACAAGTCTGTCTGTTTCTGTGCGAGGGAAGAAGGATCAAGTCCATCGATGACACGGGCGGATGTCACTAAATCCTCCACGCACATGATACATCCTAAGGCAAGGCACTTGATGAGGAGGTGCGTGTACCTGTTCATCGGAAGACCGTGCCTGCGAGCAAGGTGCAAACATCGAGTCCATTGCGGGAAAATGGCGCGCTTGTTTACGCATCAGAACTGTCCCGAGTCAGTTCATGTTGCAACTTGCAGAGCTCGGCCCAGCTCGACACGAAGTCACGTGCCAGCAAGCCAATCGCCACCTCCAGACCCCTAACGGTCCCAATCTGAAGCCATCTTCGTGGTCTTGCTTCCATGCATATGTTGGCATGTTGGCACGGTCCCGTCTATCTGCGGAAGAGTGTGAAAAACAGTCTTCGTGCCCATACCACTCATCGACGGAGCAGGCACGACAGCTGGGGCGCTCATCCCATAGGCCACTACGGCTCACCCTTTTGCCGTTGGCACGCTCATGGACCTCAGGAAGGTGAAGGAGAAGGTGGAATACCTGATATCAGAGCTATATCACGTCAGAGCGGCGCGCGAGTTGACGCTCTCCTCTACTGTCGCTCCTCACCATCGAAGCTGCAAGCCTCCGCCCACCTCTTTTCTGCGTCGATCAGAGCAAACCTCTTGTCTTGACAATCCTCTTCGACCCCGCTAGCCAAAAGCGAAAGTTCATACCTGGCGACTGTCCAGAGCATCCCGTGCGTGTACCAGATCCGCTGAAAGCGTTGTCGTGGAGATCGCTTCTGGGGGAGCCTCGAAAGGTCGAACCACAGACGCTGAAAGTGATCCGACTGCCGCAGCGGCGCCAGTTGACATGCTTCTTGGCGCGAGCTTTCCGGCGACGGCTGGAATAGCGCTTCGGGTTCGCTGACTGCGCTTAAGGACCTCGTATAGTGTTCCTGCAGGGGATATTCTGTCAAGATCGCAATGTCTTTCTTGTCAAAAACGCAGGGTTCCGCCTGTTGGTCGTCGGTCTTCGCACTCTCGACATCTTGGGTCTCGGTGTCTTCGCCGTGTGGTAATGATGGCTTGAGTTCGTCCCCAGCTTTGGTCTGGAAAAAACTTGCCCCGAGTCCAACGTCCATTGACCAGGGCTCAGTTCTACCGACTTGTCCATCCGGTGGCCTGATGTCGACTACAGTCGGTTGAGACTCGTGGGCATGTCTAGGCGAATCTTGCGAGGGCTGTGTGCAGTCAGACTTGAGAGCATTTGTCAACAACAACTACGGTGTGTTGCTCAATGTCATTTACATCGTGTCTCGCACTCGCTGACATTGGTTATGGTGTTATATTTACCATCATTGCCAAATTTGCTGGTGGTGTTGCTGGTCTGGGTCAGATGGTCGACTCTCGAGCTGCAGTATTCGCACGAATAGCCTGCGTTTATACCCAGCAGGCTGTGTGTCTCGTGGCATGAAGAGCCCACGCTAAGTGATCTATATGGAGAGCATCGATGCAATGTGCCAGAGATGGGTAACCTTCAGTTCCAGCGTTTTTAGGTTTGAGAAGATTCTCAGCCACGAAGAGTTTTGTCAACTCTATTTACTGTTTAATCTTTCTCCGATGGGTTAAATGCTCATTAACCCCTCTGAACATCTCTTGCGTTTCGGAGGTGGTTCTTTTGCTGCATATATATATGTCGCCCTCTGGTTGCGCTGTGGACTAGTTTTTCCTCCCCATCCCTTTCAGCAACACACATCAGAAGCTTTGAACCATCTTCGAGAGTACTATCGATTGAACGCCTCAGACCAGCGTCATAATTGCTTACTCAATCCACACGGATCTGACCTCAGCCGTCAATATGTCAAGCAGCAACGCACCTATCATAGCGGACGGATCCAACGAGGGACGGCGCACCCAGCTCAATCCTGCGGCCGCTCCGTTTGTGCCATTCTCGACCCGTACGCTGCCTCTTCACGTCCAGGCACAGGCACACAGCAATCCTGCGGCCGCTCCGTCTGTTCCAAACTGGCCTCATCCGCTGCCCCTTCACGTCCAGGCACACACCAAGCCAAGCACCCAGCTACACCACACGGAGTTCATGGCGAACAAGCCGACCTTAGCTCAAATGTGGACATACGAGTTCTTGAGAACTGTAGTGGGATGCCCTGAGATGCTAGCACGTTATGAGGCAGGATTCGTCGTTGACCCTGCTTCCTTGAGGGTGTTTTCGAGCCTGAAAGCCCTAGAGACGCCCAGCATGGAGCTCATGACAGACGAGCAACTGTGGCGGGGAATACAAAGGTTACGGATAACCCGGGACTCACGGGGCAACGGGACTTCTGCTCGGTCGAGAACTACCTCTTCTGGGACCGTGGCCTCGTCCGCTGGGACGCTCACGACTGACCCGGGCCCGACGTCCAACAGCTGCACCAAACCAACGGGCAGCTACCAGTTTCCTCGGGGTCCGACTCTTCCGATCCAAGCGGTCCTTCTTCTGCTACCGCCAGCTAACCCGCCAACTGCGACGCCGTCGAGTCCGAGTGATCATCCTGTTGGTCCTTTAGCCTCACAGGCACCTACGAGCATAAGTTCCTCGCTCTCACCTGGTGGACTAGGCGTCGCTGTTCTGGTCTCATGGATGGAAGAGGTTCTGCACTCATCCTGCTTGACTCCTCGCTCCTGACGGGTCGATCAGACCGACCTTGTTGTTCGGGTTGCCTGGATGGGGCAGGTTCTGGGCTGTTGGTCCCAGGCGTATGGCGGTGTATTTATTCATCTGTCTGTATCATGCTTACATAGTTTAATAATTCTAGTGCAATTTAAAACACAACGGCATAATACACTGAGCCTCCAAACGTCTACGTATACCCCCTCGTTACGATCATTTAATTACATAATGAGGGCTTCATGAACAGGGAGGGCAACCCTCACATACCACCTGCATGCTTAGTTGAGAGAGGCCGTAATCATCGCTTTGGAAATTATGAGTATGAACCAGCGAGTTGCATCTATTCTGGGTTCGAAGACAGTTCATCGTCCAGAATGTTGCGTGCCCATGGAAGCACACTATAATATACGCGTCCGCTGACAAAGTGTTGGTATTAAACATAAGTTGCTCCATAGGGGTGCTTATGAAGTACTGTTGCTGTGAAACAACTATTTCATACCTAGGTACTTGTGTACATACCTTTCAACGTTGGTGTCGTAATCCCACAATCTTCAAGCATTGAACATGGCGATAGCAAACCGTGGCACGATCATTGGCTATTTAGGTATTGTATAATTGATGCTGAATAGTTCATACATGAACTAGGTCGCCGTCGCCATCATCAAGGTGCATCGCGCAACCCCCATCATTCTTCTTCATGACTGACGTCTGATCCTGTGCCGGGCAGGTCAAAGGTACACCGAAAATCATGCAGGGAGGTCTCTACTTGCCAGTCTAGCACTGCTCATTGATTACGGGCTGAGTGGTTCTACAGGCCCCATCGGCCCGCACCCGTTTTTCCTCGTACAGCACAACAACTTCACAGACATTGCGGTTGACAACCGAGCCAAACTCTGCCCGTCCGCTTCCCTGGTTATATGGTCTGAAAAGAATTCAATGGATGGTGTTTTTCATTCGACGCCTTTCTTGTTAGACAGTCTCAGGTAACCATCCTCGTCACGGTCCAAGCACGCGGCGGGAACGGACTGACTGCTCATGGATCACGAACACCGTATTAATATTTACATGCATCATGTACTGCCAATACAACCTCAAGTTTACGGCTACGGTCAAGCAGGACCTTCGTGATACCTCCCACGGTTAGTCTTATATAGACACAAAGAAAACTCACCGAGGAGGGAGACCTTGGCTACCCCCAGCAGCTGTCACGGTACTAGAAGATAGCTCCACAGCCCCAGAGGTCAACCCCTATATATACCAGATCATGTCACCTAGCTACCTTCATAGTTTATCTACATCAACAAAGTCATTTCTGGATTTACCGGCTGTCGAACTGTGACAGCAGCCCAGTTGGGGGAGACAGGAGTCATACCCCTGAATATGCCCAGCATCCACAGATCTCTTCGCATCATCTCCCACGTGGTGTGTTGAACATTTGGACAACAGTAAGTAACTGTACGAGGACTACATGTGACCATAGGTACCACCAGCACTATGAATACCTGTGAAGTACATGTTTTGGTATTTTCTTCTCCGAAATATACATGCTTCAAACTTCGACCTCAGCAGGGTCTCATGGGTGCTACGCTTGCATGCATCTCGGAAATAGAGGCTTAGCTTAATACCCCTTCAAGTTGTAGTACTGCTAGCGATGCGTATTCCGCGTGCACATCCCGTGTGGAGAGGAAATGGCTGATATGCCTCAGATGCCACAGGTGTTTGCTCGGTGCATGTGTCGACACTGTTTAAATTTTCCAATCCATTTCAAATTCGAAAGCTGAAGGCCCTTTGGCAGCTGTCAACGTTGATGCCTGAGGCTGCCCCCATTTCCCTTCCACACAAAAGCATTGACCTCAAATCTGCGCACTTGTTCTCCGCCCTTCTTTCACCCAACGACAACAACATCGCACACTTTCCACAAGCACACAAATTTATGTCTGCACTGTTGAAACTGCCATCATCTGTTGTTGCTTTCGCGTTTTGTCACGTTTCCTGGCATCGCAATCTCAATCCACACACTCGACCTTCTCGTCATCCGATTTCGCGAGTTCAAGATGTCGTACAAAGACCAGCTCGCCGCCGCGTTCACCACCGCGTAAGTACCATTCACCCTCCATCATGCATTCAATTGACCAACTGCTAACCTCTCTCTAGAATGACCGTCTGCCTGCTCTTTTGCGGCACCGTGAGCCCTTGCATCTCCGGCCTGCTGGTCTGGTTCCCCTTCGGAGGAGACTATGACGACAAGATCAAGTCTCTGACCCCCTGGATGCTGGTCTTCGCTGGCCCGGTTTCAAGCACCATCTCTCTCTACTGCCCCTACGACCAATGTTACAACTTCTGTTGCTTCCTCCTCTTCGTCCTCTGGTACTACAAGAAAGATTACACCAGAGCCGCCGTCGCTGGTCTCTCTCTTCCTCTCGTCTACGCCGACCAACGCGACTGGACTAAGACCAAACTCTACACCACCATCGAGCTTCTCGTCGTCTCCTCTCCTTACATCAAACGACCCGACTACCATTCGTTCATGCACGATCGCGTGGCGCCATTCCTCCTCTATCTCGCGAGGTCAATCGACCCCGAGGTTGGCACGACTCCGGCCCAGCCTCAGCCCACGCTCTCGGATGCCGGTACCATGACGGAAGATATCACCCCGCCGCCGGCCCCTCTCTCTCTCTCTCGATCTCGAAGATATTCACAGCCGAGATCGAGCCCGCCGATGCAACGACCGAAGCACCGCCGCCGCCGCCCCCTGCTCGTCCGGCCAAAGTGGCCACCAAGCCCAAGGAGCTCGTCTTGCCCGCTGCCCACCGCCAGACTGCCATTGGCAGTAAGTCGCGCAAAGCACGGCTGATGGAAGAGTACCTGTCAAAGCCCATGTCGAAGCCCGTCTCGAAGCCCGAGATGGCTCTTGCCTGCATCCCTCCTCCGGTCCTCGCCCCTGCCTCTGTCGTTGCTGTGCCGGCTGCTGCCGACCCCGTCTCGGTGACTTTGCCGGTTGCTGTTACCTCTCTCCCTGTCTCTCCTCCTCCTCTTCCCTCTCCTCCTCTTCCCTCTCCTCCTCTTCCCTCTCCTCCTCTTCCCTCTCCTCCTCTTCCCTCTCCTCCTCTTCCTCCTCCTCCTCCGCCTCCGCCCCCTCCCGATGCAGTGCCGGCTTCTGTCGTCTGTGAGCCTGTACCAGAAGCGAATCTGGCAGGACTCTTCGCTGTTGCCCAACAGCAGTACCAGCAGCAGTACCAGCAACAGCACCAGCACCAGCAGCAGGAGTACCAGCAGGAGTACCACCACTACCAGCAGCACCAGCAGGAGGAGGTGTACCAGCAGCAGCAGCACGTGAACAGGAACACGAACGAGGATATGGACATCGAGACGACCAACGCGGTCGTCATCCCTGCTTCCGGCCCCGACGTCACAATGGAAGAAGACGAGGAGCCTCGGGAGGAAGAGGAGAAGCAAGACGAGATAATGGGAGAGACCCCCGCCGTTGTTCGCTCTGCCCCTGTGTTATCGGGTGTCCCGTCGGCTGCTGCCTTCTTACCCGTCATTCCGGAGGCTGCGCTGTCTCGCCCCCCCTCCTGCCGTTGCTCTCCCCGTCGTTGCTCCCCCGGCCCCTGAGCAATCGGCTGCCTCGGAGTCGTACGCAAAGATCCCCAAGTCTCTCCTACTATCATGCAGCAAGAAGAACGACTGCAACATCCTACCGCCGCCGCCGCCAGAGATAGGTCACCTCAGAAAGAGCATCAATCCCGAGGCCGAATTGGAGGAGGAGTCAAAAGACGACGATGACGGCTACAATGGAAAGAAGCGCTGGGCAAACCGTGGCCACCCACCCTTGGACGAGATCTCAGTTGCGCTCCTCGAGGAGATCATGAACGAGAAAGACGCCATCAGCCGTGCAGCGCAGGCGGAAGCAGAGGAGTTGCGCAAACAAGCTGAGGAGACTGCCGTGCGAGAGAAGGCCGAGGCCAAGGCCAAGAAGATGGCAGAGTTCCAGGCGAAGAAAATCGCCAACATGAAGGCGTCCAACGAGCGTCTCAAGAGGAACGGCCCTCCGAAGCCTCAGGTCTTCATCCAGAGGAGAAAGCCCGGCGAGCGCCCTCCTCGGACGTAGATGGTGACTTCGGGCTTGTGGAATAAACACCCCGGAATAAGCATTGAGCTTCGTTTATGGTTCATGGGAACGTACCTAGCTGCTTGTTCCGGAGTGCTTATGCGGGAAAGTGATTGGCGCTGGTATTATGTGCGGGGCCCCTGGCTTCCCCTTCTACACAGCCTCAACCGAACCACCCAGCCCACCCCTCGGGCCCTCTTGGCGCGCCCAATTTCTTTGCCTCTTTCTTACCTACCTCTTACCCACGAGTCACTTGCGACGATGGGCTTCTGCCTCTCATTTGGAATGGATGAGCAGAAAGCGGCCTCCCACACAATCGCCGCCCCGATGCACAGCCCAAACACCAAGGCGCGTAGAGACTCTGGGCGAGTCTTCGAACCTTGGGCAGTGGAGCTGGCGCCTCTGCTAGTATTTGCCATCCCTCTCCTCCAGTCTCTCTTTGGAATTCGTGAACCTTCAAGTGGAAATTCGCTTTACTCTACGTCAGCTTTTCGCCGCGTCCAAGGCAAGGCAGAAAGAGCCTCGGTAGGAGGTACACAGCCTGCTTTGAAGTTATATATCACTCTCTCCTCGGCTGCACCCATGGGCGACATTGTCAATCCAACCACCCGCCATACCTATGCGCTGGTAGACCCTCAACACCAAGGACTATCGGCAGCCTCTTTACATCATCATGGCTAGCAACAGTCTGGCACCGCCAACGCTGGCCGTAGACACTCGTGTCCGCCCGAGGAGCGACACGGCCGCATCATTCGTCTCCAATGTATCCAACCCGTTTCTAACACCGTCACACTCGAATCCCTTCCTGACGCCAGCCCAATCTGACTGCGGGTCGAGCATCATGACGGTAGATGCCGAAGCCGCACTCCGTCCAGATCCTGGTACCGAAGCCGATTTCCAGGTCGAGAACAACCCTTTCGCTTTCAGTACCGGCCAACTGAACAAGCTACTGAACCCGAAATCCCTGCCCGCATTCCGAGCCTTGGGCGGTCTCGCCGGCATCGAGCGTGGCCTGCAATCCAACATCAGGGCCGGCCTCAGTCTTGACGAGACATCCGTACCGTCAACCGTCACCTTTGAACAAGCCCTACGGAGAGCGTCTGATACAACCCTAGAGTCCTCAGAGCGGCCAACCCCTTCCGATTCCGAGGCCTTCGTCGACCGCTCAAGGATCTACGGGAAAAACATTCTGCCATCAAAGAAGGCCACGCCTCTCTGGGTCTTGATGTGGAATGCCTACAATGACAAGGTCATCATCCTACTGACTGTAGCCGCTGTCATCTCGCTGGCGCTGGGCCTCTACGAAACACTTGGGATCCAGCATAAGCCTGGTGACCCTCCGTCGGTGGACTGGGTCGAAGGCGTTGCTATCATTGTCGCCATCCTGATCGTTACGCTAGTCGGTTCGCTCAACGACTGGCAAAAGGAGCGTGCGTTTGTTAAGCTCAACGCCAAGAAGGAAGACCGAGAGATCAAGGTCGTTCGATCGGGCAAGTCGTTCATAATCAACGTCCATGATATCCTCGTTGGCGACGTCCTACACCTCGAGCCCGGCGATCTGATCCCCGTCGACGGAGTGTTCATCACTGGGCACGACCTGAAGTGCGACGAATCCTCAGCAACCGGAGAGTCTGATGCCATCAAGAAGACGCCTGGCGACCAGGTAATCTCGATGCTGGAGTCCGGCGCCAACACCAAAGGCCTCGACCCCTTTATCATCTCTGGTGCCAAGGTCCTCGAGGGTGTCGGCACTTTCCTCTGCACCTCAGTCGGCGTCAACTCCAGTTTCGGCAAGATCATGATATCTGTCCGAACCGAGATCGAAGCGACACCGTTGCAGAAGAAATTGGAAAAGCTTGCCGTCGCAATCGCCCAACTGGGAGGCGGCGCTGCTGTGCTGCTGTTCTTCGTCCTACTATTCCGCTTCCTCGCCGGCCTGTCGACTGACATACGGTCGGCCCCCGAGAACGCTTCCAGCTTCCTGGACATCCTGATTGTGGCTGTTACCATTATTGTTGTGGCTGTGCCCGAAGGTTTGCCCCTGGCCGTGACCCTGGCCCTGGCCTTTGCCACCCAACGGCTGTTGAAGGAGAACAACCTCGTACGCGTGTTACGTGCCTGTGAGACCATGGGCAACGCCACCACCATCTGTTCCGACAAGACCGGCACGCTCACCACCAATAAGATGACTGTCGTTGCCGGATCATTCGGCCAGTCCAGCTTTGCCAAGTCGGAAAGCGAAAAGCCCAGTGGTCTGACGATCTCCCAATGGGCTGCTGGACTGTCTCAACCGACCAAGGATGCTCTCGCTCAATCCATTGCGATCAACTCGACTGCTTTCGAGGGCAAAGATGGGGGCCAAGCCACCTTCATAGGTTCCAAGACCGAGACCGCACTGCTGCAATTGGCCAAGGACCATCTGGGCATACAGTCGCTGGCTGAGCTTCGCGCCAACGAGCAGACCGTGCAGATGATGCCTTTCGACTCGAGCAAGAAGTGCATGGGCGCTGTCATCAAGATCGGTTCTCAGTACCGACTCTTAGTGAAGGGGGCATCCGAGATTCTCTTGAGCTACTGCAGCGAGAAGGCCGATATCGATACTCTTGCACCCAACGAACTCACCACTAGTGACCGCGCCGGACTGACCTCGGTCATCGATACTTATGCCAAGGGCTCGCTTCGAACTATCGGTCTCGTGTACCGGGATTTCGCTCAATGGCCACCTGCACACGCAGAGGTCGGGGATGGCCATGTCCAGTTCGCCTCTATTCTTCAAGACCTTGTGTGGCTTGGTGTCGTTGGTATCCAAGATCCAGTAAGGCCGGGTGTCCCCGAGGCGGTTCGCAAGGCCCAGCATGCTGGCGTGAGCGTCCGCATGGTCACTGGTGACAACGTCATCACAGCCCAGGCCATCGCTTTAGAATGTGGCATATACACCAACGGCATCGTCATGGAGGGACCTGCATTTAGAGTTCTCAGTGACGAGGCGATGAATGATATGCTGCCAAGGCTTCAAGTACTCGCGCGGTCATCACCTGAAGACAAGCGGATTCTAGTGTCGAAGCTCAAGGACCTCGGCGAAACAGTAGCCGTGACTGGCGACGGCACGAATGACGCTCCAGCTCTAAAGACTGCTGATGTGGGCTTCTCGATGGGCGTTTGCGGAACCGAAGTAGCCAAAGAGGCTTCTGAGATTGTGTTGATGGACGACAACTTTGCTTCGATCCTAACCGCTCTCAAATGGGGTCGAGCTGTGAACGACTCGGTTCAAAAGTTTCTCCAGGTAAGCACACCACTCTCTCTTTTGTGTCGGTCCTACACCGTCATACTGACATGATACCAGTTTCAAATCACTGTCAACATCACAGCCGTCCTCCTTGCCTTCGTTTCTGCCGTGGCCAGTCCTGACATGCAGTCTGTGCTCACAGCTGTGCAGCTGCTCTGGGTGAACCTCATCATGGATACGTTCGCAGCACTCGCGCTTGCCACCGACCCGCCCACCGAGAAGGTACTTGACCGCCCACCGCAGCCCAAACGGGCTCCTCTGATCACCACCAACATGTGGAAGATGATCATCGGACAAGCCATCTTCCAGCTCGTGGTGACGATGGTACTGCACTTCGCCGGCGCCAGCATCCTCGGCTACGACCCCAATAACGCCGACCAGAAGAGGGAGCTCGACACCATGGTCTTCAACACGTTTGTCTGGATGCAGATCTTCAACGAGTTCAACAACCGCAGACTGGACAACAAATTCAACATCTTCGAGGGCGTGCATCGCAACAAGTTCTTCATCGCGATCAATGCCATCATGATCGGGGCACAGATCGCCATCGTCTTTGTGGGAGGCGACGCCTTTGAGATCAAACCGCTCGACGGCACACAGTGGGCCATCTGCATCGTCGCAGCACTGGTATGTCTGCCGTGGGCTATCCTCGTCAGACTCTTTCCCGACGCATGGTTTGCCGTGATGGCCAAGACGGTCGGTGCTCCTGTCGTCGTCGTTTACCGGTTTTTGGCCAAGGTATTCTCCAAGATCGGACAGGTCTTCAAACGTAATAAGAAGACTGCTACGACGGGAGAGGAAGACGTGGATGAGCCGAGAAACTATTCGGAGGAGAGTGGCAACGCACCAGCGATCATCGTGTCTGGAGGTAACGACATGCAGCAGAGCAACCCTACGATACAGGTAGGGGATCTGGAGGAGGGGCGCACTTAGAACGTGCTTGTACCATCAGTTAGACTATGAATTACGAGTACCACGAGACAATGAACAGCAGAAATTTGCGTACACACATCACCAACGCGCACGTCATCCATTCCTCTCGACTAATGTAGAAGAGTGCACTGTTAGTTGACATGCCGGCAATCCAACGCCATCCATTGTAAGGTACCTACCGGCCTGCTGGTCGTACGATCACCCCGCAAAAGTATCCGACCCCCGGAGGCTTTTGTGTGGTTAGTGTATATACGACCCTAATAAGGAGTGCGTCGATGCTGCATCACATAATCGCTTCCGCTCCCGACCGCGCGCCGTCGGCGCTCAGGAAAGTTTGGGTCTGTCTAGCAACTCGTTATAGCTTTGTCATGGTTGGTTTCAAAGCAATGGGACGAGATGACCAGATGTTCATTGGGTTTGGGAATGCTGCCATGATTCCGCTTTTCGGTACTCGGACTCCAGTTATCTTCCGTATGCATTGGGGTGGTAACCGGGGAGCATTCCGCCATGACTCAGAGGCAGCTGTTTATAAGTTTCATATAAAAATTCATATTTGACTGACCATATCCGATGTAGAACAAGATGCATCATCACCCTTGCCGCCTGACTCACCGATGCATAAACCCCTCAATCCCCCGCAAGCTTCGGTGACTGGAAATGGAGAGTCATATACTACAGGTAGCAAGGATGGTAATGGATAGCGGTTCTACATGCTGGGGGTGTAGATCTGTATCCAATGTGATGCCCGTAACTGCCATGCTATTAATGCATAGCACCTCCTAAGGAGAACGTTTCTACATATAAAAAAGTTCCCGTCGCGTAAAGTTCTACCTATTAGCATTGCAGATACACGTGGAACTGCTAGCCGTTACGATCCTGGACACCAGAATGCGAAGCAGTACCGGGGGCTACTGGTGACCAAGCTGAACAGGACAGAATGCTGCGAGGGACCAAGAAAGGGCCACATGTGTATAAAATGCTTCTTCCCGCTTTTTTCTCTCCTAAACACTCCTCCATCTTACATCAAATTTAAGTGAGCAGACTCGAACATTGAACATACTGCATCTTTGAGATGGACCTACTTAGTGACCGGCAACTATATTTCGGAGGAGGCGTTGCCTTGTTGGCAGTGCTCGTGGTAAGCAAAATCAAGAAACTATATCATGACTTCATAGGCTATACTGAAGGTGCGTTCATCATCAGGCTCTCCTCACCCCTCTTAGGGACCCATTGTCCGAAGTCCCAGGACCGTGGTACGCGAGATGGACCGATCTTCCCATCAAATACCTCGGGTTGACCGGGCGTAAACCTATCTACATCCAAACACTTCACCTCAAATACGGTCAGTCACTTTCCGCAATGCTCTAGTTTACTCGGGTGCTTCCCCCATATTAAACCAGAAACAGGGCCTATCGTCCGAGTAAGCCCCCGGGAAGTCTACGTCGCAGACCCAGCCGCCGCCCAGCAAATCCACCGGATCAAGAAGAAATTCCTGAAGGACCCTTGGTACGCAAACTTTGTCTCCGGCCAAGACAGCGTCTTCAGCGCCAGAGATGTGGACGTCCACCGCCGGCACCGAAAGCTGCTGTCCGCACCCCTTTCGGAACCCGGGCTGAAGGCGTTTCTCCCGCAGGTGGAAGCCAAAGTGCGCCTTGCCATACAACGAATGGGGGAAGAGGCGGAGACACGCGGCGCCGCGGATATCTTGAAGTGGTGGATGTTCATGGCCACTGATGTGATCGGCGAGCTGAGCTTTGGTGAATCCTTCCGCATGCTGGAACATGGCAAGGTAAGTAACGCCGCAACCACTGCTCACACATATGCGGATGAGTGCGCGGGTTCCCAGCTGACTACGCCTGCAGATGAATCAATACGGCGCCGATCTCCAAGCCATAGGCTCCTTTGCGGCGCTCAGAACCACATTCCCCTTTCTCTTCCGACTCGCCCGAGTCTACAATGTCCCCGTCCCGTTCATGAACAAGGCGAAAGCGGCCAGTCTGCGAATCCTGAGTTATGCCGCAGAGTCGATCCAGCGGCACCGTACTATCGTCGAAAACGAAGGCTCTAATGCCCGACCCACGCTCCTCTCCAAGCTGTACAAGGCCGGCGACGACGAGACGATGACCCAGAACGAGATGTGTGGCAATGCTCAGAGTTTCATCGTGGCGGGAAGCGACACGACATCCAACACGCTCACGTACCTCGTGTGGGCCGTCTGTCGTCATCCAGCGGTGAAGGCCAAGTTAATCAAAGAGCTCGAACAGCTGCCCGACGACTTCGTCTATGACGACGTCAAGGGCCTACCATACCTAGACCAGGTCATCGACGAGACCCTGCGCCTCTACCCGGCCGCTCCCTCAGGCCTGCCACGCGCTGTGCCTCCCGAGGGAGTCGAACTCGCCGGCTATCACCTGCCCGGCGGGTATACCGTGTCGACCCAAGCCTACAGTCTTCATCTGAATGACGACGCGTTCCCCGAGCCGCACGTGTTCAACCCTGAACGATGGGAGAAGCCCACGAGGCTAATGAAGGACTCCTTTATGCCGTTTGGTGGCGATTCGCGAAGTGAGCACCCAACCCGATATATCTCATCTCATGTGCTGCGCAATACTGACACTGATTTGCCAGATTGCCTCGGACTGCACCTTGCGCTCATGGAGCTCCGGCTGGCTACGACCCGGTTCTTCCGGGCGTTTCCGAATGCCACGGTTTCGGGTCTGGACGGGATGAGCGACGCCGATATGGAAGCCGAGCTGTACTTCTTGATTATCCCGAAGGGCCACCGCTGCCTGATTCAGCTGTTCTGAACAATCTACTGGTTCACATGTACGTTGGTCTGGTTTGGCAAGAGAGATGCATACGCGCGGTATGTAACTGTTATTCATTGCTATTGTAACATAACAAACGCAAGACCTACTGCAAAGGTAGCCGAGTAGCTCCATTTACAGTATTATAATGGCCGTCTTTGAATAAAGAGTCATGCTATTTACACCTTGTTAGAATTTCTCATTTGCACCTTGTCTTTACATTCTACCTGCTAGCCAGCTGTAATATAACCCCTTGTTTTAGCATAATTATTTTAATAGCTGCACCGACAGCTGCACCGACAGCTGCACTGACAACTGCGCCGACAACTACGCCGACAGCCGCACCGATAATTGTACTGATAACCTTAGATCTGCGTGGCCAGTTCCGGGTAGTCCGGAACCGCCCAGCCCCCTTTATCTTCAGGCGTAAGCATGTTGATCGCTTTATCGATCCTCAACCACGTGAAAATGCCGAGAGCCGTCTGCAAAAACCACACGCCCCATTCCGTCTGGGGATAGAGCAGGGCAGGAACTCCGGGTGGCTTCTTCTGGGCGATATCTATAAAGGGCCGCAGAATCTCCTCGTAGGCCTTGAGTGCGGCGGGTACGTCGTCCCCGTGTCTTGCCAGCTCGCCAGCCAGGATATATGCGCCTACCAGTGAAACCGTCGTTCCCATACCAAGGTTTGGTCCATACCCAGCATCTCCTATTAGGACGACTCGGCCCTCTGACCAGCAGTCCATCTTGACCTGTCCATGTGGGGTCGTGTAGAAATCCTGGGTATTCGTGATGCTCTTGAGCAGACGTTCGCGCTGCCAGGCACAGTCGTCAAACAGCCGCCTCCAGAGCTCCTTCTGCTCATCCACAACCGTGCTCGTTGACGCCCGCAGCTCTTCCGTGTCGGACCGGACGCAGAGGTACACCTGCGTCACCGGCCGGCCTCCAGTCCGCGTGCTGACGAGCCGGTTCGGGAGGTTGTAGCATTTGGCGGAGTCACCGTCGCACTCCTCGCGTGGCGTGCTGAAGAACGCAGTCCACAGCCCGAATGGGTGGAACACATCGCGTCCCCTGTCCTCTCCGAAGGCCATGCGTCGCGTGCGGCTGCCCTGTCCATCAGCGCCCACCACGAGGTTGTACCGCCCCGTCGTGCCGTCCGAGAAGACGACATTTACACCTGCGCCATCCTGCTTCAACTCCGTCGCGTACTTCCCAAACGAATACCTCACACCGCCTGCCTCCCCCTTCGCCGCTGCCCTCTCCCCGCTCTTCAGGCTCTCCTGGTACAGCACGTCCACCAAGTCCCCCCGCATGATCTCGTACTCGCTCGTGAACGCCTGCTGGCCCCGCCCGGACTCGTTCTTGCCCAGGAACGCCTTCTGTCTGCTGGCCGGCGACGCGGAGGGCGGGCGACCGCTCGACGATGGTGATTTCGTGGGAAGGGTTGGAGCGCGTGAGACAGGCGGCCAGGGCGGGGCCGCAGATACCGGCGCCGTTGATGAGGATCTTTAGGGGCAAGTTGATGCTGTGGTGGCGGTGGCGGCGGCTTATGGAGGTACTTGTAATTAGATGGTTCGTTCCGCTAATCTTCTGAATAAGTCGAAAGTGTTGTTTTGTTCTAACTTGCTCTTCTCGGATGCTCTTGAATCTTATAAGTTGTGTGCAATCTATTTCGGAACCGCTTAGCGCGCGCCCGAAGGATCTGGCGGGCTTCAATCGGGACCGCACCCCGAGAGCGTCGCCGTCAGCTTTCAAATTGAAGCAGGACCTTCGATTGCTTTACCTCGAATTGTATCTGATGATTCATGACCTCTTTCCGCATTCCTCGCCCAATATTTTATGTGGCCCAATCTAGGACGGGTTTGAAACGGAGTGGCTTTGTTTCGTTTCGGTTTCGCATGGCGTGTTTCTCTTCAATAACGAGCAGCCAGCCAGACTCGCAAAAAACCGTACACGGTTTAATACAATTCAGACTTCAAACTACAACTATCACTATCAAGCTTACAGATGTTTTGTGGCGTGTTCGATGTTATAGACCCGAGAAGAATTTGGTATGCGCCATTCCGACCGTCCTCTCAGCAGCAAGCTATAGGCACTTACACGGCTTATCAGCCTCTCCGCTGGCGAAGTAACGGCGAAACTGTCAAACGCAGCTGTGAGTACGATGTGGCACGTCTGAAATTCCTGGCTGACTTGGCCCGCGACTGCACCGTATCGAGTGCAAGCCGCTCTCGCTGCTCCGCCCATCGAGATGATGGGAGGAACCTCTATATTGATACCGAATGGGCGACTGGCCACCATGGATGATCTCTATCTATAGTGTTCAAAGACACCGGCATTTAACTCGACCGGATGCCGACATTGGATGGACATGAGGCGGTCGGCGGGCGTGTATCACGTTGCCAAGGCGAGAGAGGAAGTGATATGACAATGTATCCTTGCAAGAAATATTCCGGCCTTGCCAACGAGTCCGGTATAGAGCAGGACACTCTAGAAGACAACATTTCTCCCCACGTCCAGGCCGGCTACTACTTCGGGGCACTGGTCATATCAATGCGGATCGAGGAACATCCCGAATGCAGAAAATCTGCCATCGCGGCCGGTCTCGTTCTTCTCACCGGTAGCTCATTGATTACGGTAGCTAGTGGCAGGACTTCTCTGCTAGTCCTGGGCCGTGACATAGTAGGGCTCGTCGTGGGCGCAAGCAGCATGATAGTAGTCTTCTATACAGCCGAAACATCACCTCAGTCTCGCAATATCAAATGCCGCACCTGCGCAGCCAATGATGACCGCCTGAACGCAACTCATCACCAGGGTTCTACTATGTCAGGACGTAGTCTTCATACGTCCCGAATCACTGTTTTTTCAAACTACCCTACGAGTACATGTAAATCCAAGGAGACTTCGGGGGGGGGGGGGGGGGGGGGTTGACAACATGTGGCGGCATGCAGCCCAAAGATCTTCAGTAGGAGAGATAGGTAGCCAGGAAGCTGTCCCAAAGAGGCACTCGCATTAGTGCGCTCATCGGATCTCTATTGATAGGAACTTGGAACTTAGCGGACGTCAAATTTGCCCACTACTCTAAGCCCGTAGCTTTAATACACTTCATTGAAATTCGGTTCGACCGTACCAGCTTCAAGCGAAGGCTCATCAGAAACATCAAAGCTCAAGGTGTGTAAACGACTTACATCGAACCATTGGTCCCGGCTTCTGCGGAGTGGCAGTGAAGCTTGGCATGATCATCTTCAGCCTCCAGCTAATACAGGCGGCCAAGCTGAGTAACAGACTAAACATTGTATACCTTCGTTGCTGGGCTTTTGCGGTCCTTCTTCTAGCCTTACCGAGAGCGAGGACGATGGCGAGAACAACAGGTGGGCTGTGTCGGATACGGGTCCCAGAGTGATCAGAACATTTTTTCTCTTGATATGCAAACCGACGTAGTGTTTGCCAACTCTCGTCCCAGGATTTGTCAAGTCGTGTTCACCGACAGTACCGAGTGCACCCAGTCATCTGCATCCGTCCTTTTGCGGTATTAAGTGCGTGCACAGCCCCTTTCCAAGCACTCGGCTCCCGCACAAGCCGGTAGACGCAAGATCCCACAGGTTATCCTCCTTCCCAACGCAGGTCAGAAATTCATAACATGACAGCTCACCCAAGCACGTTTAACGCACCCGATACATCCTTAAGTGGTACCGCGGCCCCCGAAGGAAGGGTCGTTGGCACTGTCGGAACTAAGAAACACGGCCTCATGCAGCACTTGAGGCCTGCATGGGATGTTACGCTCATTTTCAATCGTGAAGACTGTGCGTAGAGTGTACGACGCAGCCACTCCCTTGCTGCATGTTGATGCACCGGCGGAGCAGAAACATGCTCATGGGCGCCCGAGTTGCATTTCATTGTGGCTATGCTCGGATAGTGTGTCCTGTCCAGTACGCCTCATCCGCACCGTCGTCGATCGTGATCCTCATAATCCTCAAATTAGTAACAATGAACTAGATAAGCCCCCGATTGTGGAAGTCTTCCGCTGCTCGAATGCGGTCTATAATGCGCCATGATATCCTCCCTGATTCGGCCACCACCCACCCTCTTCCCTCCATCCTCAACAAAGTCGCAGTTATAGTGCGTATGCCCCAAAGCCCACATCACGACTTTGGCGCTCCTCCAACATTCTTCGCTATAAAGGTCCGTGACGAACCCCGATGCGACCTCGTTGTCCTCATGTCTCGGATCGCTGGCGCGCGGATCGACGGTGGGGCTGCGGTGGGTGAATACCACGATCTGCCTCCCAGGTTCCGCTTGTGATATATGAGTCACCTGTTTTTTGAGCCATTGCAGGCCGGATGCGTGAGCCTCCTAATGGTTTGCGACCAGCTGGTCTGTAGTGGCTCATGATTACCAAACAGGAAGAAAACGACCCAGTACTTGCTCAGCTGCAGTTACAGGAAGATGAACAGCTTCTCGTCCACCGACCGGCCGGTGTCGCCGAGTAAAGCAGGTAGATATGGCGCAGTCTGTTTAAGATCAAAGGAAGCCGAGGGGCATGTTTCCAGGTGGGGGTCCGACACGATCTGGAAGGCTACTGGCGCCATAGCCTGCCATCCAAGTAAATCTTGCTGCTTGATTTTTTTGTTGGCTCTGTACGAAGCATGAAAGAAGACGAGGCACACAGATAGGCCGACATGGAGAAACCGGTACATGGGTGTCTTGATGAGACACCCGACAGCCCCAACCACACGTGGCTTATCCTTGTCAGGCAGGTTCTTTGGCAGAACGTGTGGCAGAAATCCAGGGGTAAGACAACGTCTAAGTGGAACAACATACTGCAAAAGTGATGTATGAAAGATACCTACCTATGTAGTTTCTACGTTGACTCAGCGCAAGGCTTGCATACCCAGCGGACTTGCGATTCATGTCAACCTTCGCAACCCTGGACGAAGCAACCTGGTGCAGGTGTATTGGTGACGATTGACAATAGTGACAGCGAATGTATGAGATGCTTTACACGCATAGAAAAAATCCTCAAACATCATTACGCTATTCTATTTGTATGCAGCGACATAGGCTCCCAATGCGTTCTGACATTGCCTCAGTCTAACGGCGCGTTCTTGCCAGATACAGTCAAGAAGACGTGGTACGTTCATGTCAAGAGGCTTCTATACTTCTCTTCTATTCTTTTGCTCGCTGGATGTAATAGTTTTTCGTCGCTTTGAAATCCAGATGCTCAAAGCAGCCAACTCCTTATGTGTTCGACCTACTGGCCTGACCGGTTTCGCCTGAAACTCCTTCTGGCAGTAACTCCTCTGGAACTGTGCCCTCGGGACCACAGCCTGAGACCTCATCGCTAGCTACCACACAAGCCCCCGTTTCTTCGAACTCTTCCACTTCCGTCATGCGCAAGGCGTCTTTGATGTCGTCGACGAAGCGATGCTTGCCACCAACAAGCTCTACAATGCCGCTTCTCTCCATGAGCTCCCAGACTCTATTCTCTCGGCTGGGAGCCCTGCTAAAAAATACTCTGACGCCCCTGTCGCGGTAATTGCGCACAATCTCCTCTAGTACTTGGGTACCTGACCCATCCATTGACGTCACTCCGTGGATGTCGAATATGACATTGCGGTTGCTGTCTTGCGGACGTAAACGCGGCAAAGCAGGGTGAGCCTTACCCGTGCCGTAAAGTTCTAGCCGACGCAACCTGTTCTTCAGTTCACCAGTATTGGCGAAGGTCAAGGGCTCGGGTATCTTGACAATCAAGCAGCCCTCAATGAACTCGACGTCCTCGGGATGCTCTTCAGCATTCGCGAAGCGTTCGCTGTTGGGAACACGACCAACGATCTGTATACGAGGCCGCGTTGCATGGCGGATGACTTGAAGTAGAGATAGGCCAATGCCGATAGCGATACCGAGGTTGAGGGAGAAGAACACAGTCACGGCTAGGATAACAGCCATGAGAGAAAGTTCAGTCCAGCCCCGAATCCGAACGAAAAAGGACACGTCGTGGGGAGCCTCTTCGACCAAGGACCAAGCAACCGCCATGATCAATGCCGATAGAACAGGCTTCTGCATCGAAGTTAGCCTTTTCCTAGACGCACGGCCATGTGTGTATGCTTCCAAGGAACTTACTCACAGGTAGATAGTAGAACCATGGCAAGAGAAACAAGATACAGATAACAGTGATGATACTGAGGAAGATTGAACTCATTGGGCTCTTGCCACCAGTCGACTTATTTACCTTGCTCCTACCGTACCCGCCAAAAGCTGGAATGGCCATGAAGCACGCACCAAGGAGATTTGCCGCTCCAAGAGCAACAAGTTCGCGATTGGGACTCAACTGCATGCCTTCGATGACCTCGCTACCGCCTAGACTCTTGGCGGCGACTGAGGACTCGAAGAAACCAAGCATGCCGATCAAGAACGAGGTTCCCATGGCGTCTCGAATATGGGGCAGGTGCTCCACCTGGAATGGGTTGCGGAAAGTAAATGCTTGCCCCGAGGCGGCTTCGACCTTACCTAGGAGCGCCACGCCCTGGTGTTCCCAGTCGAGAGTTGAGGCCAGAACGGCGGATACGACGACAACGATAAGTCGGTCAGGAAAATAGGCAACGCCTGGGTACCGCGGTTGCAGCCGGCGCTTGATCTCTCTACGAAACTCCCATTAGTCAGCCTCTAGGGCCGGATGGAGCTGGGCACTTACCGAAGGACCATGATGACGAGAAAACTGACAAGGCCAACAAGAGCGGAGAGATTGTAACAGTTTCTCAGGTGTGAAAAGATAAACTCAAGCTTTTCTACAGTAGTGCCGTGCGCGACGCCGGGGCTACTCTTCGCCATCCTGGTCAGTCCCAGCACCGGGATCAGCTGGTCAACGAAGATGACGACTCCGATGGCCGAGATAAAACCACGCAAAAAGGGCCGGCTGAGGACACTATCAACGAATCCGAGTCGAAATAGGCCCATGAGGAAGACAGTAGCTCCAGCAATGCCGACAGCAACACCGGCTATTTTGGCTTGCAAGACGCCGTTATCGTCATCGCCGGCTCCGGAGTCGATGCTGTTCTTGACGATGGAGCCAATCAAGAGGGAGCCAGCGGCTTCGGGACCAACGACCATCTGGGGACAGCTACCTAGTAGCGCGTATATGAAGGGGTTGAAGACGAAGGCATACAAGCCATTGATGGCGGGAACATGTGCCAGATTGTCGGCATAGGACAGGGCCATGGGCAGGTACATGGAAGCGAGGGTGATGGCCGAGGTCAGGTCGCCCTTGAGCCATGACAGGTTGTATTGCCTCATCCATACCAAGCACGGCACATAGTACGAAGCGTACATCCACCACGAGTCCTTGAAGCCATGGCGCTCTGCCAGAGCACTGGAATCGGTCATCTTCTTGCTCTTGATGCGGCTAGAAAAGTTCCTCCTCGAGCTGCTCCCCTTAAGAAACTGCGAGTTAGCTGGTAGCGTGGACCCCTCTGAGTCTGCAATTGATGTCCCTTCCGAGTCAAGATTCCTGTCTCTCCGCGTCGGGCTGGACGCACGAGGCGAAAAGGTGCCATGGTTGCAGGGACCGTCGTGTGCATGTTCGTGGTGGAGGAGGGAGGTGGTCTCGTTGGACTCGTCGTTCGCGGTGTCGGGTCGTGTGCTAAGCATAGAGGAGGAGGAGGATATCGTACGGCTCTGGCGAAGGCTGCTCGGGGTTAAGGGAGCGTGGTGGGACTGCGGTTTGGAGCCGGTTGCGATGGAGGTAGGCCTGGGTGACGGCATCTGGTCTTATGAGGATCGCATCAGTTGCGAATCAGACTGGCCAAGTAGGATCTGATAGATCTGCTAGATCTTCTAGATCTTCTAAATCTTCTAGCTGATTCAGGAGGTAAGAGTGAGGTGTCACGGGGTAAGTCAAGTCAACACGCAAAAATGAAAGACGGCGCACTCTCTGGATCTGGGACCCTGGAAAAAGAAGCTTTTGCTGCAAGATGCAGTCAGGCACCACGATGAATCGACGATAGTGGACGATCTTCGTGGCGGGCCACTGCACTGTCAGGTCTGTCCGATGACGGCAGACGCTTGACGGAACTAGCTGGACGCCTAAGCCACCGGTAATATCCGCCAAGCTACATAGCCACAGTTGAGATCCAATGTTATTATTACTTCGCGATTTGGCGTTTCTAGCCAGCTCGGAGCTGTCAATTGTCAGCCACAACACCACCTCGTCAGCTCGTCCACCAGTCGCGCTATGGACATTCGATTCTTTTGTCCATGGCCAGTCAATTGCGCATTCATACCTCCTTTACCTATGACGGCCATTCATCCTGTGGATGATATATCACATCTTAGGTAAACCTAGGTAAACAGCAGGCAAAGTGCCACTCTAGCTGTCCCATCTGACATCCAAGCTGAATACCTACCACACCACCCATGACGGTGAGCAACATGTGACTCACAACTTGTGAGCAACTGGGCACCGCGGGCCATTGCACGCACGCGTCTCACTGATGAGCTTGTAACAGGTGGCGCCCACCTCACTCAGACGGACTGCGCCATACGACTGGTTAACTGCCGCAACCTAAAGTAGGTATCTACCAAAGGTAGATATGGACGAGATGGGCTCAATAACGCGTTGCACTTTATGTCGGGACTCCTCTCATTGCCTCCTCTTCTGTCCGCTTGTCTGACTTCATCTCCTACCTCTTGAATAATCGATAACCCTCCCGAAATCGATGTTCCCCCAGTTTGTTAGACCTACATTGCAGCGACACGTATGCACCAAGACATTACCGGTATTCGACGCGATGCTCACTCGATCCACTTACACCTATGCCACCCACGAGATACCCCTGGAGTGCGATGTCTACAGGGCAGACGACCACTACCCCGACACCACCGAGAGCCCGTCTTCTTGTTCTTCCACGCGGGCGGCCTCGTTGGAGGCTCCCGGGCTTGTGTCCCGCCATGGCTGGCCCAAGTGTGCTATTGGAGGAGGTGGATATTGATAAGTGCCAGTTATCGTCTGCTCCCCCAGGTTGGAGCAAAAGGCTTGCTCGAGGACGCCCTCGCCGCATACAACTTTGCCCAGATCTGGGGTGCGTGCATTTCAGGGCGCAAACGACCCGTCATCGTCGGCGGCGCCAGTGCCGGTACGTGCTGGACCTTCTCAGAGTTGGCCTGGTACTTGGTAGACTTTGCTGACACCAAACCCTCTCACCTGTGATAGGCTTCTTCATGGCAAATCTAATCGCTCATCACGTCACACCTGAACCGGTCGCCATGCTCAGTCTCACAGGCGTCCCTACTTTTCGCCATGAATTCTTCAATTCGTCCGTTCTTCTCACGCCAGCGCCTATCAGGGATGAGGACGTAGCATCATTCGTCAATGGACCTCTGAAAGCGGGCACTACTAATGCCTATGACCCGTCAGCATTCGTGGTTGATCGGCTATTGCCATCCGGAGAGAGAAACCCCGGCTTTGCTCAGCCAGCACCGCCGGTGGGTATCGGAGTCAATCCAAATGCTGTCACTAGGGAAAGCCTCTACGATTATTGGCTACACAGGAATGAGTACCTCAAGCTTGTCGGGGACGTCGACCAGGGGTTTCAATGGGCGAAGGATGATCCGAAAGGAGAAAAGCTGAAGAGTGGCCGTCGACTATCTTCATCCAAGGTAACGAAGACACTGAGGTCTCCGTGGATGAAACGACTTCGACAGTTGACTGCCTTGGCTCAAAGAAAGCTATGCTGTGCCTAGCTCAGGGCGAAGGACATCTTTTCGAGGCGACGTCATTATTCGAGGACAGTTCACCAGGCATGGATGCTGTAAGGGAAGCTGTCAGACTGCTGGATGGCCTGCTCGGGGCTTGAGTGTGTCCCATCTTCTGGTTTCGAGAGACCATCTGCACTGGGGGAACATCCATCGCCATTGGGATGCAGATCATCTCCACCCGCAGGCCCTCAGCGCCTTACCCCCAGTTGGTTTGCCCTTCAGTAGTAAAGGCCTCGACGGGCACGACTTTCGGCTCGTTGGGAAAGACAATAAGGGCGAGCGCATGGGTATCATGGGACTGAGAGATCACTACTGATGCTTTGGCGTTCAGTTTGACCCTGCGTCCGCCAGCAGGGTGCTTCTGCCTTGCAATCCTATCTGGGATTTTTCTCAGCGAGCGCCAATTGCCTCATTCATGGATATGCAGAGGGAGGGGGTGGTACGGTCACGTTGTCGAGCAGCGGTACACCATGAATTCACCTAGTTGCGCTGCTGCGCTCAACCAATGCAGTCAGAATCTCGGAGGAGCTAGCGACCCAAATGGTATTGCCGGAATTCCACGACCTGCACGTTTCTGTCGTGTCTATGCCTTGACCGACGCGATAGAGTAGGTACGGGTCATCAGCGGGACGGTATATTGTCGTCGGATTATGGTGAAATACGGCAAACAGGTTCTGCGCCAGAGTGTAGTGTCCAGCCGGTTCAGTTCTCGATTTGATCTGACAATATTGCGGAAGAGCTTTACATCCTCCGAGCCAACAGCCTTGAGCCATTTGTGACGTGATGAGTGGGTACATTGTCTTATCCAAGAGTCCTGGGTCCTGTGGCCACCCTATGATACGTTCCCAGCTCCTTCTTAGTAGAAATCGGGACTGTAGAAATAGGGACTCGTTGCATTGGTGTGGTTGTATACCAACCACCTTGTCGCGGGATGGAAGTCGAGTTCGCTAACAGACGTCTGCGCGCCAGCCAGGACACACAGATGCAAACCCGGCGCTATGAGCGTATACAGCGTATACCATCGGACTACAGTCGTCGTCTCTACTGCATCCTTGCACGGTGAATGGTGTCAGGAGAGCAGGGAGATCGAGGCATACATGGTGAATCGAGTCGATACGATAGATACCATATGCGATTCTCAGAGCCCACCATGCGGCGGCATTACCACGCTCAACTATACACCTCGTATGGTCAGGGCGAGCTCTCGCCCGAGAAGATTTGTACCTAGATGTCCGATGCGGGTCGAGGCGACTTCTTCCCAAAGAGCTCCTCTAGTGACTGAGTATATCAGAGTATTCTGGGTTCACGCAGGCTTTCCCACGAACAGGACCATATCGATCCCAGTAATCCAGCATACTCAGCACCGCGACCATAAAGGATCTCAAAGCGACCCGAAGATACTGGAGGGTTGTGGTTGCCAAAAAGTGCGCGGGAAGCGACCGAATACTGAGAAGTATTTCGGCCAATACCGCCGCAAATGACAAAATGCCGCATGCATGGCGTGCTGCACTGTAGTCCGCTACTTCGGGGTCTCGCAACAACGCGCCAAACTCCGAACTTTGGATGCTCTCACGCAAGTAGAACGGACAGAGGTCGAGAGCAATCTCTGACGCTGCGCTACCACCTAATAAAGATACTAATAGGTTAGCCACGTAATAAGTCTGAGGGGGTAAGAGGGGACGCGAGAGGTTATGTCTCACTCGGCTTTGCTCGCGTGCCGAGAGCTGCCGCCGGAAGCGCGGCCGAATCTCGCCATGTCATACGAAACGTCGGAAACGGCGTCTACCGTATATCGTTACGTGGCAAGCTTTCACCCTTTGACCCTCCGACCCTCCAGCAGCCCGCACCAATTTCTTGCGATCCCTCAGCTAGTGGGTGGACCGCCAACGGCAGTTGTAAACCTTGCTGCTCCTAAAGCTTAACTCGACAGCCAAACACCACATGCAGGGTCCAGACGGGACAGAACGGCTGCAGTGAGCCGCATCTTCGATCCGGCCGTTGCGGATCCAGATTACTACTAGCCTCGGCAAGTGTGTCTTCAGATCCACCGACTGGGATCTGTCAACCTGTAGAGAGGGTGAGCTGGCTGGCTGGGGTCTACCGGTGTCGGAACGCCCCTTCGTGTCTCCATGACGTCGGCGTGATGCAGAAAGATGGTCAAATTGCACCGGTTTCACCAGTTGACCGCAACGCTTGTCTCGTCACTCGTGGAGTCGAAGTCAGTTGCGAATTCGTGACGGTGTAGTATTCGAGTCCTGTATGTAATCATGCCTTACCACCGAGTTTCGGGCACCCCGTGTGCACCAGGAAAGCAGTCACGTTTCTGCTGGGCCCGCGCTTTTTGTTGTAGATATAACATCACCAACCCGCCTACGAACCAGTTCCGGGCAAGTTCGCAGACAACAACAGACTTGAATCGCTTGAGCCCCTTCGAACACCGTACATGACCCGGTGAATTTACCACATCCACAACTGAGCCTGACCAAGACAGACAATTCCCACCGATATGGCAGCGACTAAGGAACAGTTCGGACGCCGCCTTGTGCCCCATGTCATCGACGACATCGCACAGACTGAGCCAACGCGAGAATGCTTTGCCATTCCTCGTTCCAACAACCCCCAAGACGGGTGGAAGCCCGTCTCGTTCAAACAGTACGCCAATGCTATTAATCATGTAGCACACAGAATCATCGAGATCTGTGGACACCCACCTGCCAACACCTTCCCTACTATAGCCTACATTGGCCCCAACGATGCTCGCTACGTCGTCATGGTGGTTGCCGCACTCAAGGCCGGCTACAAGGTACGCAGCCCATCCCAACCCATGGCCGCTGCTGGACACTGGCTTACTCCATCTTTAGGCTCTCCTAATCTCCCCTCGCAACTCACAAGAGGGACAGATGAGTCTCTTTGACAAGACCGACTGCCGCGTCCTCGCCTTTCCGGCAAGCCATCGTAAGATGGTTCAGCCGTGGCTGCAGGAGAGAGAGATGCAGGCGGTCGAAGTGGGTCCCATGGAGAAGTGGTTTGTAGAGCACGACGTCACGCCGTTTCCTTATACCAAGACCTTCGCCCAAGCTGAGTGGGAGCCGCTCGTGGTCCTCCATACCAGCGGCTCAACTGGTATCCCGAAGCCCATTGTGTGCCGGCAGGGCATGATGGCCATAGGCGACGCCCATCGCAATCTTCCTGAGTGGGAAGGCAAGAGGCCCTTCATATACGAATGGGCCCAGAGGTCAAAGAGGAGTTTCGACCCCAGTACGTCAAGTTGATGGCTCTTGAATTCACAGCAGAATGTTCGCTTACAATGATCGCAGTGCCCTTGTTCCACGCTGCTGGCATGTACCTGTTCCTCATCACAGCAATCTACTACGGAACTCCCATCGCGTTAGGGGTGGTCGACCGGCCTCTGTCTTCCGACCTGGTGGCTGAATGCCTCAAATACGCCGACGTTGAAGGCGCTATGCTGCCGTGAGTAAGCCCGTTGATTGACCCCCTGCAAATGACTTGCCACAATATGCCCCTGTCCTTCGAAGCCATTCAAATTCTAACATTCGTTGCAGACCTGCAATCTTGGAAGACATGAGCCAGAGCGATCAGCACATTGAACAGCTCAAGAAGCTGAAAATGGCTGTATTCGGTGGAGGTATGATCCTGCCTGCTCCTCTCGTCAATCTTACGTGTACACTGACTTGAGTTTCAGGAAACTTGGCGAAAGATGCTGGGAATCGCATGGTCAAGCAAGGCGTTCGTCTGGTGAACGCAATAGGCTCTACGGAGTAAGTTGGCGCTGGAGCGGAAACGTAGACCCCCTATGTGCAATGACCAACTAATGGACACTAGGTTTTTCCCATTCCCATTCTACTGGCAGCCGAATCCCGACCTTTGGCAGTACTTCGTCTTCAACTCGGACATTTTTGGTGCAGACTGGCGCAAGATGGAAGGTGAAGACGATGTCTACCAGCTAGTCATTGTCCGTAAGAACCAGCATCCGGGACTCCAGGGGCTCTTCTATACCTTCCCCGACGACAAGGAATGGGACACGAAGGATCTCTATAAACCACATCCCACCCTGCCTGACCACTGGATCTACTATGGACGGTCGGATAGTAAGTCTTCTCTTGGGAATCTCATCCAATCTTTCATCCGTTCTTCCAGTGCACCAACTCCGTGTTGATGCATATGCTCCCCTAACAACTTCACTATGATCCGACGCTGACTTTGGGTTCAAGACATCATCGTCTTCTCCAACGGAGAGAAGCTCAACCCAGTGACGATTGAAGAAATCGTGATGGATCACCCACAGATCCAAGGTGCAGTGGTCGTGGGCGCTCAACGATTCCAACCAGGGCTCATTCTCGAACCGACAGAACCCCCCAAGGATGAGAGTGAGGCACAGAAGCTGATCGATAGTGTCTGGCCTCATGTGGTGCGCGCTAATAAGGAGACGGTTGCTCACGGGCAGATTGGCAAGGATTTCATCATCCTTTCAAACCTGGAGAAGCCATTCCATCGAGCTGGCAAGGGCACGATTCAGAGAGCCAGTACACTGAAGCTGTATCGGGATGAAATCGACCAGCTGTACAAGAAGGCCGGAGAACTCTCTAGCGAGGCAGCTCCCCGTATGGACATCAGCTCGGAGCAGACATTGATCGACTCGATCGAGGAGATGTTCCAAACCCGCTTGGGTGCCCCAGAGGACCTGAACCCAGACACCGACTTCTTCTCAGCAGGGGTAAGTAGATTTCTGAGCCATTTCCTTACAGATCATCATCCCAGGACAGATCATTGTCTTGAAAACCAGGCAAGGGAGTTTACTGACGAACTGGACTAGATCGACAGTATGCAAGTCATCAATGCTTCTCGACTGCTGCGTGCTGGCCTTGAGGCTGCAGGCTGTCGTGTCGATGCTACGGCGATGGCTACGCGCGTTATCTATGGCAATCCCACCCCTCGCCGTCTTGCCAGCTACATCAACTCGGTCATCCGCGAGGGCACCAAGTCTTCCCCCGAGAGCGAAGAGCAACACGAGTTGCAGTCCATGAAGGCACTCTGGAAGAAATACACCAGCGATCTTCCCAAGGCCATCGAAGGACGACCTGCTCCCGCAGATGAAGGCCAAACTGTGATCATGACCGGCTCGACGGGAATGCTGGGGTCATACATGTTGGACCTCATGGTCAAGAACAGGAATGTGAAGAAGATCATCTGTCTGAACCGCGCCGAGGATGGAGGTGCCAAGCAGCAGGCGAAGGCCATGAAGGAGCGCGGTCTTGCCTCGGAATACGCCTCCAAGTGTACACTTCTCCACGCCGACATGTCTCGCTCCGACTTTGGCTTGCCCCGCGATACCTTCAACGAGCTCCTCAAGACGGCTGATCGCATCATCCATAACGCCTGGCCAGTCAATTTCAACATCCCGACCGAGTCATTCGCACCACACCTGCGCGGTGTCCGCAACGTCGCAGACTTCGCCACCAATGCTGCCAAGCGTGTCGCCGTCGTCTTCATCTCCTCCATAGGCACAGGCGATCGCTGGCCCACTGAGAAGGGTCCCGTACCGGAGGCCCGACTTGAAGACCTCGAGCTGCCGGGAGGCGGCTACGGCCGAAGCAAGATGATTGGCAGTCTCATCCTCGAAGACGTGGCCAAGTCTGGCGATTTCCCCGCCGCCATCATTCGCGTCGGGCAGATTGCCGGACCTGAAGGCGAGGCCGGGTTCTGGAACAAGCAGGAATGGCTGCCTTCGATCATTGCAAGCAGCTTGTATCTGAAAGCTCTGCCTCGCAACCTGGGACAAATGGAGCGCGTCGACTGGACACCCTGTGAGAGAATCGCCAGCCTGGTGTTGGAAGTCGCCGGCGTGTCGCAGAAGGTCGCACCCAAGGACATCAGCGGGTACTTCCACGGTGTCAACCCAAAGTCCACCACCTGGACGGAGCTGGCGCCAGCAGTGCAGCAGTTCTACGGCAAGGATCGCATTCGCGAACTGGTCAGCTTCCAGGACTGGGTGAAGAAGCTGGAGGAGAGTCAGGCGGCCGACACCTCATCTTTGGACAAGAACCCCGGTGTCAAGCTTATCGACTCGTACCGCGGGATGGCCTCTGCCGATGAGAATGAGCCGGTCGTGTTTGACATGACGCGCACCACGCAGCGGAGCGCTGCTATGCGGACCGCTGAGGCTGTCACGCCGAAGCTGATGCAGCACTTCTGCAAGCAGTGGGGGTTTTAGGAATGGGATCAGGTATATTGTTACGGGAAGTCTTTGGAAAAGTGGTTTGTCAGTCATTGTGTGTTGATACGGCGTCTTGAAGATATCGCCGTGTACGAATAGATGAGCCAGTTTGATTACCACATATAAAAATAAAGGTCTTCGTTTGGGTCAGCATTCCGCCAATCCTCTGCAAGTCATCAGCTATGGGTTAAGGCCGTAAGGCTTGGTCGTCGAGACTTTTCGCCGGAAGCCGATACTAATCGAGGCCATCACCATTACCGTGTGTCCTCAAAAGCTGGCAGAAGTCTCAAACGACTGGGATGAATGACCATGCATCTCGATGAAACTTACATGAAGTATCTTCACGGTCAGCTCACTCTAGATCCGACCTGAGCCGGGGATCTGTCGCTGGCCCAAGTCTGACCCCGTAAAACTCCCGTCGGGCGGATCCGCATTTCCCGACACCTTGTTGGATTCTGGGCTACGTTAGCCCATCCATAGTCATCCTTCAGGATCACCATCCCCATTTGTGACTCTGTCACATACGTGGCCAATATAAGGCCACGTATCCTTTCCTTTAGTATCTTGGATATATATAGGCCCATTCTGGCCGCTCCAGAGTAGCTGGAATTCCTCTCCTTAATAGAACACTTTGAAATCTAACACACCTTCGGAGCATTGAGAAGAGGGGACTAATCCGGCTGGTGCTAGCCGATGCGGCGACGGAGACGGGACGATATGTAGAAGCCATGGTATGACCATCCGACAACTTCTTCTTCTTCTTCGTAACCCGGCATTATTCTTTGACGCGCTATAGGCCCTTCTTACGTGTATTGCCGACGAGACCGACGAAGCCGCAACGACAAAATGGTAGAATACTGCGAAGGCGTCGACCACGAAGCCTTGGCCTGGGTTGCAGGGTAGACTGCGAAAGATACTTACGCAGGCCGATCCTCAATTGACGGTACGGAGTTTGATAACTACGTTGGGACATCCGGTCAACATAGAACGGTGTGCCACTTTCGATGCATGCCTTAAAGGACTGAACTTGGCTCGGGAGGGACACTGGTCGGATCATACGGGTCTTTCGCAGAGATATCGGATGAGATATCCGAGGTTGAGGGCGTCGAGGAGGTCATGTTCATCTTTGACGAGTTCCTCTCGGGTGTGGACAGTTCTGGCCATGTCATCCAGCCGCAGATGAAGAGCAGGTCCAAGGTCAATGGATCTGCTTGAAGGGGCAATGGGCCTAAATAGCGGCAGCAGCGCTTATTATTGCGCTGTAAATCTATATTTCAACCTATTGCCATGCAACGTCCACCATCAGGTGTGTTCGGACGCAACCAACGTACTTCTCATCTCCCATATCAGACCAGCGGTTGCCAACCGAGACAACGCCCGAACTTCACAGACAACTACCACAAGAATTCCCGAGCCTCCTTATTCACGATGCCGCCTCCAACCAAGAATGCACCCGCCAAGCGTCATGTCCGTCGCCGTGCCAAGCCAGGCATGTCTGCACTGCGAGAGATCCGGCGCTTGCAGTAGGGGACGGACCTCCTGATCCCGAAGCCAGCCTTCTTGCGACTGGTACGTACTTACCTATCATGCATCATTAGAGTGATGTTTTTCGTAATGCAGCCTCTGACATGCATATTGCAGGTCCGAGAAATCACCCAAAGCGTAACCACGGAAGAATCTGGCCATCGGTTCACGCCAAACGCACTCGATGCGCTTCAAGAGGCGACCGAAGCTTACCTGTGCCACCTATTCAGGAAGTTGCTGCTATATGCAAGCGGGTCACTATAAATGTGTGGTTCGTGCCTTTCTGACCCGTTTTAGGAGCACATGCGAATGGTTCGTAGACTAACGGCGGGGGCATATGAGTGGGACAGCCCCATAAGTGGGACAGTTTTCACACCAAAAAGCCACACTTGCACCCACAGATAACTCCATTTGAATTGAGATTCTAGATAATGTGAATATAGCAATAGAATCACCTTTTCTTAGAGTTTTTAGAAATACTAATTACTCTCCCAGTATCGCGCAGGCTGGCGGATTGCGCGGCGCGAAGATCGAGCCACAATGGGCTCTTTGGCTTCATCATCCGTGTCATTCTCTCTTTCATCAACAGCAACCCCTTCATCCTCTTCAGAGGGCAGGAATCCCTCCAATTCCTCTAAATCTAACAATTTAGACTCTTCATAGAACTCAGAGAGTGATCTCTCTGATTCGTCAGTACCAAGGTTCTGTAATTCAGCGATTATTCGTCGTCTCTCTGCCCGCTGTTCAATCACAGCTCGTGCGGCCTCCGTATGCTCAATTTGCTCCTGAATAACGTCCCCAACTCTCTATAGCCGTTAATTAGGCTCTTCTTGAGGGGCCTTACGGCGCTTCTTTAGCTATAAACGCTCAATTTTGGCGTCTTTTGCTTCTAGCAGCTCTTTTGCAAGCGCTAGCTCAACCACCGTCTCATCGTACTCTTTCGTAACCGAACGGACTCCTACTCACTGCTCAGAGGTCCCAGCAACTGCTGATAGCATCAGGGCTATGTCCTGCCTTGATTTAGGGACTTCTGGTGCTTCGGGTGTGACCTCTGGGTTCATTATAGCCTCTGCTGCAGCTTGGATCTCCCCTGCCTTCACCACATACTCGTTCGCCAGCGTTTTTTGCCGATTTACAGGCCAAAGCCCAGCAGCATGCCATCCCGAAGGCACGATAGCCAGCGTAGCTTCATTGCAAGCTTTTGCTAAGCAAGAAAGGAACCTAATATTCCCAATAGGGGCTGAATCATTGAGCTGGCCAAGCTAGGCGATCAGGCGGCGGTAGGCGGCCTTCACCACAGAGAAAACGGTCAAATCCAAGGGCTGGAAGATGTGAGACTACCCCTATTAGCAAAATAACTACTAATTAAGCATGTAGCCTACCGTATGATCAGGGAAAAAGTACATATAAACGTTTATATAGCACAGATATATAAACTCGTCCGAGCAGTGGCTGCCATGGCTGTCAAGCACTAATAGGCAAAATCATCTGGATCTTTGGGAGCAGTACCAGGTAGATACACCTGGGGCTTTATTAGCATGTAGTTAACGCCATGTAATGGTAACTAACTTGCTTTCTCAAGCCACTGCAACGCGATCTCGTTCGAGGACCAGCCGTTGATGAATTACGTCACTATTTAGTCTGCTATGCGAGATGCTCCTTGATGAGCTGCTCTTTGAACCACTGCGTCTGTATCAACTTCGCTTTAAAGATCACGAGCGGCCGGAGCTTTGTCTCAGTTGCTGTGATCGATTCGACCACTGTCATCCACGTACGATCGTTGTTAGACTTGACGTTGGCCCCTTTTAAGCCAGAACTGCCTATTACAAGGCCATCAAACCTATAATTGACCGGTCAGCCGTCTGCCAACCACTTAGATTGGACATTTACGTATTGCCGGCCCTGCATAATGCCGTACTTATTGACATTTGTTCGGTTTTTGGGTTGGATGAAGGCGAACTCCTTATAAAGGTCATGGAAGGCATTGACGTTCTCGGGCATGGTGGTGTTGATACGCTTGTAGTCAAGCTTCCTACCCACCTTGGTCTTGATCTCTGGGTGCCTTCGGATGAAGTTTCGCATGTATTTGCCCTCTAAGTGACCTGCCTTGCCCTCAGATTGTAGGATCCGGCAGATAATGTACCTCACATTGCCGTGAGTTGGCACATGGCCAGCCTTTTCTTAATGCAGTATCTATGAGACTACCTTAGACTCCTGTTCATGGCTTATTTTCTGCCTATTACGAGCCCCCTTACGCCTATTCTGGATTTGAGGCATCGTGGTGCCGTCTACCTTGCGCGAGAGAGTTGATTTTGGCACTCCAAAGTGGAGGGAGGCCTTGCGAAGCGACATGTTGTCGTTCACAGCCGCAATCGTCTCTTCAAGGTCTTCTGGCGTGTACAAAGGAGGCATTCTAACGTACTGAAACCTATGATGCTTACAGAAAAGAAAAGAAAAAAAACAGCAAAGAGTCTGCTGGGTTCAAAGGGATAGGGGCCACAGGGGCCATTACCCCTCAGATTAGGCCCGGGAGTGCTAACTTCCGAACCCCACAACGGCCCATCCTGTTGAATGGGAGCCGGAGATAGACACTGGAAGATCTCCAGTGGGGCAGAGACGCACAGGGCATCTGACCCACCAAGAAGACAGATGATCAATCTCTGCACGCAGAGCAGAACAATCAATAGCATCAATCAATCAACATCCGTGTATTCAACACATCCCGTTGGGCTACACCTAATGAAACCATATCAAAAGAAACAACAAGAAAAGACAATTCAGATGCCGTACTTACGGTATCTAGGGCTTCATTGGATATGGAGATGTGTGTAAGTGAACATTGTGATGTTGGGTGTGAAAACTGTCCCACTTATGGGGCTGTCCCATTTATATGCCCCCGCCGTTACTGCAGCAAATTTGAACTGCGCACAGCACGGAGATGTGAGGAATTGGTAGAAGTACCTCGGATTCCTTCTCGGAGAGCATACAGACCTTGTAATACATAGCCATCTCTTCCTCAGAAGCAGCTTCCTCGTCATGTTCCAGACGGTACAGGGACTAGACGAGAGTGATCCCGAGTCCCATGCTTCCTGCAGACTTGCCTTTCAAGAAGCACACCAAGCAGCTAGCTATGTCCTGCATTCTCGCCGCAGCCTCTTCGAGTCACGTGAGATCATGTGGAAAGAAAATTGTTCAGGATGGTGTATGTTAACCTCGCTATCGTCTTCGAGTCCTCGTCTACCACCCGGTTGGTGGCCTGGCTTCGCTTCTTTCGCCCCTCCGTCAAGAGGACTATCTGGAGCACCCACGAGTGCCCATGCAAGCAAACGCAGCTAGATCGTCATCCGGAATTGGCAGCATGGGGGTCGACGGTGCCCTCGGGGAAGGGAGGCCAGCCGTTGACCATCTCGATCCAGTCGGCTCGCTGACGATTACTCATCGTCGTGGTGTCGGTCGATGTAGTTGGCCATGTTAGCCAGGTTCACCACCGTGATGCCAATTCTGGGACTCGCCTGGCCGTCGCGGCGACCTCCTCCTACTCCTCCTCTGTGTTCGAACTCAAAAACGCACACCTGGCGGACAAAGCTTCGCTCATTGCCCCGGTCGAGTGACAGACGTCCATAATGGCGTGCCACTCGTCGGGAGTGGGCGCGGCAACGTCCATAAGTGCCTGCAGCAGGTCGGTCCGTGTAGTATCGTCCCACACGGTGCGGGCTGATGCGGCTTTGGAGGGCATGGTTGAAGCCTTTTTTGAACGGTGGATGGGAATAGAGAAAGAGCTGTGAAGAAACGACGTCTCCAACCTCCGGCTTCGTTGTCAATGTCAAAGTTGAGAGACGTTGAAGTCAGGCTCGCGAGCGTCGGAGGCGTCGTCATCTTCACAGCTCTTCCTCAACATCGCCACCCACCGCCTCTCGTCTACCACTCCCTGAATGCCTTTTAAGGTCATGCAGGACCCGGCTCTCCCAAATGAATGGTTGTCGTCTTTCGGGTAGGTACCTAGTAGAAGGTCGGTCCGCGTGGTGTCGTCCCACGTGGTGCGAGCGAGTGTAGCCTTGGGAGGCATGGTTGAAGTTTCTTCGAATGGCGAATGGGAAGAGAGAAAGAGCTGGGAATGAACGAGGTGGGAGTGGAAGGTGAGAAGTGTGGGAAGGGTGGTGTTTGTGGAAGGAGTGGAGCACCACTTGCACCTCGTCTCTTCACGGCTCTTCATCTTTTCACAAACACTACCTTTCGCTCACTTCTCACCTACCACTTGCACTTCGTTTTTTCCTAGCTTTTTTTTTTATAGATTATTTACGGCTTTTTGTTTATTACTTTCTAAATGCCTTTTAAAGTTATACGGGGCCTAGCTTTTTTAAATAAATAAATAAATGTTATTTTACGTCGTGCGGGCTAATGCGGCCTTAAGAAGCATAGCTCAGTTAGAACGATAATTGAGTTTAAACAAAAAGAGATTTTTTAAAAAGGATTTTTTTTAAAACCCCTATAATAAAACAAAATGCAAATGATAAGTAAGAAATAAAAAAAAAGGTATGTTACGAACCAACAAATACTACGGCCTGTTAGGGGGCCAAGGGGAGCACACCAAGAACCAATAAAATCATAAGCCAGGAATGGAACAATGGGTATTACAGATTACATAACAAGCGGTCACATGACGGATCACTGAATCACGAAGTGAGCCTGCAAGGATCACTGGATTAGAGAGTGAGCCAGTGAGCATCACTCTGGGACAAGCTGATCCTATTCTATCAGTGAGGGAGAGATTGGATATATAAGGACAGGCATTTCTTAGCTAGATAGATAGATAGTCTTTATTTCAGTAATTAATCTAAGTATCTTAGCCAACCCTAAGATAGAAGAAATCTCCTGACGACTCGACTACACAGTGAACCCAGTTCAGACCAAGCCCCAGCATCTGAGTGTCTTCTAGTTGATAGAAGCCTCTATCATCTTTTGTGTTGACTTATCTCAGAATATAAACCTTATAGAACCCTTTAGCCTTATAGGTTAGACGGCTCGTCACAGAGAGGCCGTGGATAAGCTACGGACAAGGAAGAGCTATGAAAAGAGGAAGAGCTGTGAAGATGACGAGGTGCAAGTGGTGCTCAACTCCTTCTATAAACACCACCTCTCCCTCACTTCTCACCTACCACTTGCACCTTGTTTTATCGCAGCTTTTTTTTTATAAAAAACTCTTTCTTTTTAAAGCTTTTTTATAAGTTTTTTTTGTTTAAAGTTGATTATTGATTTAATTTAACTAAGCTTTTTAAGGCTATGTCAGCCCTACAATGTAAAACGATAACTAACTATTTATTTTAAAAAGCCAGGTCTTATATAGCCTTAAAAAGCATTTAGAAAATAATAAATAAAAGGCCGTAAATAATTTTTTAAAAAAAGAGTTAAAAGAGACGGGGTATGAGTAATAGGTAAAAAAAAAAAAAGGGATATTTATAAAAAGATAAAGAGCCACAAAAAACGAAATATAAGTAATGTTTTATTCTTTTTATAAATACTACCTTGTGACGAGCCATCTAACCTATAAGGCTAAAGGGTTCTATAAGGTTTATATTCTGAGATAAGTCAACACAAAAGACGATAGAGGCTTCTATCAACTAGAAGACACTCAGATGCTGGGGCTTGGTCTGAACTGGGTTCACTGTGTAGTCGAGTCGTCAGGAGATTTCTTCTATCTTAGGGTTGGCTAAGATGCTTAGATTAATTACTGAGATAAAGACTATCTATCTATCTAGCTGAGAAATACCTGTCCTTATATATCCAATCTCTCCCTCACTAATAGAGTAGGATCACCTTGTCCCAGAGTGATGCTCACTGGCTCACTCCCTGATCCAGTGATCCTCGCAGGCTCACTCCGTGATCCCGTGATCCATCACGTGACCTTTTGTATGTAATCCGTAATACCCATTGTTCCGTTCCTGGCTTCTGATTCCATTGGTTCTTGGTGTACTCCCCTTGGCCCTCCAACAGGCCATGGTATTTGTTGGTTCGTAACACTCTCCTCTACCACTCCGGAATGCCTTTTAAGGTCATGCAGGACCCGGCTCTCCCAAATGAATGGTTGCTTGTCGCCTTTCGGGTTGGTAGTAGGTCTATTCTGGTATTGTCGTCCCATACCGTTCGGGCAGCTGCGGGGTTCGGAGCCATGGTTGCGGAGTTCTTGGAACGGTGAATGACTGGAGAAGATAGGAAGAGCTCTGAGCAGACGAGGTGCAGGGGTGGGTGAGAAGTGAGGGAAAGGTGGTGCACCTCGTCTCTTCACAGCTCGTCCACCGTTCCAAGAAATGGAGGAAGTGTGGCTTATATGCCCAGATTGCGGGGCATACTTCATCGACTTGAAGAGGGTGACCATGGTCTCCGCCTGCTTGGTGGTGATCGCATTGGTACCGTCGTCGGTAAGTGCCATCTTGAGGGAGGAAGGGAGGAGTAACAACGTGAGGGCGTCTCTCTCCCTAGGTGATCGAAAGAAGAAAAGGAAAGGGATGAACGAAGCGAAGCGGCTTAGTTGACTCAAGTGAGGATCGATGCTGCAGACTTTCCTTCTTCCCTGACAGGCTGATCACCACGACCACCAGGAGCCGGAGTCGGGACGAGACTGAGCTTTCTCTTCTTCGAGGGTGAGGGCTGGACGGCAGCATCTTTGTTACCACCCTTTCGCTTCTTGTGACCGGGCTGATCATCCGAGAGCTGACCTCGGTTGGCAAAGTGGCCGCTGTGTGAAAGGTCAGAAACATGATACATCAAAGAGAAGTGAATTCAGTTCTGGTTGGGTGTGTACTTACTAGTCGCTGGTGTTGGTGCCTCGGGTGTTCTTCTTCGGCGCGGGAACCTCGACAACCTCGTTATCTTCTTCGGCGTCATCATCTTCGGCCCCCTCCATGGTGTACTTGTTGTACTCCGCTACCGCCTTGTTCGTCATGTCCTTATGGTCGTACGCCGGCATGACGATTTCTTCATGAAGGTTCTCGTCGCTGGGAGCAGCGCCTCGCTTGGTAGCGGCAGTGGCTTTCTACATGGTGTCGCCAGTCTTCTTCTCCTTACGCTTGAGCGAGGGTCGAGGTACCAGTAGCGGCGGCGAACGAGAAGGAGGAGCCGCGGGAGCACCAGGCGCGCCAGTACCGCCACCACCATCAGAACCACCAGGAGCCGGAGTCGGCACGAGACTGAGCCTGTTTCTCAACCGGCTTCAGATGGTGCTGGCTGACTTGGTATTCTTGTAGCCGCCATGGGCGGCAAAGGTCTCGAAGTCAATCTGGATCATGACTGTCAGTGGTACTCTTCCGGAGTAGGCAAAGTGCCTAAGGGAGAGGCATTATGGGAAGTGAGTGAGGTGCAAGTGGGAGGCAGTATCGGCGGCCGGCCCTTATACCAGGTGGACGTTGTGACTTACCGCCGGGGCATTCTTCACTGTCTTGAACACGTTGACTTCTCACCATGGCGGAAGGACAGATCAGACTGAACGGTAGTCCGTATGCCATGAGGTTATATCAATGAGAAATCAATAAGAAATCAACGGTGTCAAACGTATATTCAATGTCCCCGGCGGGACGACTTGAACACGTTGACCATCGTCTCCGCCTCCTTAGCGGTGATGGCGTTGGCACCGTCGTTAGTAGGTGCCGGCATTCTTCATGGACTTGAAGACTACGAAGCCCTCTGACTTGAGAGAGACAGGGTCAATGTCATCGTCCTCCGTTTCGCTGGTGCCATATTGGCGTTGAGGTTGGGGGAGAAGACGAACACAGTTCAGCCATGAGCCACCAAAAAAACCCAAAAAACACATCGCTAATTTGCCCAAAGGTTACGGAAGAGCCTGAATTGATTCCATATCATCGATACCATCTCAATCTGGTGGGTTGGGAACACGAAGTCATCGTCCTCCTCGAGGTTGACAATCCAAGTAAGCGCATGGCCTCTAGGCCGCTGCTGTTCTCGCACCCGTAGGGTCTCCCTGTCACTGCGTACCGAGCGCGGTGCTGATTCACTGGCCTGCGTCGCAAGAACCGGGCAGTTGCAGCAGCCGCTTCCTCCACAGTTCCAGTATGCTGGTTTTGGTGTCGAGTCAAGGTAGTCCTTCGTGTGAAGGTCTTTCTGACAGTCAGCGTAGGGGCTCTTGTAGGGTCGGTTGCCAGAGTGGATGCGCCGATGTCTCGCCAGTGAGCAACTATCGCTAAAAGGCTGCAGAAGATTAGTAGTCGGATCTCACAAGGGGAGCAGCGCGGCCATACCTTTGCCACAGCGCTCACACATGTGAGGCTTTTTCACCCGTGTGGACTCGCTGTAGTTCTGTTAGGTTATTTGCACCATGGTATCCGCGGGGAACGTAATCGGCAGCGTGAATGGGGTGATTTAGTCCCTACAAGGGAAGGCCGTGCTAGGGCAAGTATCAACTTTGCGAGCGTCGATGAAGGGGTCGCGATGGGACAACCATGCTGGGGCTCCTCTTGCAAGGGTGCACTCACAATCGAGCCAGCACACCGTGAACTCATTCTCAGAGGCTGATGGTAGCCAAGGTACTGCGGCTCACTGAATGATGAATCTCGTCAGCACATGCACAGATGGTCTAGGGCGAGGACTCAGGATGGCACAGGAGGATTCAGACGAATTGGCGTGCCCCTGAGGGTGGCTGTACTCGAGAGATGTAAGGGTGGATGTGAGGGTGGTTGAGATGTGGGATCGGCGACCGCACCCTTAAGAACATGGCGACAGCACCTCTTGTGGCTACCCCACCCCGCCTATTCAGTGACTGTGGAGTTGCCGCTTGTATCATTTTGTGGCTACCCCGGCCCCCTATCTCTGGCATGACTCTTACCTTGCGAAAATCGAAGTATGGTGCCACACAGGTGAAAGAGAAGAAGACAAAGAGGCTCTATGCCCACCTAAACACAGTAACTACCCCTACCATTCTTCTCACAAGGCGATGACATCAAAATATATACGAGTAACAGCTGTAGAAAACTGAACATGCCAATTAAACGTATGATCTTTACACAATTCTTTATCATGTCTCAGCTAACTTGATTGATTGATTGATTGATTGATTGTATTTAACGTGGGGGGTAGCTCCTCAGTAGTGCAAACCACGCCTCCCAGAGCCTCTGTATCGCAGGGTTGTGGAGGTCTCAAGATAATAAGTATAGTCAGTCCCGCTCACGGGCCCATCCCCGTTGTTGCGGCGGTGTGACCTTGGGGTCATCCATCTGGTCCTTCAAGAAAAGCTATCTATTGGGGGCAGATTATTGAAAAGAACTTGCTCTTTTCTACAAATTTTGCCCATTCTGTGCTCCTCTCCCTTAAGTATTGTAAACAAGCTGTCCTAGGCGAGTACCTAGACAGTAGCCGGTTTTTCCCCAGCCTCTTACAAAAAAATATATGTTGTGGTGTTTTCTTCTCACCACAGCTGTAATGATTATTCGAGTCTGTATGCCCAAAGCGTTCATAGTATCTGGCAAAGTCGCCATGTCCAGATCTGGCCGCTAGAAGTCTGTGTAAAGTACTCCTCTTAAAAGATATAAGGTCTTTTTTAGTTACTGCATGTGAGTATACTTCTTGATACCTAGATTCTGATTGGTCTTTCTACCATTGGCTGAACTCTTTCTTGCCCTTTTTTTTGAGATCTCTCTTGACCCAAGAGATTATAGGAAGGTTTGTTGTGTCTGTTTCTAGCATAACACCCTCTTTTGTTAGTGTGTCGGCAGTTTTGTTGCCATTAATATCTCTGTGTCCAGGAATTCATTTGACGGTCACTCCAGGAGTGTGTGCTGTGGCAAGTTCTTGAAATCGTAGAAAAATGTTCTGTGATGTCTTGGGTGGAGTCCCATTGAGCCCATCTACCACTGACGTGTTGTCCAGGCAGACATATAGCTGTTTTCCGTGTCCAATTGCCCTGGCTGCTGCAAGACCTTGGAGAGCACCATGGACTTTAGCATCTATTACTTCTGCTTGGAGAAGTCTGCCCTTTCCCCGGTATATTTCTTGTATAGTGCCGCCTTTCCTGATGGTATAACCCCATCCAGTGCGGGTTGTGCCTTGGTCGTCCAACTGTGATCCATCTGAATAGATAACAAGGTCAGTGTTCACGTTTCTCTCCTGTAGTCATTGCTTAAAGAGCTCTGTTTCTTTGTTTTTGTTTTTACAGATTAGGGGCTTCTTTTATAATAGCCTGGTAAGTGTTGGTCTCTGGAAGTCAGGGACTAGCTGGAAGCTCCTTTGTAGCCTTATTGGATTCTTGCGAGCTTATATTTGGAGCCTGCCAATAAGAGGGTGTCTCTGGTCTATTCGTCCTAGTTGGAGGCCGTGACGTTGTCTTATTGACTCTGCAAGAACTCTTGCTGGGGGAATCTGCGATTCAAAGTGTAGGATATATCCAGGGTGTGTTTTCCAGACTGGCAAGATAGCCCTGATCGCTGTTCGTAGTACGGCATCTATTGTTCTAAGAAGCCCCTTAATACGACATGCTGATGTCCCACCTAAGCTCCCAACTTTCTCGATTCCTGGGTACCAGGCCTCCAGGCCGTGTGTAAGAATAGGAATAACACAAGCTTTCACAGCCCTTTTGATTGATTTTATTGGAAGTCCTTTGACTGTGTTGTATAGTCCTTGAAGGTGATTTGCTACTTTATTAGCTTTTTTGGCCCAGTAGGAAACATGATTTTTGAAGTTTAGTTTTCTATCCAGGAAGACACCCAGCCATCGCATGGAGTCCTTTGTTATTTTATTCATTGTCCTGTGGCGGACTGGAGGGTTGTCTGAGTTCTTTTTCCTTGAGAAGTGCATGATCTTAATTTTATCAGGGTCAAATTCAATAGTGTTATTATATCCTTATTGACTGAACAAATAAAGATTTTTAGAAACCTCTGTAGCTGTTTCCTTAAGGTTCTTTCTAATGCAGAGAGTCACTAGGTTGTCTGCATATCCAAAGCGTCTCTTTTTCATACCAAGTCGGGCACAGATTGGCTCTGTATACAGCATGTAAAGGATTGGAGAGGCTGGTGAGCCTTGTGGTAGCCCACAAGTGAGAGCTTTAATATCGGTCACAATACCTTCAAACCGAACCCTTGCGGACCGCTCGGACATGAATGACTGGACCCATCTTATGAGAAAGCCCGGCCAGCCCTGTTCTCTCATGCGAACCACCAGCCGTCCCATTAGGGCAGCATCAAAGGCCCCTTTCACATCTGACGTGACTACTGTTGCAACGAGGCCTTGGTCGAGGGCCTGCTCAATATCGTGTATGAGTGCAGCTACCAGGTCAGTGGCAGAGCGCTTTGATAGAGCTCTAAAATGTTGTGGAGCTAGAATTCTAAGTTTGACAACAAACCAGGTAATTCTTTTCGCGATGAGTCGTTCTAGGCCTTTGCCAAGACACGACAATAGCGATATTGGTCTGTAGGCCCTGGGATTTGAATAGTCTTTCTTTCCTGGTTTTGGGATCATCACTATCTCAGCTACTTTGAATGGTTTAGGGTAGTGTCCAATCTGTAGACAGGTCTGGAAAAGGGCTCTGATATATTCCCTAATGAATGGCCAGCAAGCTTTCAGAATCCGTACTGTGAGGGTATCTATTCCCGGGGAGTTGCTCTTGGTCCCTAAAGTGCACCCTTCAGCCTCTTCCAGTCCGACATGGTATTCAAGGGGGATGTATGGCTTGGGTTGCGTGATCTGAGCGGACCAGGGGTCGATGATATCGTTGTCTGAGGTACTTCGTTCAAGCGTGGCTGAGCGTAATGCATTTGCCTTGCTCTCTTGTGACTCGAATATTTGGTCTCCTATGATGATTGGAGGGGAACGCAATCCTGCTGATAGCTTGTGCCAAGAGACGATTCGTCTCAGCTAACTTATATGCGATTCTCCCAAGGCAACGATATATGGGGCGTCTGGCTGGTGTGGCTTTTTGCATTCATCGTATGCACCGCGTGGTTGGCCCCTGAGCCCAGCAATCAGATTGAGACCAGGCATGGGATGGGTCAATTGAGCTACAAGAAAGAATAGGTTGAGAATATATACTGTATGATAGAGTATCGACGTGGAAGGACATGTACCGGGAATTGCAGTGCGAGGGACATTCCCATCGAAGCCAAAGCAACGACTGACCTGACGGGTATCATGGCGAAAATGGGTTGTGGACTTGCTTGGCTGAAAGAGCTATTGGTAAATGAAGGAGGTTGGGGTGGCGCCAGCCTGCAGGTATTTGTCGTGTAGGTATTGAGTTTGTTCAATGTTGTAATTTGAAATCGAGCCTGCTCGTAACTCGTTGAGTAATGAACGTCAAATGAATCACTATTATGCTATCTTTCCAGCCGAGTGAAGGAGTCTGGCTAGGTGGTCCTGTGAGAATTCTAGCCATGTACATCGACAACCCCAACTTGCCAACTGAACATTTCATATGGAAAACTAGTCGCGATCAGGCCAGGCTATGTCAGATCCTGGGTGACAATTATGTGTTCCGAGCAAGTATCGCGACTTGCTTCTGCATTTCCAGGGCAGCCCTTGTCACTCTGAAGGCCCGTCCCAGACTTCCCGCTAACTCACGCCCGGGAGTAACGCTTCGGGGCCAAGTCAACGGCTCTCGTGGTGCTGTCTCTGGAGAGCCACCATCCGGACCAAGGTCTAAGGCTTGGAGGATGTTATGCGCATTGTACTCCCTGGTGTAGCCATCGTCCTTTCTCCTTCCTCTACCGGAGGACTCGACCTGGTCCGCTTTGTTGGCTCGCCAAGGCCTTTGAAGTTTGAACGTGAAGACCGCCCAGGTCATCCTAGGCTGTCAACCAGATTGGGTCGTCAAAGAAGCCTCGCAATGACACGATTGACTGACATAGTCACAAAGCAACACATACAATGCTATTCTCCTACAGCGGGAGAAGCCGCGGCCACTGGACCTGGCGGTTCATTGAGGGGCGCCTTGTACTTGGTAGAAGAGCTCCTTGTCGTGGGGACAATTTATGAAGAAGCGGTCGCGATCTAGGTCGCGGACACAGACCGAGTGCTTCGATATATAAGGCCACGACGAACAGCTCCAGTTGGGATTCTGATCATCATCACATTCCACTTCAATTCTTCTCCACCTTTCTACCACTATCATTCCACCCACTCATTAACACCCCTTAAAACCCGCCTCTTCACTTCTAACCGTTCCCCTTCTCCTCACCCACCATGTCCAGCATCGCCATCTCCTCCTCCCCTGCCGCCATCGGCCCCGTCGTCCGTAGACAGGACACGGGCTGCCGTGTGACCCTAGGCGCCGGTCTCGTGCCCGCTGCGATGTCGCACAACGCCAAGACGTGCAAGTGCCTCCCGGCCCAGACCACCGAGGACCTGGAGCGTCTGGCGGTGAGTGTCCGGGACGCGATGTCTATGGACATCCTGTGCTCAGAGAAGCCGAGCTTGGCTGTGGCGATGTTTATTCTGGGTGCGGAAGTCGTGTACTAGTAGGGTAGTTCAGGGCGCGGGTGGTTCAGGGATAGGAATTATGAATTGTCCAAATGGCTGGAACTATGGACCCTAGACTGTACATACGAAGGAATTTTAGGCAATTAATAAGTTTTCTAGACGTGATATGTCAAGAATGTGCCGCCTCGTCTTGTGTACACTGACCCGCCATAAGTCTCCGAGCATCCCCGCATTTATACCAAAATGCCCTACCTTTACGCTTTTATAACTAAAGACTTAAAGCTTTTTAAAATGAGATATTATAAGAAACTAATATTTGAAAATGCTGAAGTTTCCATAACTAATTTCTAAATATTTATTTTCTTAGCGACTAAAATATTAAGACATAGATATATAAAAGTAAAGTTTAAAATCTTAAATCTTAAATCTTAATAAAGCTATAAAAAACGTTTAAAAAATCGTATAAGTCGTAATAAAGTTATATAATATTAAATAACATGTAATACACGTATAAGGCGAAAAATCTTATGTGATAGATTTTTAAAAAAAATAGATATGTTAGAAAGTTATTTTTATCGAAAATTTAACCTTTAATAAAGTAACATTTACGACCTTTATCTTTAAGATGTCAAAAATTTTGAGTAAACCATTTTAATATTCCAGCAAATTTAACTATATGTACTATAAGTACTTAAGTTGTATCTATTTTACTCGATTTATCACGATCGCGTAAAGTTGGGGTGTTTGGTGTAAAACAGGGATGCTCGGAGACTTATGGCCGGGGAGTGTAGCAAAGCTCCGTCCTTCCGATGCGAGTCCCACGCAGCCGTGCAATCCAGTAACTTACTAGTTACAGTGTTTCACTTCTCTGTGCCATCGAGCTCTGGGCCAACAGTCGTTGATGGTAGCTCGCTCGCCTTGGTGTGGTAGCTGTCAACTGGACTGCCATACCCGTAGGTGGCCATCTCAGGCACTGTGCCTACATGTTGAGTATCACCTTGCCACCGCGGTCGTTGATATAGGTGGTGCTGCTGGTACTGTTGCTGAGCTTGGTACGACTCTTCTCTTGCTGCCACAGCGGCTGCTTCTGCCTCCTTGACTCTCTTGCCTAGCGACCTGTTACGCCACATGAAGAAACCGAGCGCAGCCAGGGTCAGAGCTAGAAGAACTCCTTCAACCGCCAACCCTGCGATGGCGCCTGGAGTGACGTTCGATGACGACGATGCTGAGGTACTGTTCGATGATGACGATGCTGAAGTACTGTTCGATGATGATGCTGAGCTACTGCTCGGTGAGTTCGACGTGGCTGCAGATGCCCCCACGGTGATCGCGCCTATGCCGGATCGTAGCTGTGCAGCGACGGTGCCGGTAGTCGGAGACAGGTGGAATGAACTATTGAGGCAAGCTTCGGCTGACAAGAGGTTCGAGTCGGATTCGCAGCAGAAGAGGGTGTCATTGTAGCTTTTCAGATGAGCGTTATCGAACTTGCCTTCGTCGTATGTCAGCATGGAGGGCCAATGCAACAGGTGTGTAGTTATCTAATTGAGAAGACTTACCTCCAAGGCAATACTGAGGACAGCTTGGATCTTTGAGCGTGGGATCTGTACACCCTGTCGACCAAAGAATATGGCTCTGTTGTACCGCGGCAGTGTTCAGGCACAATCCAGAAGATAGACAGGCGTCTGAGTTCTCCAAGTTGCAGCAGGCACTGTGAGATCCCTCAGTACCCGTGGCGTTGGGGTTACATGCTGCGACTGTCGAGCCGGCCGTTGAACCATCGAGGTGGTAACAATTTGCCGCTCGTACCACGGACAAGGAGACGAGACAAGATCCAACGACCGACAGTAACAAGGTGCGAGGCATATCGGAAGCGAATGGAATCGACCAGTTGGGTCGGAATAATGAGTGTCCTGTCGATGATGCTGAGACCAAGAAACGAGAAGCCCAGAGCCAGATAGCAGGACCGGCAGCCTTATGACTTAAGGTAACCTTGGACGCCGGTATGCATGTGCGCACTAAACCTGGGCAAGAAAGTGCACTTTGCAGCTGCGGCTGAAGCATCATATGATGGTAGAAGCATCCCATGCATTGGTCTTTTTGTGGTGGACATTGGTGAGCTGCTCTCCAGGGGCATCCATGTGTGTGAGGCTCTTGCGACAGACAAGCTCAAAGGCAAGTGGTCGATGAACGGCCTGCCAAAGACACATACCTGCCTCATCAGGGGTCTTGCAAGGCGATCATGTGGAGGCTGGTTCGCGCCTTGACACCGAAAGCCTCAAGGGCTATGAAGGGGTATGCGCAAGGCCCAGTCTTATGAGATCTGCATATGTATGAACCTAGTTGCACTTCCAGTATTTGAAGCGCCGAGAACGCCATTGGTCAATCCTACGAGAATCCATCGCCAGCTGAATGCATACCTAGCAGCCCTAGTACGTAAATAAGACTGAAAGTAGACCGGCCACTGTCATCTGCTAGACACTCACTCGAGAAGACATATACCTTGTCCATCCCAATGTGACGGAACAGCACTGGATACGCACCCGACACGAGGCCGTCCTGATGTCCCTACACCGTAGTGACCATACGCACCAACATGCACAACTCTACGAGACTAAACGGCATAATCATCACTGCTCACCTGGCATGTGCTTAATCTACTCTGCCTCACTCCATATCCGACCAGTCTCGTCCTCAAGACCTGCTTTCGAAACACACAAGCAGTCCCGTCCTCGCAGTGTGAAACGGAGTCTCCGACCTTTGCTCCCTTGGCCGCGAGGACAAGCTCCGAAGGAACCAAGAGAGCAAGTCGCCACTGCGGCCGACGATCTGGAGGGAAGGCGTCGTTCATAAGTGAAGCTCGTCCGAATGCGAATTCTCCAAGTCGAGCCCTACCGCCCGACTCAGGAGGAGTGCCGCCACTTTTGTCCGCAGCACGGCCATCGGCGTCGCGTAGTCCGTGAGGTAGTATTTCAGTCCCGTCGTCACATCTCCAGCCATGCTGAGCAGCGCGATGACCTTATCTCTTGGGTCCATGGCCTTGGACTTTTCGGTAAGTCGAATCAGCTCAAACAACGAAGGCTTGATCCGGGTACCTTCGAGTAGAACAGCCAGTAGTCGTACGGTACTGCACCGTTCTCCGAAGCTCTTTCCATCCCTCGCTTGGACTTCTCCGAAGCCAAAGCTTTCAGGAACCTGTACTGGCTGTACTCCTCGTTGCCGAACATAACGACAAGTTTATTCGCGGCCCAGATCTCCTGCAGGATCCAGACCCGAGTAAAGTACGAGTGGTCGAATAGTATCGAGGTTGCGACCACGTCCCCCTCCTGGTGCATCACCGATGCGGGGATGACGGTGCTGTTGTTGAGATGCACGACAATGCGGCGAAAAGAATAGATCTTGTCCATTTTCCTGACCTGCTCGCTCTTCTCAAGCGGGTCCTGCTGGATGATGCAGATAGCGTCGATCCACACGACTCTGCGTTCGCTGTGCCGCCTGAGGGCGCGCAGAGCCTCGAGGCAGTTGTTCGTGACATATAGTGAGGTATCGAGAGGGGAAAGACCTGTATTTGCACTTGATCAGTTTCTGGTCTTCTGAGCTGCCCCAGGTGTAGGAGAGCGATTCGTAGTCGAAAGGATGCTCAGGCATTTCCGCCGGGAGCTCAGCCCTCATCTTCCTTGTGCTCCACCAGCGTTGTATCCGTGAGGTGTTGATTTTGGGATGGTGGTAAATAAAGCAGACTACATGGTCATTCGGGTGCCCTGGTTGGATCTCATTCAGGCGTATGCAGTCCTCGCCTAACGTTCGGTATCCCAGCATACATGGAGTATGTCCCGAAGTCTGGTTCGACGAAATATCGGTGGCCGTGACGACGATGGTGTCGACGATGTCGACTCACCATTGAGCAGGATTGTGACTCGTGAGTGTGTGACCTAAACTTGAGGCTGGGACGAGCTGATCCTTGATCCCTGTTAAGATGAGACAAGCCACAATCCGCCAGCCATAAATTAGCAAGCCCCTCCCTGTCTCTTTACTACATTCATCTCGAAGTGGAGTGTTATCACGGTGCGAGGTTGCACAGTGACCGTCGCGCTATCTGATCGAGTGCGAACGAGCACCACCTAGGATGTGGCTGGTACTCTCACTCCTTGCAGTCGCATATGCCCCACAACGACCCCTGCTGTGCTAGGGCATATTGGCCATTCTGCGTGGAAACGTGGCGTAGGCCTTAGTTGGTACCAGCCACATCCCAGGTGGTGCTTGTTCGCACTCGATCAGATAGCTTATCTTCACGTGATCTAAAAAAAACAAGCTTCGATTCATCCGATCTTGGCAAACCATAGGCCGGGCCAAGCTCTAGGAACAGAAGCTTATGCAGTCTTGTGCATGGTTTTGGAGCTCGTTCGTCATTAGCGTCATCTGAAAACTTGGCAGGGACCAAGGACATCCCGTCTACCCGTTCTGCATGATGTAGAGAGCGTCATAGTACCTCCTATGTTGCCCAGGTATAAGTGCATGCCAAGCCCAATTTACTACCCTATGTACTCCCTTCGAACAACCACAACCACATCACTTTCTGCTCAAACACTCCAACAACTATTCACCCCTCTCACACATCAACCAAACAACCAAACAACCAATTGCCCACTAGCACTCAACCAATCAACATGGGCCTCATGGGAGACATCGAAGGCGCCATGGGCGGCAACGGCAACAACCAGCAGCAGCAGGGCAATAACAGCTACGACAGCCAGCAAGGTATGGGCGGCGGCTACGACCAATCCAACCAACAGGGCGGTGGCTACGATCAATCCAACCAACAGGGAGGTGGCTACGATCAATCCAACCAACAGGGTGGTGGCTACGATCAATCCAACCAACAGGGAGGTGGAGGATACGACCAGCAACAGCAAAGCGGTAGCGGGCAACAGAAGCAAGGCCTCATGAGCGAGATGGAAGGTGCCGGAAAGAACGCCATGGTCGACCAAGGTTAGTAACTCATCCGTCTGTTGTGGACTTGTGGTTAAGCAATGCTGACGTCCATCATGTAGAGGTCAACTCGTTCATGAACAAGGAGGGTGTCCCGGCTGGTGCAGATGGCATGGTCGACAACTTCGTCAACAAGGAGGCCGACAAGTACATTTGAGCTAGGAAACGAACGGTGTTCCACGATGGACGGGAATGCTTGAGCACTCCGAGCAGACTCCCCTTCTCAGCCTACATGAGAGCAGAGCGAAAGCTTGCAGACAGATAGGAGCTGAGTATGAAATGATGATTTCTCTGTGTCTTGTCGATCCGCTTGAAACATGGCGACGGGCTTGAAGTTCAACAGTCGGATCCGGTGTTACACGTGTGGTTTGTTGTTTGTTTGTTTGTTTTGTATTTAACGTGGGGGGTAGCTCCTCAGTAGTGCAGACCACGCCTCCCAGAGCCTCTGCATCGCAGGGTTGTGGAGGTCTCAAGAAAATAAGTACAGTCAGTCCCGCTCACGGGCCCATCCCCGTTGTTGCGGCGGTATGACCTTGGGGTCATCCATCTGGTCCTTCAAGAACAGCTATCTATCGAGGACAGATTGATGAAAAGAATTTGCTCTTCTCCACGAATTTTGCCCATTCTGTGCTCCTCTCCCCTAAGTTGTTACACGTGTGGGTTGTGTGCATACCTTATATGTGCTTGGATGTGTGAGAGGGGTGGTGATGAGGTTGGTGCTGTAGTCCGATCCGTCTCGAGTTGCGTACTGGACTCAAAGCCTATATATGCATGCGTCTTGGGCATGGCATCGAGGTTGATTGGTGTCGACAAGTCAAGCATGCTTCACTTAAGACAAGGTCGACGGGGTGGTGTTGAGATGCCTATTGCTGGCTGCACTTGGATTGCCGCAAGCTGCGACTGCCTTGGGAGAAAGAAAGCACCCAAGTTCAGCCCCTTGATCGACCACCTCTTGTTGAGGGGCCTTAGTCGCGGCTTCGCTCGTTGGTACAAATTCGTTACAGGGCACAATTCTGTCACGAATAATCTACCCGGCCTGGCCGGCCTACAAGTCTGATGCCATTCCATATGAGGTTTATGTATGAATCTATTTCTGATATTCTTACAGTATACGTCTGACGATGAGTCTCTGACGATGAGCTTCTATGGCGCACCTTTTCGGCTTATGCAAGCATCTCCCGTCGGTACTGAAGCTCCCCTGCCATCATTACCAATCGCACCGGGTGCGCCGTCTTCGCTCGAGGCTTTAATCTCACAGTAACGGAACGCCTACCGGTACCTCCTACATTGCAGGAAGCTCAGCTTCTCCTCGGTCGGTCTTTCCGCCTGTCGTATACCGACAATATCTCCTTCCGTCTGATCATCCATGGCGACGGAAGGAAAGGCTTCAAGGGCAACGAGAGAATGAGACTACCAGTGCAGTCACCGCTCTCGTCCTCGTCCCCGTCATATCCGCCTCGTACAGAGTGAAGTATCGCTGCCGGTGCTTGGTCGCTTCTCTCTCAAGTGACGCGCCCCGCATTACACTTCTCGAAAGCTGTCCGGAGTCCATCCATAGACTCGATTCATCCGTTTGCCATGTCGTCGAACCTTGCGGATGGAAACCTTGTTCGCCGGGTCCAGATCATGGAAATGTATGCCACGCGCCAGACCAAGGTCTGCCACCGCTATGAATTCCCAGATGGAACCCCCGAGATTCTGAACACTGAAGCCAATCTTCGTCATTGTATACAACAACTCAGTCCATCTGGTTTCCCCCGGCGAATCGAGCAGTATACGCAAGATATTGTAGGCCCTTCTGTCGACAGATATTCTCTGTTCTGCTTCTTCACCGTTGTCGCTCGTGCCGTGGTGTTCCGCTGCCTCTTTGGTGCAAGGTAACCAGCGGGTCTTCTTTTTCTCCTCGGGAAATACTGTGGACCTGCCCCGGCTCAGTGTAGGTTTTGCCATGGTGCATTCGAAGGGGCCGCCGTTACATTCTCAGTATCTCAAACCGACTGTAGCGTAGTCGACTTCGGGGCCGTGGCCGGTGTTGCCTCTTTCGGCTTCCAGATGGTCCTCAGGGGCTTCGCCCTTGCTAGGATAGCCCGCAGCAGCAGCGAAATGGAGTCTTTTCGCTCGAGTTCCTTATTCACCACCGTCCAGAGTCGTGCAAGACTCTTCTCCGAGGCGGTCATAGTCTCGGCTCTTTCCCGAGTCATTCTTGTCGGATGGGTAGACGAATTCTCCCTTCACGATGCTGCCTTCGCTGCTGGCTGCCACCAAGACTTTCTTTTCGCTCATTCGTCTGCAATATGCTAGTGTATCTGGAGTATGGCACATTGTCATGTTCTTCGGCAGTGTCTTAACGGTTATATACGTACCTAGTTGCTCGGATCTAGCAGTATGAAGGTAACCAGACACTACCTATAACGCGAGAACAGCGGATTCTGACAAGACTTATCACGGTAGGGTTATTTATGCCCAGCTGGGGCGTGTCAACCAGCAACAAATCCAACCCATGCTGTTCTGTATCCGTCTTCCAAAGCTCAATGAGTCATCGCGCCATGTTTTGCTAATGAGATCTATCAACACACATGCTACAATTACGACTCACAGCATGATCTCAGCAGGTTGATTTGGGCTTCTCTAAACACATCGACAGACGGGTTGCCGGGAGGAATCGTTGGCGGTTTTCATTTGAAGGTACTCGCCATCGACAGCCAGCTCAACGCACGATCTCTCTTGACAGGAGCGAATGTCGATTCATTCCATCTACCCATTCCGCTTATTCTCGTGTCGTACATACCTATTCTTCATTCAAGCTGGCCGTCATCCATTACCAAGCAGCCCCCGACCGCTGCCACCAACCTGTCTTATTCTCCCCACACCTCGATTACTCCAGTCCTCATCGTCGCCTCTTCACCACCTTCTTCGACTGCGCAACCTCATCTAACGGCCCTTGACATTCCACTGGACCGGCAATCGCTCCGTCAAAAAGCTTATTCCATCTAAAAAGCAATCTGTCCTTAGCAATGGCCTTGGGCCTCCCTTAACCCCGAACACCGTCAGTGCTGATCTGATCTCTGATCTCAAAGCTGATCTTGGAAACCTTACCCCCCTTTTCGACACAGATCAGACCAATAGTAAAATTCGTACCAGATCGAAGGCGTTCCTGTCCGCAGCGCAGCCAATCAAAATTTCTGCACACCGAACTTAATCGCGATCAAAACCTTCACCGAACCTGATGGCGCATCATTCCAGCCAACCACAACGCTGGATCAGCACAATCACGCAGAGCGGCAAGCCCTTTTCGTCGACGAACCTGCGATGACTCGAATCGGCCAGATCACAGTATATTAGGTTTGCTCTGCCTCAAGCACAATCAGTAAGTGGAGTCCTCCCAGGAAACATATTTAAAGGAAGCCAGCCCTCCGTCCTCCCAATCCATTCTTCCCTTCTTCCAGTCACTTTCCCATCCTCATGCACACCATCATCCCACACCACCATCCCACAACACCATCCCACAGCATCATCTACACCATCATCATCTACGCCATCATCATCTACCCATCATCCTTCTTCATCTTCGTCACTATCACCACATTCTCGCCTGTCCCCCGTCGTCCTGAGCAGCGACGTTAAACTGAGGTGCTCACCAACCATCCCCCCATCACCTCCATCCCCCTTCCCATCCCCCTCCCTTCACCATTCCCTTGGGCTACAACCCAAGGATGAGGCTGTCCTGGGCATGACGGTAAACTGCAGCACGTCCTGAGCAACGACGCTAAACTGAGGTGCTCACCACTCTCCCCCATCTCTGCTACATATCCCCATCTCCCCCATCTCCTGACACCTGCTGCCATTTACTACTGCCATTTAAACTGCCGCCCCGCCCTTTGCCTACGCGCGATTGGGCGGGGTTTGCAAAAGCCATATGACATGACCATCTAACGGACAACGAAATCGGACTCTGGGACCTCCTCGTGGTGTTGTCCGGCAAAACGCATTCAATGCGGCCAACCTAGAGACGTGCTACCATCTACTCCTGCCGCTTATTACTCTTCTTTTCTTCGGTCTTCAGTTAGAGGTAGCAATCAGATAGCAATACACATGACTCAATGGCCATGATTTGGCTCATTCCACCTTGTCCTTATCTCCGGTGCCCGAGGTGGTCACGCCAATTCGGGGCATCGCTGGCCCTGCGCTCAGCCGAAATCTATTAGATGGGACAGTGGTAGCCAGGCATATAATCCGGTCGCATAATGAAGAGTCCAGGGCCTCTCGCATTGAATAGGCTGAGAGTCTCAGTGGGCCGATGTAGTGTATGCATAAGACGAGGTTGAGCTTGCTGACTACACCGTCGCGAACCGTTAGTCATGCCCATTAGATTGCCAAGTGAGAGGCAGGATCACAACCGTATAGTCAGTGCGATACAGACTGTAGCTCTTCAAAACTCTTGTCTGCAAAAATGCATACCTAATGCTATTTTTGTCCTATGTACGCGCTTAGGCATAGTCCCCGTCACCAGGGACAGCCGGCAAATCATCGTATACAGTACGTTCGAGCCTGTACAAAGGACGGAAACCTAGGAGTACCAAACAGCATTGGCACAGCAGCCTCCGTCAACCAGGTCAATATGGGCGACAACGCTTGCCGCCTGTCCGTCCTCAGCCAACTCCCATATTTCAACAAAGCCTACACTGGAATCCGTTAGAGCAACGAATCGGTCGCTGAAGGGGCTTGGCGCCACGCTGTTTGCCGCTCCGCCGGTCGAGGTCGTTGGCAGCAGGAAGTTCTGCTGTAGGATGGCCCCAGACTCGTCGAGTGTAAAGGCCGAAATGTATCCCGCAGTACTGCTCCGAGCTCGGTTCGTCGCCCAAACGTACGATCCGCTGGCCGACAGTGCTACCTCGTCGGCCCAGAAATCGGAAGCGCTGTCGTTGGACTGCTTGAGCGGGTAGACGACATCTGTGTAAGAAGGAATCCCCAGTGGCACTATCAATGGTGTATTGCGCAAGTTGGCTAGACCCTTCGAGGATAAGGTAGAGATATTCGCCGTTCGGGTGGACAGCCACATGGCGGGGATCGGCACCGGTCGAGGGGGCCGTCAGGTTCGCGACGTACGTGAGCATACGGTGCTTGAATCTACACTATGAGTCCATAGAGTGTTGCCAGTGTCGTCGGCCGAGTAGATGAACTTGGAATCGGGGCCAAATGCCGTCCCATGAACTCCCGAAGACGTGAAGTAGGTGTAGTTCAGAATCGAGGCATCCAGAACGCCGTCATCGACCGACATCACGGCGCCGCATCCCGCATCGCCGCCAAAGAAGGAGCCATATACCGCGTAGGGTGGGTGTGGATCGGCAACCACGTAAATACTGGTGGAGGTGCAGTTGCCTCCTGCCACGACAGCCTTGTCGAGCCCGATGCTGGTGGCGTTCTCTAGAGAGTAAGCCAACGAATTGAGGCGTCTCGGCTTGGTAGCCATTGCCATAGAGATTCTTCTTGTCATGCTAGAAATACATCAGCCCTGATTCCGGCCATATAAAGAACCGGTGCACCTACGCTGAGAGCAATCCAAGAGCTGGATATAGTTGTGCTCGTATTGGCCACTAGGTCCAAAGTCAACGCCTCGTCATCGAACTCGAGCGTGTAGAGAGCCTTGGTTCCAAATGTCCCCACAATCAGATCGTGCGTAGCGGCGTGGGCGAGAGGGGCGAGGCTGGCGAGGGCCAGTAAAGATGCTGAGAACCTCATCTTGACGTAGTCATGCAACACAATAGAGGCACGAGAGAGGGTAGCGCTTGGCCGCGGCTTGTTCTTGTACTCGCAGCTCGAAAGCCATGACCTCCAACGGCATGATGGGATCCTCAGTTAATCGAGATTAGGTGGCATCCATCGACCCACCATTAACCAATCCCCTTCGGATCGTTAACGGGAGAAACTGGCACCCACGCGTCAAGCCGACTTGACATGGAGAGGCTATGCAAAACGCGCGTCCACGATCCTGTCATGCCTGTCTCTGCATGTACAGGCAGGAATTGCCGCTGTGGGTCAGTGATCATCACCAGGGGAAGACAAAGCACGGCGATCTGCCGTCTGCCTCCTCCGGTGTCCTCCGGGGTCCTCCCACATCCCGGGTGGCCCACCTACAGTACTCCTGTATCCCGGGTTCCCGGCCTGTTGCGTTCGGCCCCTTTCTTGGCGACGTCGTGTCGTTGGATGGTGGGCAGTGAAGAACATTCACCACATGACCACCATCGCTAAAGACTGTATACACTCACTTAGGCGTTATCCATTGTCAGCTTTCCTTCCTCGAACACTTGGAAAAACTACCGCGTGGGAAAGAACGATCGACCGGGCGGCAGAATTGATGAGACGGCGGCCATAGTCCTTGGTATTGAATGACATTGAAAGACATGGCAGCCTGGGTCAGTCTGGTGCAGGATGGCAACGCTGCGCGAAACGCCATCTGCAGAAAGAGCATTGGAGTACCCCAGGTCGCGGGGAACACCGCGATACCAAGGGGTGATGTGAGGCGAAATTGTTCAGTGGTCGAGCTGGATGTCGAGAGTTGATTCGGTTGAAGTTTGGAACCGCGACCTACCTCTTCTAGACTTGGCCCGAGGCCGACTGAAACTCGGCCTATTCAACTGCCAGCATGAAGAATCGGCCGAGTCGGAGATTAGCAAGTTCGGCCGAACTTGGAGACTTCTCCGACCCAGTGCTGCGGCCTGCATGCCTCAACCACCAGACGGACGCGTCTCAGGATGGGCTCCCATTCATTCACGAGCGAAAGAAGCATGTCCGCGGCAACAAAGAGGTCACATCTTCCAGAACAATGAGCGAAAGGCCCAAGACAAAAACCGACCGACGCCGCCGCAGGCCGGCACTGGCATGTGTCAGTTGCAGGCGGTCCAAGATCCGCTGTGATCTGAGACAGCCATGCGGTGCCTGCGTTCGGTCTCGGCATAAGACCTGCACCTTCGAGTCCCTAGATCCATCAGATCCATCAGATCCATCAGCGGTGCAGAGTTCGGAGATCGGGTCAGCCCAAGTCGGTCAACCCAAGGCCGCCGGTGCTTCAGCCGGTCCCGACGAGGCCCAGCTTTCGCCCGCGGCCAGCCCCTCGGCGACGCATCATGAGGACACAGTCGACGACGAGCCCACCCTCGCTTCACTGGGCGGCACGACCTCGGTCGGTTCGATTACGACCGTGCCTGATGTCAACTCACTGTTGCAGCGCATATGGGAACTTGAGCGTCGCCTGGATGAAACCACGGCACACCAGTCGCCTGCGAAGCCAGCCCGGCCGAGCGCCACCAATCCCTCTGAGCCCATCTTGAGCTATCTTGCCCCAGACTTCCACTCCATGAGCAAGAGTGTCATGTCCAAGACGAGATATTTCGGCCAAAGTCACTGGATGAACGGTGTCATGCATGTATGCTCTCGCCTTTCTTCCGCCCATCTCCTCGGGTCCGAAGCAGGCCGCTGACCCGCCTATAGTTCAAGCCGGTCCTGGAGCTGTTCGAGCGGCAATCCCGAGACACCAAGTCAGAAACCCGGGGGATTTTAGCTAAATGCAAGGCCTTGGCCCGCACCGTCAAGGCTCAGCGCGTGCCGGAGCTGATTTCGAAAGTCGGGACTAACATGCCTACGCGGGAGGTCGCAGACAAGCTCGTTGATGGATACTTACGCACCACGGAGACCGTATTTCGAATACTACACGTTCCAGCGTTCAGAAGGGATTATGACCTGTTCTGGGCGTCCCCTACGTCCGCCGATCCTGCCTTCGTCCTCCAGCTCCAACTTGTCATGGCTATCGGCAGTACCATTTACGACGAGCACTTCTCAATGCGCAAGTCGGCTGTCCAATGGATTCATGAAGCGCAATATTGGTTCCTTGGACCCGTTCCCAAGTCGAGGCTCACAATAGCTGCTTTACAGATCATGCTCCTGCTTTGTCTAGCTCGGGAGGCTGCATCAGTCGGTAGTGACCTTGTCTGGATCTCCATCGGGTCAGTCATGCGGTCGGCCATCTATATGGGGCTCCACAGAGATCCGAGTAGACTACCAGGAATGACTCGAACTCACTCCGAGTTGCGCCGCCGGCTGTGGAATACGATACTAGAGTTGGAGCTGCAATCCAGTCTGGACTCGGGTGGTCCGCCGATGATTTCCCTTGAGAATTCGGATACTAATGCGCCGGCTAACCTCGACGATGCCGATCTGGCAAATGATGGTGACGTTCAGGCGATACTCAAGACGTCCGACAAGTTCACCGATATGACCGTCGCATTGGCCCTGCGCAAGAGCTTCCGCGAAAGGCTAGCGATAGCACAGCTTCTCAATGACATTGTATCCAAGGGTACATACGAAGACACCATTCGGCTGCATCGCCAACTCAGCACATCATACAAGTCACTCGCACAAACCTTCAGGGGCTTTGTGGCCACCGGAAGACAGCCGACAAGTTTCCAATGCCGATTCGTCGACTACATCGTCCGTCGCTATTTTATGGCCCTACACATCCCTTTTTGTAACCCTTCCGTGAGAGAACCGGCGTTTGCTTTCTCTCGCAAAGAAGTGGTTGACTCGGCAGTCAAGCTCTACTGCACCGTGTTCCCCACAGGCGCCCTTGGGTCTGGGCCCTTGACTCCCACTGCGGCGGAAACCGAAGTCATATGCACTGAGGGCGACGACCTTGCAAGTTTCGCAGTCTGCGGCTCTGGTTTCTTTCGATGCATTCTTACCCAGGCATCATTTCTTGTCGCTTTGGAGATACAGACCCAGCTACAAGAAGACAGCGGCCTTGGACCACCCACCACACGGCCGGATCTGCTCAACATCCTGCGGCATACGGTGTCCTTCAGCCTCGCCAGGATAAAAGCCGGCGAGACAAACGTCAAGGGATATCTGTTCAACGTTGCAATAGCCACGCATGTCGATGCATTGCTGGATGGCCGGAAGGGCCAGGCTGTTGTAGAGCCTATCCTCGCCGCTGCGATAAAAACACAACGACAATGCTTCGAGATACTCGGTGAACAAGCTGGGTTGAACCAGACGGAAGACGTAGATGGCGGCGGGCAGTTTGATTGGGACGGCATGATGGCGACGGACGAGGCATGGTCAGACGACATGTCGGTAAGTGTGCTAATGCGAATCTTATCCTAATACCCAGCTAAATGATATTCTAGATGACGAACCCGTTCTTCGACTTGACCAGCATCGATGCTATGCTAGGGACAGATATAGGAGCCAACTTCATGACGGCATCAGACCCATCTCATTGGTAAAGGGGCTGAATAATACCCGTGTTCTCTTGTGTCTTGCGGTCCTGGCGCTGATGTAGCACATTGCATCCAAAGATTGATACCACTCACCCTTCATGATTGAAGGACCTTATAATGACGAAACCCGCCATGGAATCTCACTCGTCATTCGCGCGCCGTTGACTGCCATTTCGACATGAATAGCCTTCGAGTCCCTATCTTGCCCTGCATGATGCAGGAGGCTGTAGATGCCACACTCCCTATCCAAATTGTATGCCAGCCCACCTTACACGGAAGACGCCTACCGCGTGTATGCTCGACCTCGTGGGCTCGCAAACGACCGGGGCCGTTTCGGACATATACTCAACTCATTGCTTCCCACTGTGAGTCACCGTTCACAGCTCTGGAAGCCGTACAGATACTCCACAATCCTATCATCCGGCCATCCACCGCATAATATGATTGTCTAGCTACATGTCGATGCCGATGTGAGACGAAGAGTTGCCGACTGACCAACCAACCGCGGAGAAGCCGGAAGGTCGGGGTTGCAATGGATGGCCATTGAGTGAACCGACGTGACGTTGGATGCGAGGAGACACACCTCTACACGTAGCACTTGAGTGCCCCTCCATTGTGCGCCTGACCATTGTTCCAGCTGGCATCGGCCTATACGATCCTTAAGTTTAAAATCGGAGTAATGCAGGTTACGGGCCACCTCCCACTTGCACCCCTCCCAGAATCAGGATGCTTGCTGCTACACCCATACAGAAAGCACATCGGCGCTTAGCTTTCCATCTCCTGAAGCCGATTTGGCGATCATCTCTCCGCATCACGTCAACTAAAGCCCACCATACAACCTCGCACCCCTATTCCTGTAGACTCCGCGCCTCAGTGCCACCACTCGCAGCTTTTCGGTACTTAGGTTCGATAGCAGCAACTATATCGACAATGCCTCACAAAGAAGAACATCGCGAGTTCACGCCGGCCCTCTACCCGGAGTTTCCGGATGGATTTCCCACACTCCAGCTGCAAACCGTCTCCCTGTCCAAGCTCCTCCAAAACGACGCCACCGAGCAGGACCGCGTCTTCGAGCAATGCAAAGGCCGCGGGTTCTTCTACCTGGAGCTAGGCGGATGCGAAGCAGGTGAGATGATCCTCAAGCTGGCCGACGACATCGCCGCCGTCGGCGAGGACACGCTCAAGCTACCGATGGCCGAGAAGCTCCAGTACCAATTGCAAGGTCGGTCGCTGGACGGGTACAAGCTCGCGGGCGCGTCGGCGGCCGACAAAAAGGGCACCAGGGACACGGCCGAGTTCTTCAATGTCGGCAAGAACGATATGATCGTGCCTGACGACCAGATGAAGAAGCCCTGGCCGGCGCCGATCAAGGCCGCGAAGCCCCTGTTCAGCACGTATGTCAAGACGGCCCACGGCATCGGCATGCACATTCTGAGTGTCATTGCGAGCAAGATGGGCGTCGATCCGTCCGAGTTCGCCAGTCGGCACCGGATCGAGGAGATGTCGGGCGATCATGTCCGCATCACGAGGGGACCTCCGCGAGCGACGGAAGAGATGCCCGAGATCCAGACGCCGTCGCACACCGACTTTGGCACGTAAGTCATACATCACCACTAATATACACCGCCCGACTGACCTCCCTGCAGCATCACGATTCTCATGAACTGGCTCGGCGGCCTGCAAGTATACTCCGTATCCGCGCGCACAGCCCAGCTCTCCGACGGCCAACCGGACGTCGCGGGCGAGTGGCTCTGGGTGAAGCCGCAGAAGGGCTGCGCCATCATCAACCTCGGCGACGCGGCCGTCAAGTTCACCAACGGCGTCCTGTGCTCGGGGCGGCACCGCGTGATCCCGTCGCCCGGCGCCCAGGGGAGGTGGCCGCGCTACAGCATCGTGTACTTTGTCCGGCCCGAAGACCAGTGCGTCATGAGGCAGCTGCGGGGCGGCGGCATTCCGGACGGGCCTGAGGAGGAGGCGATCACGGCGCGGGACTGGATTTTTAGACAGGCTCAGGGGCTGGGCATCCAATTTGAGAAGGAGAAGGATAAGTAGCGAGGTCGTTGCGTGCTTTTACGCATATGAATGAATCATTGAGGAGTCGTGAAGGCGCAAGGGATACGAATATTTACGGACGAGCGCAAATAGTCGCTCTGCTCCGTTGATATATCACAACAATACCTTAGCATTTCTGCAGTCTTGAAGAACGAGTGTATGAACGGAAACGTAAACAGTTATTGAATTAAAACTTGCTAAAACTTGCTGCAAGTCATGAAACCTCTACCCTGAATGCACAAACCCGAACCTTGCCGAAACGCCATGCATGCTATGCAATTTAACAAACACAAGAAACCAACGAACGATAAAGCACTCAATTCCAACGGTTTCCATCACATCAAAGCGCCGACATGTCTTGAACTTGTATCAACCCAGGGGCCGCGAGGGTGTTGGCCGGCATGGCATCCGCATTGGCAAAGTTCGACGCATTAGTCAGTGCCGCAATGCTGAGGCCTTCCATGACATTATCGGTAAAGGGAAACAGCGCATCGAACGTCAGGATGCCGCCGTACCACGTCGCGTTGGTGATGGGCTCGGAGATGGGTAGCTGCTGTCCGACAAGATACGTGACGAACAAGCCACTCAGGTCGCTACCCTGGCTGTACTGCCCGCTGGCCGACAGGTCCGCCGAGAAGGTCAGGTTCATATCCTTGGGCCCGGCGGGCGTGAGGACGTCCAGGGCCGGAAAGACGGGAATGGGGATATCGGCGATGTCGAACGGGCACGACACGATGAACTGCTGCAGCGCCGAGAAGGCGAACGCCGCCGTGCTGGTTGTCAGGAAAGGCTTCTGCGACGGCTTGCGGGAGAGTATGAAGCGGTAGAAGCCGTTCTGCTCGCCCTCCTGGCCGATGACGGAGGCGATGGCGCGGACGGGGCCGTCGTCGCCGTTCTTGGCGAACGACTGCGAAGCGTCCTGGAGGGTGCCGAGGACGAGGTCCGTGAAGGTCGAGGCGAGGTCGATGGCTTCTTCGAGGGAGGTGGTGGGGAATTTGTAGGTGCATGGTTCGGGAACTAGAGAGGCGTTGAAGTGCTTTAGGGTGTTGGTGGCCGTGAGGGCGTGCAGTTCTTCTTGCTGTTTCAGGTGTTAGCGGACGATGGTCTTACTCTTGGAATTCATATTGGCTTACGGCTTTGACGGTCTTGAGAATCTCCACGATCTCGGCCTCGTCCCGGTTGACGGACACGTACTCGTAGTTGTCGACGTGGTTGGTGATGTTGTCGATCAGGGACGTGAAGAAGGCGACCTCGTAATGTTCGTTATATGCGATCAGCTGGAAGTTGGTGATGCCTGCTGCACTCAGGGTGGGAGGCGGCGGCAAGTTTGACAGGAGCCCGTCGGCTTGGGTCTCGATGGTCAGCGGTTGTTCTGCGTTGGGACTGGGGAAGCCGTCGGTGTTTGGGATGGCATATCCAGCGGCTAGCCCAAGGATGGCTGCAGAGCTTGCGAGAGTGGTGGTGAGCATGGTGATGTGTGAAGTTGAATGTGTGTAAGACAAAGTTGAAGACTTGGTATTCGACAGGCAACCAGAACAGGGGGGGCAGTGGGTAATTCAAGGTATGATTGTGATATGGAAACATATATTATTATATCTTGCCAAGAGAGCGATAACTGCGATATTTGTACTATTCTTCTGCCATAAACGTTGGTACTGCGGTCAGCTTACGCCAACCAACGACGGGAAGTGGTTGACCGGTGGTCCTCCGCACAAAGAATGTTCACATGTACAGCTCATCGCAACCAACGATAACCTTGCGACTACGGAACTTCTGGTGAGGCTTGGCATCGGGTCGTAGAATTGCCGCGAAGTTAGTCAAATCCGTCAGCTCGGATGGCAGTTATGCGTTTGGCCCGGTCCAACGTCAGCGCTTGGCTATTTTGGCTGTGGCTGAGTCGCGTTGTACACACAAACCAGCTGATGACCACCAGCGCATTTGGTCCAGCCCTGCTAGAGCCGACCCGGTAGAAGGCCCATGACCCCTGCTATGGCCACATGGAAGGTTGTCATCCATGGATGTGGTTCTCCAGCCAGTCCCAGGTGCTCGGGACTCCTATCGTGGTTCTGTTCGTTAGTAAACCAGTGTTGGATACAAGGTTCGTGCTACGCGTTTCTTTGTCTACTGGGTCTAAGAAATGCGGCAACATGCCATTCGCCAACCAACCTCCTCCCGACGAATCATCATCCTATCATTCTATTTATAGCTCGTCCGTTTCCCCCTTACCTCGTCCAAGTCCGTCGAGTGCGAGATTGGTGCAACAACCGCGCGGCACAGCAGCACAATCTAGCCCTGCATCAGACGCCAGCAACGAAGAGGCTACCACTTCCGAATGAATTTGAGTTTATTCTATCGACGAATGCGGCGTGTGCGAGGCCGAGTCGACAGCCGAGCCCTGCGATGGCCTGGTGACGTGCGGTGATATCCGCCTACCATTGGCCAACTGCTTGTCGAGTATTTCGCGTTTGCCACAAGCTTGGTTGGGGAGGCCTTTCCGCAGTATGGCTTGTCGGTGTACTGGGACCTTTTCCAGCACGACAGTGGAAAGGCCATTATCCGGAGCACGTGGGCTATGGCTTGGGGTAAGATGAGCCTGTGCCTCGAACACTCGTCCTGGGAGGATACGAACCACTCAAGGAGGCGACTGACAGACCGCAACCGGCCTGATATTTATAAGAGTGAGAGGCGGAAGGTCCTCGCAACCACACGCAAAGGATCGCAAAGGATCGCAAAGTATTGCATGATCGTCCAGAGCTCGACACACTTTCGCACGGTTGGTGGAAGACAATTCATATCAAGGCTCTCGTGGATTATAATGAGTGCCAAGTACCGGTCATAATGAGATGCATAAGGATGAGGACGATTGTGATATGGACATTCTGGTATCTCGATTCATATTTGACAATCTCCGATCTCTGTCTTCCAGCTCGGTCACACGCCACTCCCAACGTCACTGAGCATCGTCCTCATTCTTGGATGCTCTGTGGTATCATGCGCGTATGTTTCTGTTTGGAGAATACTGTGCACAGAAAGCCACCAATTATCACCCACTGCGATGATCAACGCGTTCTGTGGGAGAGCAGTCGACCATCGGTTTCTACCAGCTAAATTATCCTATTCCGGGCGTGTATTCATCCAATTGAAGTCGATGAGACAGAATACCGACAAAGTTCGAAGCCCAAAGCTCAAAGCTCACTCGGCATCACCGGCTGAAGTTGAGCTTGATTCTTCTGGGCGAACTCAAACTTCCTGCTCAGCTCAATCCACCATGGGACATAGGGCCACAGCTTGAAAGGCTCTCGTCCAGATATTCCAATCCTGCCTTCTGCTTCTTGTGCATGTTGATCCCTGCCATCATAAAAGGACCGTCGTAGATTGCAAGCTGGCTCACGCAGTGATGGATGATGTGGATTCTATGAGGCGCGGATAGTCTCTTCCCAGCTCGATCTGGAATCATGTTTCTTTGTGATTTGTAAGTCGATGGAGCCTCTCTCGGAATGAGGCTTGTCGCGCAATCAGGTATCTGACCATTGCCCTGTTCTAAGATCGTGATGTTCTTTCTTTGTCTGAGAAATTGCCCACGATCGAGCTCATACGCGAGTTTATCCATTTCATTCATGACATCGTGGCTGACTTCTAAGAAAGTGATACATTTCGTATAGACTCCTATGAAGAGCGATATGTGATGTGCAAAGTGGCAAACGCGTGGCTAACAGCTGGAAAAAGATCATGGCACTTCTTTCTGATGGCTGAGGGTACCACTCCCGAACTATATATTCTCTCAACTGGATCCTCATGGTGTAATCTGTACGGGGGCTTATTATCATCTACCCAACACCAAGGATTGATTGATTGATTGATTGAATTTATTTATCGTGGGTGCAGTCCCTCAACAGGGCAAACCACGCCTCCCAGAGCCATTGCATCGCAAGGTTGTAGAGGTGTCAGTCTAGATACATTCAGATCCGCGCACGAGCCCATCCTCGCTGTAGCGGTACCAACCTGGAGTGACCAGATGGTTTTAGTCAATACCCAAGCACGATTCCGTCAGAAAAACCTCCTGTCTAGTGACAAAGCGACCCAGTGGACCTCAGTCCTCTGGTGTACATATCGTTCCAGTAGCCGTTCGATATATGTCGTATTGGTGGATGAAACAGGTGTTCGTTATCTGCTGGCGAGGGAAACCATAAGGGGAAAAACCTTGCAGGAGTGGGTGTTATGGAGACAAGCTGCTTGGCTATCTGGCTCTGCGATAATGGGGCCTCTCCACTGTCGTGTGCTGGTTGTCGACTCGCACAAGCCGGGTCAGAAAGGGGGCTGTAGCAGGATTCGAACCTGCTTGTTCTCGTCGTCCACCGCACAAACAAGAACACAACCAGGCGCATTTGACCATTGCGCCATACGGCCCCCAACACCAAGGAGATCTGCTTCGTCATATACCCATTCATGTGCTTCCAACCTCCAAACTGCGACCAGGCAATTCGCCTGCAAGCACATTACCCACCCTTCATCAAGCGTGCTCTGCGCGTACGTCATCCTCCACGATGTCGGTTGAAGGACAGACTGTGGAAATCATAAAAGTTGTACCCAAGACCATTCGTGCTCGCATTCGCGCTCATAACGAAGCCTACGGTGTGACCGACCCCTGGGCTAAAGCTTGCGCTTGTGGCTTCTATGGTTTCTACGCCGAAGAATGCGACCATATGGCTCACCTTCAGAAGTACGGGTGTGGACTCAAGACGGGTGTTTCCACAATCTCCAGACCGGCCCCTATGTGCATCAACATCAACAAACCCGCTCACTGAAGAGATCATCATGGTTGAGAACGTCAAAATCCGAGGGATGTGTGAGCTTTGCGCCAGAGCCAGCCTAGATTGGGCGCTCGCTGAGAAACACATCATGGAAGACCTCAAAGCCCAGAATGCCGAGATTGAAGGGGCAAAGGCAATAGTGTCTGCAAAGGCGAAGGAGAGGCTAGAGGCCAAGTTGAAAACTGAAGATACTCAGCGGGCCGAAGGTGACCAACCTCGCGCAGAACGCTGAGACTTACGAGGACGGTTGGTATGAATCTCGATTGGGCCACGTCCCACGAAGGGGAGTTTCCAGCATAGCAAACGATAGCTGAGACGAGATGAAGTTGACGGAATGTAGGTTGAACCCGGGTCACAATGAATTTGATATGCACTTCTCTGACCATCTTTTCTTGCGTTATGCGACTGTGGTACGTGACATGTCATGTATGGAATGTACACATTGGGTCCGGCCGGGTTATGCCACTTCTGCTTCGACTACCGGTAAGCCGGGACCTTAGCAAGCTGACTCGTCCCCTTTTACAGTTTGGTGGCCACGCTTGGACTACGCTAGATATATCAGTCCTATTCTGATATGAGCGACTGGGCCCCGTTGGGCACACTCGGACATGGTGAGTAGTCCGCACGATGCCTGCGCCGCGGCGTTGGTGATTCAAACCTGGAGAGGGAGATTGAGATGAAGAATCACCTCATGAGTCGATGCTCGAGTGAACGTATGCTATGTGAGTTCCTGTCCATGAGTCACGATTGCTAGAGACGCATCGTGTCCAGATTTACCCGTCCATGGTCAAGGAATCCTTCGCTTTTCGGGGCGTTTGACAGAGCTGTGATTATATGGGTGCTCGAGCTCATCAAAACATTCGCTAGGTCAGGAACCGATACGCAGTTCACCACATACATCTACTCCAGACTCCTGATGTCATGTCGAGAGGGCCTCACCTTTTCTGGCTAGAGGATCTCCCAAACCAGCCTGTCGGCTACCATGCGACACGCTTGGTACGAGCCGAGCGATGCTAGAGAGAACGGCCTCTGCTCCATTATTAGGTTTGGTGCTGTCCCGGTGTCAACCGCGCCCTAATCCCCAAGACGCTTCCGGGGTCCGGACACGAGTCGGGCGAACCTGGGAGCACGCCAAAACATGGCTTCTCCAAATCCGCACGTGGGTTTTATTTTAGATCTGCTTGAATACTAGAGGATCCTTGAGAAGGCATCGACCCCGTCTCGAGGATCCTCTATATACGTACCTACCTACTCCGGGTAGGCCCGTACGAGGAGAAAAGAAAATGGGTATGATCGAGGGCGAGTCAGGTTTCGTCCTATTGGCAACACCCTGGGTCCTGGTGCAACTGCTGCCAAGTATATCTAGTCAAGGCGCCGCCGCCCTTGCTATCTCTTTACTATATCCCGTTCCCCGGCCCGACATTCCCCAGTATGACTGCGGCAGTCGGGGATGCCCCGCATGATGGTCATGCGTCGTGTGGAGAAGAGGGGAACAACCTTGCAAGAGCTTTCTCGCTAGACGGATCCCGACATACATAAATGGTCAGATGGCCAGCTATCATACCACCGTACCGCCTTGTCTGCGTGCCCATGTCTGTCGTGACTTCTCGCGAGAACCCGCGTTGAACCTCGTGTCCGAGGCTTGAGCCAGGCTTCTCCATCATCCCTCTCTCATCCTCCTCCGAGGTGCCCGCCCGCGATACATCGCCATCATGACGGACGAGATTACCAGAGCAGAGCCTGCCCCGGACCCCGGCGCCAAGCAGGATATCGAAGCCCTCGAGAACATCAAGGACCATGTGACGGTTGCCGCCAGGGCCATGGACCCGGCTCACCGTGCTCGCGTCGAGAAGAAGCTCTTGCGCAAGCTTGATGCGCGATGCTCTATCTTCGTGCTCATCTACATTTTGAATTACTTGGACCGGAATAACATCGCCGCTGCCCGCCTGAAAGGCCTCCAAGATGAGTGCGTCGCCATTCCTACCTTGACCTTTTGTAAGCTTGCGTGGGACATATGTAATTCTGGGGGAGAGGGCTACTATACCTTCTTCTAGGTGTATTCACTCACTAACAGCCGTCGTAGTCTCCACCTGGACTACAATCAGTATGCCACGTGCTTGAGTATCCTCTACGTGGGCTATATCCTGATGCAAGTCCCATCCAACATGTTCATAAACCGAATTGAACGGCCGTCTCTCTACATCGCAACGGCGATGCTCATCTGGGGCCTGATCTCCACTCTCAGCGGCGTCACGTACAACTTTGGCCAGATGGTTGCTGTGCGCTTCTTCCTGGGATTCATCGAGGCCGCGTTCCTGCCCGGCGCGCTGCTGATTCAGTCAAAATGGTACACCCGCCGCGAGTTGACTCTACGAAACGCCATCCTCTTCTGCGGTAACATTATCTCGAATGCATTTTCGGCTCTCGTGGGCGCTGGTGTCTTGTCCAACATGCAGTGAGTGGCCCGTCACCTAACAAGCCAAGCGAAAGCATGCCATGGCTCTTCTAAATACTTAGCCCGTGTTCCACGACTTTGGGTAGCAACCGCGACTGACTTCTGACTTCTTTAGGGGCACCTTGGGACACGCTGCGTGGCGCTGGCTGTTCTTCATCGAGGGAGGGGTAACCATGTTGGTGGCGATTTCGTCGGCTTTCATCCTGCCCGATCTCCCCCACAACTCGCGCGGCTTCACCGAGGAAGAGCTGGCCGTTGCTCAACTCCGCATGATCGAGGACGTTGGCGAAGCCGATGTCGACGCCGAGGGGCAGAGTGTATTCACCGGTCTGATCATGGCGGTCAAGGATGTCAAAATCTACCTCATGATGCTCACCTTCACGGCCTACGTCGTGGGCCTGTCCTTCAACGCCTTTTTCCCCTCCCTGACCGGCACGCTGGGCTTCGGCTACGTCCCGACGCTGCTTCTGAGCTCGCCCCCCTGGGTCTTCTCGTGCATCGTCTCGTTGTTCAACGCGTGGCACGCCGACCGCACCGGCGAGAAGTTCTGGCATATCGTGGGCCCTATCATCGGCGGCATCGTAGGCTTCATCATCTGCATGTCGACGCTCAACACGGCGGCGCGCTACGTGGCGCTGTTCCTGCAGGCGAGCTCCTACGCCGGCTTTATCGTATTCTATTCGTGGATCAGCTCCTCGTTCCCCAGGCCACCCGCCAAGCGCGCCGTGGCCATTGCCTTGATCAACGCTTTCTCGCAGTTAGGGAACGTCGCCGGCAGCTACGTGTGGAACCTGAAAGAGAACGGGTACCGCAAGAGCTACGGTATCGTGACGGCCATGTTCGGTATCACTATCGTTGGCTGTTGGCTCTTTAGGATGACGTTGCAGAACCTCAATAAGAAGATCGAGGAGAGCGAAAGGGTCGGCGAGACGCCCGATGGCGCCGAGGCCACGGCTAATATTGAAACTCTGGTCGGTCCCGAGGAGGCTGTTAATATGAGGAAGGGCTTCAGGTACTTGGTATAGAGAAGGAGGCTCTCTGATAAGCGATACATGGGAGCAGGTAGAGTGAGACTAGGATGGAATGGGCGCAGCAACAGCTTTTGGATACCCTGATCTATAGAAAGACCTACTGAGATGGGTTGCCTCGCCTCTTATGGTTCTGGGACCTGTCCAGGCTATACGTCAGACAGATGAAATAACTCAGTCCACTCGGCAGCGGCTTCAGGACATGACGAAATTTGCTCTTGAGAACAAAAATAGCATGTGACTTAATCACGTTCTCCCATGCAATTACGTCGTATCAATCTACAGCCCAAGTATATTGATAACTCCGCTGCCAAGTTGATCCTGCCCTCCGCCATGCGATGACACGCCTCTGGGGAGTTCACGGAACTATTAGAGTCTCACCGGTCATTGTCAACGATTCTTGGTTTAGAAGCCACGATGAAACCAATCTCGATCCGATCTGACAATATCCTTTCATTCAACTCTACCTCCTTCTTCAGTTCCGTTTCCCACGAGAGCCTTCCTGAGTAAACCTTCCTACCGTCCAGCCAACCACTGATTACCCGTTCCATCTGTCCCAACCATGTCCCAACGCAACGATCCGGTCCCTCATACATCGACACGTCCGGGCTTGTCGCACCTCTCGACGACTTAGCCTACAAGCACACAAGAATCCTCCCCAGATGGTTCAGACTCAAGACAGGAAGGGTCTCCCTTGGGGCACAATTGAACTAAATGTGCGTCTTTATCACGCTTGTTGCATTGATAAAGACCTCTGGGGTGGCAGCCGGTTCCGGTCAAGCGAGTCCCTCCGCCAGCAGCTTGCCCAGCGCGTGTCCCGCAGAAATATCCTTCTTTGATGCCACACCTGCAGGTGGGTGATTCCAGGGGAGGTGTAGAGGTGCAGTCCGCAGTAATGGTTCTGGTAATTTCTCGTTCGATGGCGGAAAGGCCTGTTACCGTTACCGTAACAGTGTCAGGGGCTGCCCGATCGATGATATGGGAGGCCGCTCCCAGCACCAACAGCTGCGAGAAGAGGGTGGCGGTGATGTAGTGCATCGTTTTCGTGGAGTCTGGGTTTGATGCTTCCTAGGTCCAAGTTAGTCTGCCTGGAGCGACAGGTGGTTTAGTTCATTTTCTCAGACAGTGAGGCTTACGCAAGAGGCTGGCGAGCTTGTATTCCACACGGGCTTTCGCAAAGCGAGTGCAGTACACTCATTCGGTCACGATGCCCAGATTAGAGTGAGAGCGGAAGTGCTTGAGATGACAAGCTTCCTGGAATCCAGCAAGACGAGAACATCCAGAGTTTTTATATTGCCGTCGACCTCACGTTTGCGAATCCAAGCCCGGCAATGTGTGAACCTACCAGATATTTCCCGTTTCTTTCTTACGTGCGTATGTATACGCTTTCTGCCGCCTCGGGAAGCGCCGTAGGTTCGCTCGATGGTATCGTGATGGCTGCTGTAGAGTACACTCATAAGACATCAGCGGTACACCGAAATCAATAAGCGATCCTAGAGCGCCTTGGAGGCGATACGGCCGTCGCTAAGATCTCAACCGTTTCAAAGCCATGTAACATTGGTTGTGAATCTTCGACACAGTGCTGTGCTCGACAGCCGAGGCTGACTTGTTCGTTTGACTGTTTACCTACCTATACTCAAACCTTCGACCATAGTGTACTCAAGGGCGCTATGTATACCTCAGTTATGCCGGGCCGAGTCTCTGGAAAACCTTGAGGTGAGCAGAATTCCCGTAGCCCGTCCAAACAGCCGCCCTCAAGGTTCTCCGCTCGTCGTGTCGACAAGGACATATTTTGCCCCTCATACCGCCCACCTCGCGGGGTTTGACAAGAAGGAAGGATACATGTATCCGCGTAGACACATTCGCCTCCTGTCTTCCAAGTTTACACGACACATCTGGGACCTAAATATCAGCACACCTGAGCAGGCAAAAGCGAACGATGGGCCGCACCGAACGGACCGTCGTCCGCCAGCCCGCCAGCTTCCGCCGCGACGCGCGCGCAAAGCGGGCCAAGTCAACCATCAACAAGGTGATTCCTGCACTACTAACTGCGCACCCGCGAGCGCGGCGCGGGATCGAGGCCTCGGAGCTGATTGTTGACCCGCCTGCCGCGAACCGGCAATCGGAAGGGAAGGAGAAGGGAAAGGGGAAGTCTAGGGAAGAGGACGAGGGAGTCAAGAATGGGAAGAGCAACGGCAAAACAGGGCGAAAGACGGATGGGTCCAAGTCAGCGAAAAGTGTTGGAGAAAACGGAGGCGACGAGGGACTGGCACTACGCATCACCCTCCGCGCGACCGACACCCTCACAGCCGCGCGCGCCCTGCTCTCACCACCGGCGGCGCACCCGCACTCGCAGACCCCGTCCCCTGCTGCACCCGGCCGCAACGGGAACACCACCGCCTCCCCGGTCAAAGTCGGCATCCTCAACATGGCCTCGCCCCTCTCGCCCGGCGGCGGCTTCCTGAACGGCGCCACCAGCCAGGAGGAATCCCTCTGCATGCGCACCACACTCCTGCCGTCCCTGCGGGACTCGTTTTACCGCCTGCCGGAGCTGGGGGTGGTGTACACGCCCGACGTGCTCGTATTCCGGGACGCCTCATCCGGGTCCGAGGGCCATTCCGAAAATGATGTGGACGTGCTCCCGAAGAACGAGCGCTGGTTCGTCGACTGTGTCTCGGCCGCCATGCTGCGCCTGCCCGAGACGGACGTCGATGAGACCACGGGCCGTGGCGGGTATGTTCATGAGAAGGACCGTGAGATGGCGGCGCGGAAGATGAGGGCGGTGATGCGGGTTTTTGCGGCGAAGGGGTGCGGGAGGGTCGTGCTGGGCGCGTGGGGGTGCGGCGCGTATGGTAACCCCGTGGGCGAGGTCGCGAGGGCGTGGAGGCGGGTGTCGGTCGGTGGGAGCCAGGGGAAAGGGGGGAAGAAAGGCAAGACGGGCAGTGGCGGAGGGAGTCAGGAGGTGTGGCACGGCATCGACGAGATCGTGTTCGCCATCAAGGACTCAGGCATGGCCGACGCGTTCGAAGAGGCGTTCGGGGCGGGTATTATACGGGAAGATGCAGACGATATTGCTGATGACGATATAGAAGACGGAGCTGAGGATGGTGCTGAGGCTATGCGGATGCGGGAGCTAAGGGATAAAATTGAGGAGTTGGAGGGACAGGTTCTACATGCTAAGAGCCCCCATATGAAGTCGGGGCTTGGTTCTGTGCTGGCAGGGTTGAGGAATCAGCTTCCTGATGATGGTGATGGGGAGTCTGTTGTGCCGGGGCCTGCAAGTGACGAAACTGAAGGCAGTGCAGATGGAGGCACTGGTGAAAGCGAAGAGGACGATAGTGAAACAGATGGGGACGGTGGTGGTGGTGGTGGTGATAGTGATAGTCATGTCTAAGAGACCCAATGTCCTTCTCCCAATGCTGTCTTTGAGCAGTGTCAGCTCGTAGAAGTGTGCGCAACAGTCATGCTACAACCTGACAATTGTCTTGATGATATTTATTAATACAGCGAATTCATGGCATAATGCTACAAACGGACCCATCCCTTGTCTATGGAACTATCACGCATGCCCTGACGCCCCTTGGTATTCCATTCATAGTAGCAGCTCAAGAGGGTTCTCGATGGCCTTCTTAAACTCCTTGATCCATTCAGCACCAACAGCTCCGTCGACGACCTTGTGATCGAAGCTTCCCGTGACAGTGATCTGGTCGTCCCACTCGATCGCCGCGCCCTCCTCGCCCTCGACGGGGATGGCAACCTTCTTGGAGGTACCGACGGCCAGGATAGCAGCTTGCGGGGGGTTAATGACGGCGGTGAAATTGTCGACAGCAGCGTTCATGCCCATGTTGGAGATGGAGATGGTGCCTCCCTGGTATTCCTCGGGCTTGAGCTTGTTATCGCGGGCCTTCTTGGCAAGCTCCTTGACCTTGTTGGAGATAGACTCCAGGCCGCGACCCTCAACGCCGGTGACAATAGGGGTGATCAGACCGTTAGGGGTGGCGACAGCGACCGAGACGTCGACGCTGTTGAACTGGCGGATAGAGTCACCCTGCCATGACGAATTGGCGGCGGGGACCTTCTTGCAAGCAACACCCATAGCCTTGATCAGGAAGTCGTTCACGGAGAGCTTGTACTGGCCGTCGGCGGAGCTGTTCAGGGCCTGTCGCAGCTTCAACAGCTTGCTGACCGAGATCTTGCTGCTGACGAAGAAGTGCGGGTTGTTCTGGGTAGACTCTTGCAGGCGCTTGGCAATGGTCTTGCGCATGTTCGATAGGGGCGTGTCTACGTAGGCGGCGGCGGCAGAGACAGGACCAGGAGCTGAGCCGGTGGAAGCCTTCTTGACGTCGTCCTCGGTGATCTTGCCGCCGGGACCGCTGCCCTTCAGGCTGGAGATGGCAACACCCTTCTCCCGTGCCAGCCGCCTGGCAGCTAGGCTCATGTTGGGCTCTCGGTCGAGTGCGGTCTCGAGCCTGCCCTCGGACTCATACTCGGTGGCTTCCGACTGAGGAGCAGGGGTAGGGGCGGAGTCGGATTCGGACGACTCTGACTTCTTCTCTTCCTTGGGCGCGGGAGGAGCGGCTTCACCACCAGCATCGTCGAGGCTGAAAGACTCAAAGGCGGAAACGTCGGTGCCCTCTTCGACGAGGACGGCAATGGGCTAGAGTGAATAGTCAGCATAGGGTCGGGGACCTGTAGTGATGGTGGTAGAGTCACGCACGTTGCCAACAGGGACGTCCTTCGCGCCGCCATCCTTCAGAAGCTTAGCAATGACACCCTCCTCTTGGAACTCAAAGTCCATCTGGGCCTTGTCGGTCTCGATCTCGACCAGGACGTCACCAGGAGCAATGGCGTCTCCGGCCTTCTTCTGCCACGCACCAATGTTTCCGGCGGTCATGGTCGGCGACAGGGCGGGCATCTTGATGACGGTATGCGGCGGGTAGGATGCATAGTATCTGGCGAGAGGCGCGAAGCCGGATCGGAGGGCGGAAGTGCGCAACAGGCCCTGCCCTTGCCTTCTTAACACGGCGCCGAACATTTTGACTGCGGTGGTGGTTTAGGTCGGGAGTGGTGGTGGGTGTGTCGAAAATAGCTCTTTCGCTCCCGGGAAAAGCTGGCGATGGCTTCGTCGGAGGAAAAGGAGGACGGGTGAGACGCTAGCTGGCGGCGACAGAGCGACGGAGAGACGGAAGACCGAAGGAAGGGACGGGTTCGAGTGTCACAGGGCAGACGACCAGATTGATTGCCAGCGGCTGGAGATGCTGGCCGAGTCAATTGGGTCGGAGCTGGAGCTGGAGCTGGAGCTTGGGTGCTTGCTGGCGGGCTGTCGGAGGTGAGGATGGAAGAGCAAGCGCGATTAGGTGAGGAAGGAAAAAAAGTATCGGGCGCTCAACATGGCACCTGCATGAATCCAATTGGCGGCGGGATATTATCGTGGACCACCCAAAGTGTACCTACCAAAGCGGCCTGCACCTGTGGCTTTGCCCCAAGATTACAAGACGTTGAGGCCTACCTCCTATCAACCTGAACACCATCACTTACAGTAATTGTCCAACTTCAAGACTCTACGAGTTGTAGACGTATTATGATACAACTTCAGCTTTCATTGCATTTACCATCGTTGTTCTTCTCATCGATTATTGACAGTTAGGTAGACCAGATAGGCCACCTGGACGGGCTCCCTGGCTCCGTCTTACACGGCCGATTGCCAGAACTAGTAGAAGTCCTGTATCGGAATCCATAGGAAAATGGACCTCCCCAACTGAATCCGTACTGCGATCTGTTGGTAATTGGTCCAAAACTTCCCCTGAGACTCTTGTGAGAGCTTCTGATTGACAACCAGATCCCCAAGCTGACATGCAAACCATTCAATGTTATTATCATGTCAACTGTGAAAACGCGACGGGCCTGGCTGCTTGGTTTGACGAGGGCATTAGCTCCAGTCTGAGATGGTGAAGGGGACGGAGAGAAAGGTTGAATGAGCTCCGTGTCAGGTCTTTGCTGTGGAGAGGACATATTGCAGGTCAAGCCACACGCTGAGTTGTGGCGGTGCTCAATGGATGTCGGCTTGTCGGGAAGATTGTGGCTTGGCATTGCACGGGCAGCGCAGGCCTCGCAAGGGTTCAGTTGGATCCATTGGAGATGGACGGGCAGACGGGATAGTCTGTCATCAATTAAAATAATAATTCGACCCAGCCTCGCGTCTACAATAGGAACGTGGCCATATTGGACTCTGCAATAACCCGACCTGTCGGCATCACGCTTGGTGCTTCGCCCATTCATTCGCAGTTGTCTCTTTCTCTGCACAGGAGAGCGCCACGACCAGCAAACCCACGGCACTGTACGCATCGCATCTGCGCAAGCTTACCATCGATCCGTACCGGCCCTCCCGAATGGCACATGTTGCCGCTCCCTACCCTCGGCCACCATGAGCTCTCTAGTCTTCGTGGTCTCCTCTCTCGAGGGCATCGCCGCGTCCAAGGAGGCTCAGAGGAACAAGCAGCTCGCCGAACTCGCCGAGAAGGCTGTCAAGGCCATTAAGGAAGGGGGCTCCCAACTGCCCGAGCCCAACGTCGTCTTTGCGCCTTTACAGCTCGCCACAAAGAGCGGCAGCAGCCAATTGATCAACACCGCTCTCGACTCCATACAGAAGCTCATATCCTCGTCCTACTTCTCCGTCCATGCCACGAATGGCGCAGCCGAGGAGGATGGGACCGAGCGAGCCCCCATAATAGATCGCGCCATCGACACCATATGTGACTGCTTTCAAGGAGAGACCACACCCGTCGATGTTCAGCGCCACATCGTCCAGGCCCTATTGGCTGCCATTTTGAACGACAAGATCGTTGTTCATGGCGCCGGCTTGCTCAAGGCTGTGCGCCAGGTCTACAATGTCTTCTTGTTGTCGCGGAGCACCGAGAATCAGCAAGCCGCCCAGGGCACTCTGACACAGATGGTCGGCATGGTATTCGAGCGCGTGCGGACGAGGTTACACATGAAAGAAGCTCGCATGGACCTGGAGAAGCTCAAGCACAGTTCCAGTGATGGCACCTTTGACCAGGCCGAATCCCTGGCCAACGGGAATGGAGCAGCCCCCGACGATGACGAGTCGCCAGATGGTGCGTCCACCGAAGAAGTATCCGAGACCACCCCGTCCGAGTCTACGAACGATGGAGTCGGCAAGTTGACCCTGAAGGACCTCGAGAACCGGAAGAGCTTCGATGATTCGAACATGGGAGACGGCCCAACCATGGTGACACAGTTGAAGACCGGGAAGAAGAAGGAAGGGAGCGTATCCGGGAGCGTATCGGGACAGACGATGCCACCGACCGAAGCAGAAGAAGCCGTAGACTCTCTCGAGGCCGAGGATGAGGTCTACATCAGAGATGCCTACCTTGTCTTCCGCTCCTTCTGCAACCTATCCACCAAGGTCCTCCCTCCAGACCAACTATACGACCATCGAGGTCAACACATGCGCTCCAAGCTCATATCACTACACCTAATTCGCACCCTTTTGAATAACCACATCCACATTTTCACTTCACCCTTCTGTACTATTACCAACACCAAGAGCAATGAACCGACGAGCTTTCTTCAGGCCATCAAATTCTACCTTTGTCTTAGCATCACGAGGAATGGGGCTAGTTCCGTGGACAAGGTTTTCGAGGTGTGCTGCGAGATTTTCTGGCTGATGCTGAGATTCATGCGAGCGCCCTTCAAGGTGAGTTCTATAATGCATTCCATGTCTCATATTGCCTAACGTGGACATCACAGAAAGAGATAGAAGTCTTTCTCAATGAGATATATCTAGCCCTGTTGGCTCGACGGACCGCACCTCCGTCCCAGAAGCTCTATTTTGTCAACATTCTGACCCGGTTTTGTGGTGATCCCCGAGGATTGGTCGAGATGTATCTGAATTACGACTGCGATTCGCATGTCGACAACATCTTCCAAACCATCATTGAGGATCTCTCAAGACTTGCAATAACTCCTGTTGCAGTCACTGCAGCTCAGGAGCAGCTTTTCGAGGAGAAAAACTCCAACCCGAACAATAGCTCGGAATGGCAGTTGAAGGGCATGCTGCCCCCGCCTCTCAACGTGAGGGATATCGTTCCCTTTAGTGAGCCCGAGCCCGAGATACCCAAGGAGTACGTTATGAAGCGGTCCGCTTTGGAATCGCTGGTCGAGGCCTTGCGATCCCTTGTCAACTGGTCCGTTGCTGGGCGCCCTGATATAAATGGTGCAGCTCAAGATGGCGACATTCGAGCGTCTGCAGATGACATTCGCGAATCCATCGAGCCATCTGTCGCCGATAGCAATTCACGCCTAGACACTCCGATCCCTCCTTCTACTCCTATTATGGACGACGATCCAGCCCAATTGGAGAGAGAGAAAGCACGAAAGACAGCCCTCTCCAATGCCATCCGGCAATTCAACTTCAAGCCGAAGAAGGGAATCAAGCTCCTACTCCAGTCAGGGTTCATCCCCACAGATAGCCCTGAGGACATAGCGAAGTTTTTCATCTCTGACGATCGTCTTGACAAGGCCCAGATCGGCGAGTACCTCGGTGAGGGTGAGCCGAAGAACATCGAAATCATGCATGCCTTTGTCGACACCATGGATTTCAGCCGGAGGCGCTTTGTCGATGCTCTGCGACAATTTTTGCAGTCCTTCCGTCTGCCTGGCGAAGCCCAGAAGATTGATCGCTTCATGTTGAAGTTCGCTAATCGATATGTCATGGGCAATCCAAATGCCTTTGCAAATGCCGACACTGCCTATGTTCTTGCCTATTCGGTCATCATGTTGAACACCGACTTGCATAGCAGCAAAATTGCCAGACGCATGAGCAAGGAAGACTTCATCAAGAACAACGGAGGGATCAACGATAATGCCGATCTGCCGCCGGAATACCTGCTCGAGATATACGACGAGATTGCTGGCAACGAAATCGTACTCACCAGCGAGCGGCAGGCCGCAGCCCTCGCGGGTACTGTGCCTGTACAGTCAACTAGCTTTGCTGCCGGGCTTGGTCAAGCACTCTCGAACGTCGGCAGAGATCTCCAACGCGAAGCATACGTGCAACAGTCCGAAGAAATATCTCTGCGTTCCGAGCAACTCTTCAAGAACCTATTCAAGAACCAGCGAAAGAATGCTGCCAGAGCCGGGATCAAATTCATCCCGGCAACCTCTTTTAAACATGTTGGCCCAATGTTCGATGTGACATGGATGTCATTCTTTTCTGCCCTGTCCAGTCAGATGCAGAAGGCACAGAACCTGGAGGTCAACAAGGTATGCCTGGAAGGGATGAAGCAGGCCACCAAGATCGCGTGCTTGTTTGATCTAGCCACTCCGCGAGAAGCGTTCGTGTCCTCTCTGAAGAACATCACGAACCTCAACAATCCTCAGGCAATACTGGCCAAGAATGTTGAGGCGTTGAGAGTGATTTTGGAGCTGGGCCAGACAGAAGGCACCTACCTGAAAGACTCTTGGAAAGATATCCTCATGTGTATCAGCCAGCTCGATCGACTGCAGCTGATCACAGGCGGCGTTGACGAGGGATCCATTCCCGACGTGTCAAAAGCGCGCTTCATGCCAACAGGGAGGACTAGTCCGAACGAATCCCGAAAGTCTACAGCCTCCGCGCGCCGCTCAAACAGGTCGAATCCAGGTGCGAGAGGTTTCTCTATGGAGATTGCGCTGGAAAGCCGGTCGGACGAAGTGATCAAGAGCGTCGACCGCATCTTCAGCAACACAGCGCACCTCAACGGTGAAGCCATCGTCCACTTCGCCAAGGCTCTCACCGAGGTCAGCTGGGACGAGATCAAAGTGTCAGGCTCCAACGACTCTCCCCGAACATACAGCTTGCAAAAGATTGTGGAGATCAGTTACTACAACATGACGCGAGTACGTTTTGAATGGACCAACATCTGGGCTGTTTTGGGCGAGCACTTCAACAAGGTGGGGTGTCATGCCAATACGGCAATCGTCTACTTTGCTCTCGACTCACTGCGGCAGCTGTCGATGCGCTTCATGGAAATCGAGGAGCTTCCCGGCTTTAAGTTCCAGAAAGACTTCTTGAAGCCCTTTGAACACGTCATCGCGAACTCCAACAACCTTACTGTCAAAGACATGGCTCTGAGGTGTCTGATCCAGATGATACAAGCTCGAGGGGAGAATATTCGATCCGGTTGGCGAACCATGTTTGGTGTCTTCACTGTTGCGGCACGGGATCCCAACGAGGCCATTGTCAACCTGGCATACGAAAACGTCGTATTTGTCTACAAGACGCGTTTCGGCGTTGTGATTTCCCAGGGTGCATTCACGGACCTCGTTGTCTGCCTCACCGAGTTCTCCAAGAACATCAAGTTTCAGAAGAAGAGTCTGCAAGCAATGGAGACCTTGAAGTCCATCATACCTCGGATGCTCAAGACACCGGAATGCCCGCTGGCGTCAACCACTAATGCGGCTGCCAACAGTTCAAAGTCGCAAGAAACGCTGTCAAGGCAACAAAGTGGCACATCACTCGAGGAAGGGTTCTGGTTCCCGATATTGTTCGCCTTCCACGACGTGCTGATGACCGGAGAGGATCTCGAAGTACGGTCGAACGCGTTGAATTACTTCTTTGAAGCTCTCTTGCGATATGGCGGCGACTTCCCCCCAGACTTTTGGGACATACTGTGGAGGCAGCAGCTGTACCCAATCTTCATGGTGTTACGGTCAAGGCCAGAAATGTCCAATGCCCTCACCCACGAGGAGTTGTCCGTGTGGCTTTCCACCACCATGATCCAAGCTCTCCGCAACATGATCGTCCTCTTTACTCACTACTTCGATGCGCTGGAGTACATGCTGGACCGCTTCCTTGAATTGTTGGCTCTCTGCATTTGCCAAGAGAACGACACTATAGCCCGGATTGGCAGCAACTGTCTGCAGCAGCTCATTCTCCAGAACGTGACAAAGTTTGACGAAGGCCACTGGTCAAAGATTGTTGGAGCTTTCTGCGAGTTGTTCGAGAGGACCACAGCATATCAACTCTTCTCTGCTGCCACAATCAACGCCCCTGCCGCTCTGTCACCACCACCACCGAATGGTCTTGGTTTTGAGGTGCCATTGACGCCCACAAGCGAGGCCACACCAGACGAGAATTCGCTCAGAATCAATGTTACCGACAAGATTGGCAGTAGCTCTGCAGCCGAGACAGCATCTATAACCACGCCTCAGACGCCCACGTTGGACGACTCGCTTCGAACACCAACGAGCACCACCGCGTCAAGTCAACTGGAGGATTTCAAGCCTGCGTCGTCACTGCAGCAGCAGCCCGTGGTTGTGACGGCTGCCCGGCGGCGCTTCTTCAACCGCATCATCTCTCGTTGTGTCTTGCAGTTACTGATGATCGAGACGGTCAACGAGCTCTTCTCCAACGATGCAGTATACGCACAGATTCCTTCTATGGAACTACTGCGCTTGATGGCGCTTCTGAAGAAGTCGTTCCTCTTTGCCAGGCGCTTCAACGAAGATAAGGACTTACGCATGCGGTTATGGCGAGAAGGATTCATGAAACAGCCACCCAACCTGCTCAAGCAGGAGAGTGGGTCGGCAGCGACATACATCCAGATCCTGTTCCGGATGTTTGGTGATACGTCAGCATCGCGTGCAGAGAGTCGGCCCGAAGTTGAAAAGGCTCTCGTCCCGCTGTGCAAGGATGTGATCAAGGGATATCTGGCGCTCGAGGAGGACTCGCAGCAGCGTAACATTGTGGCGTGGCGGCCCGTCGTTGTCGATGTGCTCGAAGGATACTCAACGTGGCCGGAGAAGGAATTCGCTAAGCATGTACCAACATTCTACCCTTTGGTCATCGAGCTGCTTGGCAAGGAGGTCAGTGCGGAGTTGAGGACTGCGTTGCTAGCCGTGCTGAGGAGAGTGGGTGAGGTCGGACTGGGAATCGAGGGCATGACTGCGAGTGGTCGGCGAGAGAGCGTCAGCAGTACGGCTGCTCTCGAGACGCCGACGGCCGCGACATCGGAGCTGGACCACGTGGAAGAGGATGGAGAAATGGGTACAAGGACCCTAAAGACCTGAGAAAACAGGGCGCTCAGGGTTCGATAGGGAAGGGTGTATAGGTAGTTGTGCGATCTTCTCGGGGTCGCCCAAAATAGAAACGAAGCCATCACCGGTACTGTTACTATAGCACGGGTATTACTACTACCATATCATGGGATAGCATTGGAACAGAAGAAGTTGAGCAATTGATAGACATGTTTCCCGCGGCTTCGCGTGACGCGTCCTTTAAAGGCAGGGTGGCAGGGTCGTCTACTTGATGCAAAGTGACCGAGCTTGAAGGGTGCCCTCGATGATCCGGCCAAGGGTTGATCGCCAACAAGCGTGCGGCGCAGTGTCTACTGCAAAAGGTCAAGGTAAGTTGATGCCGATATTACCTCCCTGCGGAGGGAACGCATATAGTTGACTCGAGGCCATCAAACCACAGAACTTGTACGACTCCGAGCAAGGATCAGACAAGAGAGCCATGCTTCTGGTCTTGCGGCGGTCATCAGTAAAGGGGGTCCCTGGGAGGGTTTCACCGAAATGGGGCTTCATCTTACCTTCGAGGGCTACTTTCACATGGTAAGACGCGATGAGATCTCATTAGATGGAAGTGAAGGTCTCTGATAGTTCATCGTGTGGCTAACGCCCATGCAAGCTGCAAGAAGACATACATACTGGCCTGGCAAGTGCCTTCTTCAGATCCGAGTGGACGGCCGCCTTTAGACAGGCGATACTCGGCAGTGCCATTCGGCCGATTCTCAAGAAGATGTACTGGTTGCCGAACGAAATAAAGGTGTGGCTATCGTTGGCGCCCTTCCTTTGCCAGTACCCGTCCGACACCATGACGGCTGCCGATCTCGTCTGAGAGCGAAGCCACTGGCTGAATACCTGACTCACGAAGACTAGAGTGAAGATCGAAAACACCTTGTGTCCTGACCTGTTCCCGACCTGCTACGAGGTGGCCGATACGACACGGCCAAGATTTTCTGTCTCCATGTCCAGTCGGCCATCATCGCCCGCCCAGCCTTGCAACGGGCAAACCAGGTCCTAATTTACGACCTACCGTGTCTCGAAAGGCGAGCTAGATGCATGAGCAGCAAAAGACCACTCGTCGTAGACTGCGCCGGCGCACTGGTATTGCCCTACGCGTTAGCAAGTTGCAAGGGAGGCCAGTTTTGTATTGAAAGTCTAGAGAGGACGGAATCTTTTCGATGGCCACCTCCCATAGGCCATGACTGGACGTTGCCATTATGGCTAATGTCAAGGGATACACCGACCGTCTACCATTCCTCAACACACAGGACATAAACATAGAGTTTCCAGGAATGGGTTGCCGTGGCTGATATCACACCACGACTGTGCCATGAGCACAACAATGGACGGACCAAGGAGTATGAAGGGCCGAAGGATTGCCATTGACGTGGCGCTTCTGCATCGAGATGATTTGTTGGACTGCGAGTCGACAACATTCGGGTATCACACAGCATGTCAAAAATCGAGCTATTCTGACACGGACATGGTTGCTTCAGTCGCGAAAACTATTTAATGTAGGGGTATCAGTAGCAGCCACGATGATGCGATCAGGCTCGGTGTATATTGGGCACCAGGAGTTGGGTAAAGGTGGAACCCGCGGCAAGACGAAGACTTGAATAACGGTGCCATCTCACGGAATTGGCAGCCGAATCATGCCGCCTTAAAAGGGTCAAACTCAAAAGCTGTACAGCCATTCGCCCTTATGGCGCCATAACTTCTCTGATGAATTGTCTCAGATCATCAGCCTCCTCGGGTATCGTTCGTTCTGGTAGGCTTGTGATTGCCGTCTTCAAGGCAGAATCTCGGGTAGTTGCGTCCCTGATAAGTTTCTTGAGAGTGTCCATCTTGTAGGTGGAGAAGGGTGTGACCCGTTGGATACTCAGCAGCGCTTCGAAGAAGTCCACAAGGGTGAGGTGCATCAATGGATCCTCCTCGTCGATCATGTGCAGGGCAGCAAAATGCAAAAGTCCGCCGTTGCCCTCAAAGTTGGCGTAGCGTTGGTTGAGTTCGGGAAAGTCAGTTCGTGTCAAAGCGGCAAAGTTCAGGGCTGCTAGACGCGGCAGGATCCGGAGCAGGCGGCCCTGAGCTAGAGAGACTTGCTGGTCAGTCTGGCCCCCTTCTGCAGCCTGGTGCGAGCCGGTGCTGCAAAGCGACAGGAGCAGACAGTAGACATCACGGTCATGGAAGACCCTCCGCCACATGAAACCCTGTCCAGCAGGTCTTCGTACCGCGATCTCTACCCCACTCACGGCTACACCGTCAGGCGGCCGTGTATCACAGTCAACGTCCAAGAGATCGCCGAGGACCTTGGATCCCTTCTCCCCGACTTCGACTTGGGGTGCGCTCAGCCACTGGGTCAGGAAGTGGGTGACGACGTTCTTCATGGCGGCCAAGATGGCAGCTTCGCTTGGTGATTTGGCGGCCTTCTCGAGGACGGTCATGGCAAGGATGTTGGCTGAGGGGGCGGGAGAGCGCATAGCTTGTATGATGGCATTTTCGGAAGCGAGGGAGAGGATCTGGGTGAAGTTGAGAGGACCGAGGAGCTTGATCGCAAGGCTGCAGAGGATAGCCGGGTCTTGTTGGTACTGCTGCAGTATCTCGGTGATCTTTGGCAGGAGTCTCGGAATGAGGGGCAGAATGTTCGCATCTTCGAGGGCAGGAAAGTCAGTATGCCAACCTCCAGATGTGTATAGAGTATTTGAATTATACTTGCCTGTGAGCTGCAGTTCAACGTCGTCAAAGAGCTTCACGATTGGTGGCAGCGTTGGGTCGGCAATGAGCTCGTCGAGGTGCTTGTCCAGCTCGTCTACGCCCGAAACGGGGATGGTATCGGTATCCATTTTGACCGCAATGCGACTCATAGCTGGAGAGACTGGAGCTGCAGCTTCCAGAGATATCTGATACCTGGTGCGAGAAAGAGGTAGGTTTAATGTTGTTGTTGCAGGATGGAATAAGAGGTAGGAGAAGCTGTGGTGGGTCGCAGGCCTGGGATGATCGTCGCGTGGGGCCAAGATTGAGAGGGCGGGCTGAGAGGCTGAGAGGCTGAGAGGTTGAGGCTAGAGCTGTCAAATCGCGGGGTAATTGACACTGTGGCGAACCTGATCGGCAAGGAACATTGAACCCCACCATCGCAGAATCCCCACCAAAATCTCGAGAAAAGACGGGAGTCATTGGAACTCTCTTCCAATGTTCAATCCCAATTCACTTCAGTTCAATATTATCACCTCTCTCACGGTTTTCGGTTTTCATCGGTTACCGTGAAAAACGCCCGCTCCCTTTCGCTAGGAGCTATTCGCACTACACCCGATCCTACGTCCAAGCATCCCACAGGAGCCAGAGCGCAAGTCCATAATCCCGCCATCGATGCGTCGCAATGTCAGGCCGCGGCGGTAGAGGAGGCAGAGGGGGCCGCGGCGGCGGACGTGGTGGGAAACCAGCGCCCCCTGGCATGCCATTCGGTGACGACCCGTCACTCATAGTCAATGACGAGCCTCAAGACACCTACCCAGTATGTCTCCATGTCTCCATGTCTCTATGTCTCAGGTGCTTCTTGGAAGGGGACAGTGATACTGACATGGGCTGTCGCAGAAATCCTACAAGCCGCCCGCCGCGCCTCCGCTTACCCCCTTGGAGGAACGCTCTGGCGGCTGCTTCGTCCAGTTTCGCCTGGCCTACCACAACTCACCCATGTACACACACCGTCACCTGAACGCTGACGCTCTATCCACCAAAGACCCCGTAATGCCCAGGTACGGCCAGGCCCAGATCAATGAGCGCTTCGGCATCAAGAATCGCGCCACCGTCGATCCCTTCCTCGCCGTGCCCATGTACAGCCACCAGTTCGTAGATGATACACGGACGCTTCCCGCACTCAGGGGTGCTCGCTTATATCGGAAGGACCTCTTTCCTCAGGAGCTGTGGGGAACATTAGGCGGCAAAGACACAGGTGGACCGAAGGGCGGATTCGAAGTCGAGGGAAAGCCGAAACTGGGCAGGAAGCGGAAGGCGCTAGCAGACGATGACTATCCATTCGCCGATGACGACGACGAAGCCTTTGGTCCAGGTCACTACAAGCGCCGCGAAAACGAGACCGAAGAGGAACGCAAGGCGCGGATAGACGGCGCTGGCAAGGGCGGGGAGAACGAAGAGGGCGAACCCGGCGAAGTCGATCTTGATGAGGAGGAAGAGGAGCTGTCTGCCGAGGACGATGACTACGAAGACGACGAGGATGGCGGCGACTACGACGCCGAGGCATACTTCGACGATGGCGAAGATGAGGATTATGGCGAAGAAGAAGGAATTGGCGAGTCAGCCATGGATTTCTGACGGCTCCTCGGCCATGCTCAACCCGCATTGGGACCGGCGTTTCGATGGACATATGGTCCTACTTGTGCTATAGATGCTGTGATCATTTCACCATCACCTCGGCTTCTTACAATGATACCACACTTTTTTCTCTTAACCCTTGGTGTAATTTTCCTCCCAATCGTACGCGGAGGAAATCCCCTTAGCTGTTGTGACCGTGGTCGCATATCCTAACCCAGTTTGTCCAGAGCACACCAGTCATCCACTTCAGTCTGGCTGTTTGGCGATATTGGACGAAAGATGGTAGGATTCCAAGATGGTACCTGGGACCAGCAGCTCGCAGTATATCGAGTTCAGAAAAAGCTTTGTCCGTAGATACCAATCAGTACCTCGAGGCTGATGGTACAAACTCACTTCAAGACCGGTATGTTAATAGATTCAGCTTCCATTTTTCATGTATGTGCCTCTCGTTTCCTGTATACTTATTTCTCTCACATAGCTGATACTCTTGATGGACAATATAGTATTGACTGCTTACAGTGAAGGACACAGACAAGCGAGAAGGGAGACCGAAGGGCTTGAGTCATCATGGCAAGCGACAACCGACAAATCGACGGCTGCAGCAATCGGGACTGCAGGTTTTCGCGAACGAGCACATGTTCACACGTGCCTGCGCTCGACACACACAGCACGGGATGGGCAGGACACCGAAAGTCAAGCGTAGCGGCCAGGCGATGCGTTGGAGGCACTTGCGGTACGACAGCTTTCCACAAGATCTAGATCGATCTATCATCTCGGTATCCTCACTGCAACCATGGAATCCTGCCACGTAGCGTCTCCAGAAGCTGATGATCTGATCGGTGCTGTAGGTAGATCCCCGCATTCTTGAGGTGCAGCATGGCAGCCTGGCCTTGTACAAGTAGTCTACGTGATCCGCACTCATCAGCATCCATGCTCATTCACCCTTCTTTTGATCAGCATCCATGCTCACGCTCCTGTTGCTGCTGTCTTTAGGACTTAGAACACCTCTTACCACTGTTCCAATCACCACCATGCCCATCACTGTCATCCCAACATCTCACGCCCCCAAGGCGCATCCCGCAATTGCGTCAGCCGATTCCCTTGACCACCTGCTCCAGCTCTCATGTCCGGATACATACCTCCCGAACGACACTCGCATCGTCGCCTCATCCTTCGATGTTACCGGAGGGAGTGGCACCCGCATCTACCCATCATCATCTAGCTTTGTCCGTGCAGCCATTGAGGCCTGGGGTCGCCACTCGCATCTCGTAATTCGGCCCGAGGATGTAGGAATACTACCCGTCCCACTCTGCGCCGACTCAATGCTAATGTTCATCGCCTTGCCAGGTGTGGTTCACAATCCTTGTGCAGATGAACTTCTTCATGCAGAAGAATGCCGAGTCTCTTCGACATCTGTTCGTTTCGCACCGCGGAAAGAAACGTATCGAAGTCTGGGGGGATGACTGGCCGGATGTGATGGATCGCTTTCAAGACCATCTGCAAGCCGAGCTTCAGACCGAGTGGATGAGCGACTGGGTCTCCCCAGGCTTTAGTACGAGCACCATCGACGACGAGAGGACTGCCACTGTGCTCATGATGGGCTTGATGAAGAGCTTCTTCGACTACGCAGGCGGCATAATCTGCGGCATACCGAGTATCACCATACTGGGTACAAAGAGCGACTGGGAGCGCCTATCCAGCAAGATCGATCGTCTTGACGACTTTGGCGACGAGCCCAAGGCTTACGCAAAGCGTCTTAGACCGATCTTATCCCGCATCGTGCAGACATTCGACAATCCCGAGGCCGAGGAGACGAAGGAGTTCTGGGACCAGCTAGTGCAGGCCAAAGTAAAGCATTCGAACGTTTGTGGAGAACCGCCGAGTCAATACGTCGTGAGTGGGTGGATCATGGGACTCTACTACTGGGACTCCGAGGGCACCGTCAACCGAGTGTTCGCGCAAGGCTTCCCCGGAGAGCGTGAGTTTGACTTGGAGAAGCGACAATACGCAAAAGAGATCCGCACAATGGTCCAATACGATGGCGTACTTTATGGCGAAGCAGCTCTGGAGGATCTTCCTGTCGGTTACGCAAAAGCCAAGTTCGAGATGATTAATGAGCATGGAGGTGATGCGAGCAAGCCCTTCCAAGGCTGGGTGTTGGCAGGCAGCATTGGGAAGCGAATCGTCGACGGTGCGCCAGCTGGTTATGAGAGGGCGCTTCAGTCCTCCTTTTCCCCAACTAAGTCTGACGTTGCTGGGAAATCCTGTTCCCCGACTGAGCCTGACGTTGCTGGAGAACCGAAAAACCCAGGCTCTTTCTCCGGCCTACTTCGGAGCTTGAATTGCTTCGGTGCGATGGGCACAAGCACATCGCCCTCTGGCTCGCCTCAGGATGTGGCCAGAGGAGGCGAGAAGCAGCAGGTGATGGGCAGCGCCACTCCAGATACTCCAGAACACGGGCATAGTACCATCCAGCCGACCTCCGGCTGGTTCTTGTTCGGCCCAGACAAAGATACGAACCCCTTCGTCGACTTCGGGGAGTTTGACGGACCGACGGTCGATGCGATCGACAGCTGCGAGAGGGTTGAGCACTTTGGCCAGTGTGTCAACTGCAGAGATCTGAAACATTACAAGAGGTCGCCGCCGGAAACTGTTCCAAAGTAGGTTGTACTGCGTCCAGGATGGCAAGCGCTGGCAGCAGCACGCGCGAGGATAGTCTCCTTCTGCGGAACAATGCAGTCCTCGAGTAAAACCATGACTTGCATCAAGGGACATGTTACTGCGCAGTCAGTCGGTTGTGTTGTGGGAAAAGGTGATGGTGGAAGGCAAGCTTGAGGAGGGCAGGCTGCAGGGACCGATGCCATAAAGCCGGCTGCTGCTGGCCAACATGGCAATTGCGATATGCACGAATGGTCTACTCAAGTCTGAAAAGGACAAGGTCTGAGTGTTCAGCTACCCTTGTGGAAGCATCGGAGAGGACAACGCGAGTACGACGAGACGCTGAGCTTGATGCAGCTGGGTCGTGGCTTTCACGGACCGTGTTTTGTGCGTGGAAAGGCATTTGGGACATACCGCTGAGCATCACGAATTCATTTAGGCGAAACATGACGTGCAGGACCATATAAGGAGGTCAAGTGTCCAATTCTCATACATGCATTGGGCTCCCTCAGCTCTGTCCGCTGTCTCGCCTCTGATCTGCTCGGTCTCGTGCGCCTTATATATATATAAGGTACTGGTCGAACAGACGTGTGTGTATCCAGACCAGGTATTACTTGATCGTCGGGAATACCTGCACCCTGTGGTCTGCCTGGACGCTTCCTGCGTATCCTCTGGTCCTTTGGCTTATTTGGTTAAGGGTCTATGACTTTGACTATCTCTGGGTCCGCAGGGTGGCCTCCGACGAGAACGCAGATGTGGTATCCATGTTCAAGAAACGTCGCTTAAAAGTCTCGGAGTCGACTGTCGACCAACTGCAGCTACGAGGACCGGGACATATAGATCCACTCGTATGGATACAAGTGCTGCTTGCATACACGTACAGATGGACGCAGCTCGTTGGTGTTAAGGCAGAGCTGCACAAGGGCCCCTTCCATTGGATGGCAATGTCGTACCACGTCGAAGGCGCTGGGAGCCGTTGCAGCTGCTGTTGCATGCCTGACAGTCAGCCCTACAACCCGGACAGCATCCAGAGAACCATGGAAGTCTCTCTTCGGTGTGCAACAAGTGTTACAACGGTCATCAAGGGCCCCGCGTATCCTCCAGGCAGCCTCCACCCCGACTGCCTAATCTCTTCCCCTATCAATAGAGTTTAGTGGGTGTGGCTGCCTGCTTTCCGGCTACATTGAAGGAAGTTAGGCGAGTTCTTGTTGGTTGTACGGGTCACAACGGGAACGGATCACGTCGATGTACACAGGGTGCCTGCTTTCATGTTGGTTCCATTGGCATTCGCGCAGTGCCTCATGGTTGTCACTTCCTCCCTCGCAGCGGACCTCAGCACATGCAGGTGGGTTAGGTAGGTAGTAGGTGCTGGTGACATATGGGTAGGTGCATGTGAGGCAGAAAGCTCAAGATGCATGTGTGCAATGAATACCGCTGATTCCAAGTGATCAGCGTCGAGTTGATAGGAGACGTCATAGATATTGGATACAACTGCTTTGTTTCCCAATTCAAACGTCGTGCTTACCTGCTTGTTACATTCAGCCTTCATGAGTGTCCATACGCTCATGTTGATAAGATTCCATAGTAGGTACCTTAGCCATGGGAGATTTTCAAATACCGGAATAAACATACAGGAATAAGCAGCTCTAGTTCGATTCGTGGTTCTGAATGCTTATTCTAGTGTGCTTATTCGAATTCGATGAATATACCGTTGTATGCTGGATGGGTGGTGTACGGTGGTTTACGATTTATTTTATTTTTAAGTTTATGAAACCGCGCAGTGGAAGAAGTAGCGCATAGATACATATTCCAATCGCTCATGCCAGATGATCATGCAGCTTGTCTTGTCGATCCTTCCGGTGGGCCGGCAATTGCCGGATGGCGTCGCTATGTACGGTGGGAGCCATTTGATCCGTGTGGCATGTTCTGGGTGACGTTGGGAAGAATTGTGTGTGGTGCGTGGAGAAGATCTTCGCGAGATTCCCGTGCGAGAATCCGTCCTCATACAGGGCTCTCGTGACTCATCGGATGAAGGTACGAAGGTTTCGCTAGTGGCGTTGAGGTCAGGAGAGAAGACAAACAGAGTTCAGCCACAAGCCACCAAAAAAAAAAAAAAAAAACCATTGTTTATTTGCTTAAGGTTGTGGCAGGGCCTGAGTTGACCCCAAAACATCGGTATCATCTCAATCTGCTGGGTTGGGAACACGAAGTCTTGTCGATCCCTAGAGGAAGGAAGGAATCATAGGGGGGTTGCTGTGTCCTTGCAGGGACCGCAGCTGGCAAGGAAAGGAGGTGCGAACGAGCAGACAACATTGGACATCCCTCATGCGTCAACATCATTCGGGCCCCATTCTTCTCCCAAGAACCCACCACTCCGATTATCCATCTTCATCTACAGAGTTACAAGCATACCGCATTGCTACGGACAAACCAGACCAGCAGTCACCCAAGATGACTTCCAACGCCGACCAGCAGAGGGGCGCCTTTGACATGGAAAGTTTCTATGAAATGCTCGGTGATGATAAGATCACCTATGAGCTGCTCGGGGCGTTGTTCAAACGCAACAGGCTTGTTTTTGCTACAACCTATGGTTCGGAAGACCAGCCACGAGTGTTCAAAATCGAGATGATCGAGAAGCATGCCAATTCGTCCACAGGCAAATGTTTCCGTATCTGGGGCAAGGTAAGTGGTATCAATGAAACCCTACCTCGGCTTGCTGAACGGAGGGTTTACGGAGACCTCTGGAGGTCCAGTGAACTCGGAAGCTTACACCTTCATGTTAGTATTTCGATCACGACGGCAAGAAATTCTCCTATAAGACCATCTCCCACGAGATTGCCCAGTTCAGTGGCCCTCGCAAGATCACGAGTCTGGGCTGCTACCCTCTCAAGCTCCACAAGGAGGAGGTGCAGCTTCGCAAATATCTCATCAAGCGAGGCAAGAAATTCGTCGAGTTGTCTTCTGTTACTGGTGGTCGTTTCGTCAGCCATCATGGCATGGCCTATCTCAAGCTGAATGACTCGTCGGTCCTCAAGATCAATGTCAACGGCCGAATCATGGTCGATCCTGCTGGCCACCGTCGCATCAACCCCAACTATCCTCGCGACTATCAAGGCCCCGACCCGTTTGATTGGAACGAATACAAGATTGATAGTGACGAGGAAGACAGTGACGACTCGAGAGGCCTAGTGACGTCTTGGTGGTGTACGGACGAGCAGTACCTCATTACGTCTCCTGTCGTTATGGGCTTCGCTTTTTGCGGGAAGAAGTGGCTGGAGTTTACCGTGTCTGACATTAAGGATATCACGTGGAATGGATCTGCCTACGATGACCTGGTCATGCAAGCCAGAAACAAGGAACTGGTCGAGGTAAGCTGTCCACTGCTTATTGTTTTGCCCTCCACCTGGCTCCTAGAAAGTACACGGAAGTACCTGTAGTCGCTGACTGGACTCATAGGCTTTGATCAGATCTCATAATGACCACGCAGCCGAAAGGATGGACGACATTATTGCGGGGAAGGGCAGAGGCCTCGTATTCGTGCTGCATGGCCCTCCGGGCACAGGGAAGACGCTCACGGCTGAAGCTATCAGTGACGCGATGAAGTGCCCGCTCTACAAGGTGTCAGCAGCAGAACTAGGGACGGACCCTCGCGGCCTAGAAGCTGAACTACAGAAGATCATGGACATTTGTCATGGTTGGGGGGCGATTATGCTTCTGGACGAGGTGGACGCGTTCCTATCGGGGCAGATTTTCCGTGATGCTTTCCTTCGGACGCTCGAGTATTTCGAGGGCATCTTGTTCCTGACGACCAACCGCATTGAGGTATGACCCCAAGGGCCTTGACAGGTAATATTCAACCCAGACTAACTCGGTCACGCCTAGAATCTCGACAGTGCTATCCTGAGTCGTTGCTTTATCCCCCTTCGCTACAACCAGCCGGACCGACGTGAGAGGACCGACGTGTTCAAGACGTTCATCGATCGCGTGCGACGAGTGACCAAGGTGGACGAGGACACCTTCACAGAGGAGGCACTTTGGCAACTGGGATGGCACAGAATCAACGGGCGCCAGATCAGAAATACGGTCAGCGCGGCGCATGCTCTGGCAGCGGGCAAAGGCGAGCGGCTCAGTATGGACCATATCAATCATGTTCTCGGTGTGCAGCAGAGTGATATCGAATGGGTATCGAATCCGGAGGCGCTCTAAAGGTACCTACCCCAAGCGAAAGGCTACGAAGAGCGTCTGATGACTCCTGATTGACTACACGAATGCACCACCTGCGTTCTTGGTCTGGGTCTAGTCGGGTTGAGATAGAGCCGCCCTCTCTTTGCCTGTTTTATTGCGTGCTCAGCTAGCATCTAGCGATCAGTGTCAGTGACCAGCGTTAATTGACAATTGTGCAACACCATGGTTGCTGAAAAGTTTGGAAGTGTGTTCGGTCGTCTGAGTGAGTCCGGTCCATCGGCCTCAAGCTGGCAGCCCCTGAGCCCCTGATCATGGTCATCGAGGATGATCAGGTATACTAAACCCTCATAAGTCTCCGTACAGTCCTCATCCACTAAGCGAAAGGTGCGTTTATAAAAAATGGAATAAGCACGCTAGAATAAGCATCGAACATGACCTTATAGCCATGAGCTACTTATGCCTGTTTGCTTATTCCAGTATTTCTAGATCTTCGCGTAGGTATGATCTAAGGTTAGAAGTCTTCCAATATGGCGCGTATAGAGATTTAGGAGGACTGAGTGTACGAGGTGATGGTGTGCATGGTGCTAGACAGCCCCCTTTCCCCTAGGCTCCTTGCAGCTAGACTGACCGCTGTGCTGGAACCCCCTGCAGCCCCTGGTGTCCAGCCCAGCCAGCCAGCCAGCCCAGCCCCGCTGCCCCAACCCCCGATGTCCCCACTGAGCAACGTCATGCAACAGCCCGGAGGATTTCTCCAACTCGACGCCAGCAAGGAACCAACAGCCAGCAGCTAGACAGAGCTCGTGAAGCTCGGAAAACAAGAATCTCTACCTTGGCACGTTTTTCGCGTGTCGGTAGAGCTTAGCTTCAGACTCCTGCGCTTTTCTTTCTTCTTCTTCTTCTTCTTCTACTCCTCAACCTCAATTGCGGCTGCGACTCGATCATTGCCTTCTGGTTTCCCATTTTCGCCATAGTTCACGTCCCTACTGTCGCTGTTGTCAGGTCAAGCTAAGCTGGACACTTTACCACGGGCAGACAATGAGTCGTTTTAGCTGGAAAACCCTCCTGGGCTGGGATCGTCACCCCTCTCATAATTCTCACGAGTGGTCAATTCACGAGTCACGCAGGCGTCGTAAGTACAATTCGACCGATAACAATCACGAGCTGACGGTAGTTGCCCAGTCCTTCCTCTGCATCACGACGAGTCGATCCAGTCTGCCATCCCTGCCCCCGAGGTCACCAAGATCGCCCTCCGTCTCCGATATCTCATTGAAGAGAGCGTACCGTGCGAGCTCGAGGAGGAGCAGATCACCAGACCTCATAGCAAGGTCATCACAGAGGCTGTTATAAAGGCCGCCAAGGAGGCTGGCGGCCACGACAATCGGTCCTGCGTGGTCTTCTGCCTCCTGATCGCCAACCGCTGGTTCAAGCACCAGTCGCTGGTCGAGCTCTGGGATGCCGATCTCCACCTGCTCCGCGCTACCGCTTGCGAGGTCATCGCGAAGGAGATCATCGAGTCGGAAGAGGACATGGCATATCTGCTACACTCGGTCCTGCTGAAGCGTTACTCGATTACCATCAATGGCGAACCTACACCGCCCGTCAATGTTATCGAGAAGGCCGTTGACCTGCACACCCTCCGCGTCATTGGCTCCTCGGGCTATCAGAAATGCATCAGCTATCTCTGGAAGGGCTGGCTAGTCCAGGATGAGGACGACCCTGCCAGCTTTGTCGACTACCAGGGCCGCGACGACACGTCTATCTGGCCTCATCTCGACCCGGACCGCATGCGCGCGCCCATGTACCAGAACGCCTTTCAACTGCTGATCTCCGTCATCTACTTGGCATTGTACACCGGTGCTATTAACACCATCAATCCCAGTGGCGACTTGGACTTCGTCGAGATACTGCTCTACGTCTTCACCTTTGGTTTCATCTTTGACGAGCTTACCAAGTTCTGGAAGGCCGGCTACCACATCCTGGGCTTCTGGAACGCCTTCAACAACGCCATGTACTCCCTGTTGATGGTTTCGCTTGCCATGCGCATTGTAGCCTTCACTCATCCATGGGACGATGATGGTGAGCGGAAAAAGTACAACCAGTTGTCGTACAACTTTTTAGCCTTCACCGCCCCCATGTTTTGGGCTCGTCTGCTGCTCTACCTCGACTCCTACCGATTCTTTGGAGCCATGCTTGTGGTGGTCAAGGTGATGATGAAGGAGAGTATCATATTCTTCGCCTTGCTCATCGTCATGATCATTGGCTTCCTACAGGCCTTCATTGGTATGGATTATGCCGATGACATGGCAGGGGATGACACCTTGTTCATCCTTCAGGCTATGGCAAACGCAATCATGCAAAGCCCAGACTTCACCGGCTTCGAGCGCTTTAGTCCACCGTTCGGTATTATCTTGTATTATCTCTTCACCTTCATCGTTATGGTAAGTCCTGAATCTACGGTCCATGTGACGATAATCCCCGGGAAACTGACAAAAACTGCGTGTATAGGTCGTCCTCCTTAACATACTTATTGCCCTGTACAATAGCGCTTACGAAGACATCTATGACAATGCTGACGATGAATACATGGCTCTTTTCTCTCAAAAGACCATGCAATTCGTCCGCGCCCCCGACGAGAATGTTTTCATTGCGCCTTTCAATTTGATTGAGGTTTTCTGTCTTATCATTCCCTTGGAGTGGTGGATGCCCAAGAAACAGTACGAACGCTTGAATGATGCGGTCATGGGCATCCTCTACTCGCCCCTGCTCTTCTTTGCTGCTCTATATGAGGTAAAGACGGCGAAGGAAATCCGCCGCAACAGACGGAATGGTGAAGAGGACGACGACACGGTTGAAGAATGGGAACAGATGGCAGACCAGATCGATTTTGAAAGCGAAGGTTGGGCCAAGAAGGTAGCCGAAAGCAAGCCCAATGTCGTTGATGATCCGGCGATACTTGAGATCAAGAAGCTCAGAGGCGAAGTCGACAACTTGAAGACCCTCTTGGAGAACCTCGGGAATAACCTTGGCAGCAAATCCGAGGGGGAGAATCAATAGGCCGAGCTGCAGGAGATTATGGCCGACAAGGACGAGGAAAAGTGCACCTGATGCATACTTTCTTGAAGTGTCATCTGTTCACACAGTTGTGGTTTTTTTCGACCGTTGGTGGCAATCACCAATATGGGCCGCATATCGGATCATGTACGTTGCTCAATAGACCCCCGTGTATTTAGTCAATCAATGACATGTACTGAACGAAGAGCCCTCAGTACTGGCATGTAGCTACGTGACTGGACAAAATGCCAGATACCGACGAAGCGGCCAAAACGGGGCTACAGAAGCCAGTCAGTTGGTCGACGAGAGCCTTAGGTGGTGTGCTTATCGCACATCCTCGCGGTGGAACAGGTTGAAGAGGTGCGGATCCTTTATGGCCAGCCCGAAGCTATTCGACATGTAGCCGTGTGCGGCCTGGCCAGGTCATGGCGCGGCGAGTGCTACTCCATCCGGCTGTTCTGTCCGTTGGACCGTCGATCGCAGGTCTGGCGAACATTCAGCGAAACCTTCCGATCGATGACCTAGCAGCCGTCGGAGCGAGTTTCTTTGGTTGTCGTCAAATGGATCCCTTGCTCTGGACTATGCTGGAACATAGTGAAAGCTGTAGATATAGAGGTTTGTGCCTCTTCGAGAGATCAACAGACCATAGACCGTGCTCGGTCAATTGCTGAAAATAGGGCAGTTATCAGTGGTGATATGTGCACACCTTGGCCTCCATAGCGAAGAATAGTGAGTGTTTGAGTAAGTTAACCGCTCTTGGAGACGAGACTGGTGCGTTCTGCTGTCAGATGTCCCTGACCCATTTGTCTGAGAAGGCAGCAACACGAATGTCTTAAGTATCAGATGACGCTGGAAGATGCCGTCGCACTGGATACATTGAAAATGGAATATATAACGACTCTTCCGAACAACTGGGGGGCCTCGTGTATCAAGTCTATAGTTCCTGCAGTTGGTCAACAATTGAGTCTGAGACCCTTACGCGACATTTGTTGAACATGGATACCACATCTGCGTTTCTGTCGGAGGCCTTCTCTCGGGCCATGACTTTTGTCTTTTCGCAACCTGCAGACCCGGCGGCACAACTGGAGGCTCCTATACCGACAACATGCTATTCCCTCAAGATTTCGAAGATGACTGGAGAGCTGGCGGCGGCCGTGACGCAGAAAAAGCCTGGCTCATCCTGTTGAAGATGGTGGTGAAAGGGACACTTGACAGGACTACATCGGAAAGGCTCAAGAAGATCCTGATATCAGAATTGCCACACAAGGACGTATTATCACTAGCTGCAAAGGTGAAAGACGACATCTTTCATGGCCGGCTCGCTACGTTTTGCGCGACTCCGCTGCTTCAGCTCATGCACTTTATACTAGTGAAGACCTTAAACGAGACTGTCAACCGTAAGACTAAGCAGATCCGGGAATTCTACTTCGACCCTACCATGCGTCGCAATCCCTTCACGCTGACGGAGAAGTCTGTTATATACCCGTACTCTGCCACCCAGCTCAAAGTCGTCATTGTCGGAGGCGGTCCGACAGGCCTCAGTGCGGCCATCGCACTGGCAGAGAAAGCCGGCAACAGGGTTCAAATACACATTTATGAGAAACGATGTCGTCAAACGGCGGGCACCGTATCCTTCGTCAGTTGCCCAGTCAGCGCGCATCGCCGTGGTCAGGTAGTAACATTGCAGGATGACGTGACCGACTTGATGAGCAAGGCGACGCGCGACGCCCTCTTTGAAGGGCATCCAGAGAGGGTATGGCCAACTTCGAGTAACCTTCAAATACGTAAGGTTGAAGATCGCCTGCTCCATCGAGGAGTTCAAGTGCATTATATACCTTCACCCCGAAGACATGACGAAGGAGCGATTAAAGGACTGTGGTGACTTCCACCTGCTACTCGGCGCAGACGGCGCAGGGTCCTGGGTACGTAAGGAGTATTTTAAGAACGACGACGAGGAGCGAGCGAGGACTTGTGCTCTAGGAATCGGGATCAACCGCTCAGAAGGTCTGCCGCGCCTGCAGGCTTTGAATATCTTCCTGACGCTGATCCAGACGCGGTACCTGCTTAACGCAAGTGACGTAGACGGAAGAGGGTACCTGAACATGCAACTCACACAATCTGAATGGCGCCAGATGCGCAGGTTAGACGGGAAGGGTTGCGACTTCGCGAACCCCGGCCGTATACGCGTCAGGGGCAAGATACCCGAGGGGTATACAGAAGGCCAGCTCTTCAAGCCATCCGAGTGCCGCGAGCACCCCTTGTGGATTGCGATCCGAGATGGAATCAAGCTGTTCGGCTTCACCGAAGACGATGTGACTGACATAGTCCGGATCCCCATCGCGGTACGAGGAGTCAAGACTGCTGTCAAGTTATTGCCTATGAATGACCAAGACAAGCCAGCTCGCCCAGGTGGCTTAGTATCTTTAGCTGGTGACGCCGCCATGCAAGTCCACTTCTGGCCCGGCCGAGGTATGAATAGCGGCATCAAGTCAGCCATAGCGTGGGCCGACGAAGTCGTCCTTCTACTCAACCATAATCAGCTTGTTGGCCTGTCCCCGGCTATGTTTTCATCGTACAATGATTTCCTACAGCGGCTCAAATGCCGTGAGCACGACTATCGAAGTTTGCTGCTCGTGCGCCAGACCGAGAAGTTCACCGAGCAAGACCCGCGGAGCTTGACTGCTGACGGCCGCGGTCTTACGGCCAATCCTCCCGCGCTCGACTTGATAATCAAGCTGAAGGCGACATCCGATCGCCTGCAGAAGAGGAAAGGATGGCAGTTTCCGCCCGTGTACCACTTGGAGCGAAGGACCCATCGTATCCTGTACCAGCTCGGGTATCGCACGAGGATGGAGATGGCTTCCTCGGGGCCGTGGCCAGATATGCCCGGCGATGAGGTCCTGCCTCCGCGGTCTGATACACGGGAGGGAGTAGCATCGGGTAGGGTTAGACGTAGGGCCGGACGAAATCCCCAGAGATCAAGATATCATTGACTGTAGCTACCTGCTTGCTAAACCCAGACTCTTGAGGAAGGGATATAAGTGAGATTTGATAGCTTGTCGTAGAAGAGATTAATTTACATGCTTCTCAATGAATATGTCGCTTTTTTGGCCCGTGAATGCATGCAGTCAGTGGACAATCTTACTGTACTCCAAGGTCCTCCGCAATCCTTAGCCACCCGTCTGAGCTTCACCTGCTGTCTCCTTGATGCCTCCACCCTCATCATTCCTTCCGGTCCTCGAGCTGAGTGTCCTCTGACCCTTGCCCTTTCCGCTGCTCTGTAGTTTCACTCCCTGCCCCATGTTGCGACTGACTGTCCTCGAGGGCGTCCGCCTTCGGCTGCTCTGCCTTCTTCTTCTCCGGCTGCTCTACCTTCTTCTCTTTCGGCTGCTTTACTTTCTTCTCTTCCGGCTGCTCTACTTTCTTTTCCTTCGGCTTCTCTATCTCCTCATCCTTCGGCTCCTCCACCTTCTTCTCTTTCGACTCCTCTACCTTCTTCTCTTTCGGCTGCGCTACCTTCTTCTCCTTCTGGCCTACTTGCCCTTCCTTATCAAGGCTGTCCCCAGCTGGCTTTTTGGCATCCGCTTTCGGTTGCTCTGCCTTTTCTTCCTTTTGGTCTGCTTGCCCGTCCTTATCAGGGCTTCTTGCAGCTGGCTGTTTAGCATCCGCCTTTGGCTGCTCTACCTTCTCCTCCTTCTGGTCTGCTTGCCCCTCCTTTTCAAGGCTTTTTCCAGCTGGCGGTTTGGTATCAGCCTTCTTATGCTCGTCCACAGATGGCGCCTCGTCGGGCTCTTCCTTCTTGGGCTCTGCCTCCCTGGGCTGTTCCTTCTTGGGCTCTTCCTTCTTGGGCTCTGCCTCCCTGGGCTGTTCCTTCTTGGGCTCTGCCTTCTTGGGCTCTTCCTTCTTGGGTAGTTCTGCGGTCTGATTCGCTTTGGCATCTGGAGGCTGGGCTTTCTTGGGTGCTGTCACTTCTGGCTGTCCCGAATTGTCCTCCTCTGGCTCGTCTTCAGCTGAGGCCTTCTCAAATTTCTCTTCCTTTGGTGGAGCTGTGGTCTCTTTTCCTCGCGGTTGCTGTTGCTGAGATTGCGTCTTCTTGGGCTCTTCTTGCTTGGGCTTCTCTGCGCCGTCTCTCTCTTTCCAATTGAGAGGTTGCTTCTTGTCAGCCGCTTGTCCATTCGATTGAGTGGCAGTCTTCTTCTCAGTTTGATTTTGAGAGGGCTGATCCTTTTCGGGCTCTCCCGGCTTCGACTGCTCCCCATTCGTCTTCGATTGTCGACCTTGGGGCCGGGACTCCTCAGCTTGTTTCCCGTTTGACTGCTCTTTCACCCCCTTTCCCTTCAGATCTTCCACCTGATTTTGTCCATCCTCGTCGGACTCTTCGTCCGAATACCATTCCGGAATCAATTCGTTATCCGCCTGACCGTCCTCCTCGTCGTCAAATCCCTTCAGCAGTCGGCGAGCTGCCTCCTTGCCAACTACAGGAAGGCTTTTGACGCCCTTTTCCTTCGCCTTGTTCGGTATCAGGTTTTGGTCTAGCAGACCAGTTTGCATGAGCACACTGGCCTGATCCCAGTAGATATGCTCGTGGTAGACTCGTCCGCCTCTCAGAGTCACGATGTTCACCACCATGACCTCGACTCTCCTGTTCGTCGGCGGCACTCCAGGCAGGATCCAGGGCATCTCCTGCGTGTGCTTGAAGGCAACATGCAGCTCGTCCACGACGCGATCGGCACCAATAGTGCGGGATAGTAGAGTGAGTTTCATAGTAGGGGGGCTACTGTTGATGAAAAACTCGGAGTAAAACCTCCGCAGCTCCTGGGCGCCGATGCCGCCTGTCAAGGTTGGAAAATAGGTCACGTGGGGCGACTTGTGAGCCGTGTAGGTAGACATGGTCTTCCCTATGTCACGAGAATAGAATTTGCCTTTGTCAAGGTAAGCACAACTCCGCGATATGCTGGGCCATCACAACGTTTGTGACTTTCCAACGGAGTACAGGGTATAACTCACTGTCCACGTTCTGCTCGACGACGGCCTCCAAATCTGCATCCCTCCGGAAAGCTCTTCTCACTGCAGTCAGGCTCCTGCTCCAAGCCAGCTCGGCGCAAATCTTGTCGTACTCGTCCAGATCGTGCTCGGCGAAGCCGGGCTCGGCATCATACGTGTAGGCCGGGTAGGCCAGATTGCTCGAGCGACCGGTACCGAGTCCCGGCTCGACCTTCCTCTTGGTCACGCGTCGCTTGCCCTGAATACCCACCAGCTGGCTGTGGCTGACCACGCCGACATCGTCGCCGGCCAGGTGGGCTAGCACCTGGATAGCAGAAGGGAACTTGGCGCGGGGATCCGGGATGCGCGTGGGGTAGTAGGCGACCAGGGAGCACAGCTTGAACTCGGGGTTGTTGTCAAGCACGTGGAAGTGCTCGAGACACGCGCTGGCGGCATCGCCGTACGCGACGATGCCGTATGGCTCACATGGTCCTAGGCCGTTGCCCAGGGATGCCAGCTTGGCGGTGTACTCATTGCCGCCATTCCCTTGGGAGAGGTACTCGACGTTGAAGCCCTCGTCCCGCCACTCGCGGAGGGTGAGGTCGTCGAAGTCGTCGCTCTCGGCTGTGATGTAGATCTTGGGCGGTGAGTGGGGGAAGTCACTGGAGAGGAAGCCCTGCTCGTTGTGACTGGAGGAGCTGTTCTGGGAGACGATGGAGATGTTCCGGTTGCCCCGGTTTGGCACGGCGGCGTCGACGATGCCGGGCAGGCTGATATTCATGGCGAATCGTTCTTGCTCACGACCCCGAAGTTTCACCCTTTACTGGCACTTAAGAAGATGTACACTCTGTCAATTTGGTGTGATGAGAGAAAAGATAACAGTTGGGCATCCGGACATTTGACATCTCGAACCCATGCAAGGAATTGTCGTTCCACGACAGGCATTGGATGGTTTCAAATCAAGGCTCGGTGCTGGGATGACGTCAAGGCTGATCCATGAAAACCTTCCATCAAGGTTCAAAGTCGACTGGGGGTCCGAGTTCCAACCTCCGACTCGACGAGAACACGATAACCACGACGCGGCGATATGAGACTCTCACGTATGTTTCCGTGTACATGGTCTTCAGCGATCTCTATTTTCATAACCTGGCATCGGGGCATTGCTACGACATGCGGACACGGGGTTGTTCAGGACTCGGCCGGGCTGTCTTGGCGGCAGGGTCGCGTCGCCGGACCAAGGGCTCATCCACCCGGGCCGTCAGGAATCGCAACATCTACATCGGGTCCCGATTGATTCATCGGCTCAATAAGTTAGTTGGGTTGCAACGGACTACTTCTCCAGAATGGCTCCACACGGATGACTACATTCAGTGATGCGAGGTGCTTTGGGCACCGTGTAAGTCAACTGCTACCCTATGAAGACCATCATCGACGGTGATCAAAGCCGGCGCCGAGCGGACAACCTCGGTCGCTCTTTTGGGACTATTCAAGTGCCATACAAAGAAATTCACCAAGGAAAGAAGCATCAATGCTTTGTGCTGCTAAATGCTCTGCTTCCGGCGACCGACTGCCCTTTACCATGCCCCGTCTTTTCAAGCAGACATGAATACATCACGGCTAGCCTGTCGTGCGAGCAGAGCCGTTTCGTACTTACGGACACCCCCAGAGTCACACACCACACCGAATCATCAACGACGTCCAGCAACACACAGTGTGACATCGACGCAGCATAACCCCGTTTCCGAGATGGCATCAGATACTCCTCCTAGTTCACCAGGGACGGCACAGGAACCACAGCAGTGTGCCTGTAGGCACTGCAAGTGCACCAACTACGCCCAGGACGACAGGACCACAATGGGGCCCTGCATAGTTTGCGAGCGCGCCGGATTTTGGGGAAACAACGACGTGGCATACTTCTGTGTGTCGACTGCGGGGAGCAGAACCGCCAGAATCCGCGGCGGCATCGCGTACATGGGCCGAGGGAGAGCAGGAAGAGTCGAGGGCGGATACAGGTGTGCTTTCGCGGGGCCAGTCAAGCCCTCGATGCGCAACAACGGACATCTAGTGCCAGCTCAGAAGGAACCGAGCACAGCTGCCGATTCAGAACACTGTATGGAGGAGAAGTCTGTAGCGTCACTTCATGACCGCCGAGACAGAGCGATGCTCAAGTGTACATTCATCTGTGTATGCTACAAAAAGACTGCGTTGGGCGCTCTCTCGTAACCCAACAAGATTTTGATGGTTCACGGCCCTTTATCTCTGCCTCACCTGCGTCAAATATCGCTCTTCACATTAACCGGAACTAGTTGTCGCTCTACTCGATCATTGATAGTTATGGCTGCCCGACGATGTGTTCGTGCAATTACCCAAACGAAATAGTAATATACAGTATTCAAAGGGTTTTCGACGCGCATCCTCCCCTTCAAGTACTGCGCGACTTGTTCTTGGGTGTAGTGTAATGCTGCTTGAAGTCGTATTCGATACTCTGCACCTTCTGCACTCACGTCAGTAAGTAGTACGCACAGCTCAGGTAAACACAAGATGAATTCGCTTACCAGCAAGAACGCCTTCCTTTTCTCAACGTCATGCTCATAACCTCTAACCAGCTCGAAGAACGGATCCGTATCCCTAACCGTCCAGGGGTCTGACTTCGCAACTCGATTCAAGTTTTTGATGCTCCTCTGGTCGACGTACTTGAGGAAGATATCCCGTCGAACCCGTGCATACGTATCCAGAATCTCCTCACCGGCCTTACCCTCGTATAACCCGACCAGGCAATCAGCAAGCCCGTCCACATCCACCACCGCAGTCATGCAGCCATATCCGCCCATTGGATTGCAGATGTGTGCCGCGTCCGCCGCCAGCAGCACGCGGCCTACCCTCATCGACTCCACGCATCGGTTGTGTATCTTGTACATGTTCGTGTCGCCTATTCGGTAGTCGCCTGGATCCGGGTGTCCAGGCAGCATGCGCTTGATGTGCGCTTCTCGCCTCTTGAGGTACTCGTCCTCGGTATAGCCCGGCTTATCCCCCATCGTCACACGCCACATGCCTCCTTTTCCGCGCTTCGCAACCAGACCCCAGGAGCCCGGGTCGACCATGTAGTTCCCGCCGTCCCAACCGTACTTCTCGAAGCCGTCATACCAGATCTGATCGTTATCAGCGTTGCCTCGGCAAGGTGACGGGTGTATTCAACCGGAAAGGGGGGTTTACATTCTGTACGATGAACTGGCAGTCAAACGTCTGACCAGGCCAATCCCTCCCAAACAAAGACTTCCGCACAGTACTCGTGCCCCCATCACACCCAACCACATAATCAGCCTCTATCTTCCTCCGCTCTCTCACCTCCCCGACCTCGATATCTACCCAGGCCTTCCCCCCATCCTGCCCCACGCCCACCACCCGATGCCCAAACCTGACCTCGACCAGCCCCCTGGATTCTTCCACGCAATGCCGATAGATGATCTTAATCATCTCGCCCAGCGGCATGATGGTCATGCGATCGGGATGATCGGCGATGCAGCTCATGTCAAGGTGCGCCAGCTCCGCGTGGTCCGCGACGCGCCGCCAGGTTATCCGCGGGAAGCTCGGGATGCTGGCCTCGCGGATCTCAGCGAGGATGCCGGCGCGCGCGAAGACGCGCGTGGCGGGCACGCCGTATTGCGTCGCGCGCAGGCGCGTGTCGAGGCCCGGCCAGGCTTCGAGGACCAGCGAGGGGATGTTGTGGTGGGAGAGGAGCAGGGCCAGGATGAGCCCCGCGGGGCCGGCGCCTACGATTATAATCTGGACTGTGTGAGCGTGGTCTCATAATGGTAAGGAGTGAGCTTGCCTTCTCGTAGGGCCGTTTGGGCGTAGCGTCCGCGTCCATGGTTGGGTGGGGGTCCAGTGTCTTCGATCAGTGAGAGATGTAGGTCCCTGCTTCAAAGCTCACCCTCCTGGATGCCAAATCTTGAGCTTTGGAGTCATGGGAAGACAACCAGGCCTCATAAGCAAGAGACGTCACTGAGATGGTGCACTTATACAACCATGCTGAGGTGAATTGGGAGCAATGCGTACCCCCCACTGATCGTGACACTACATGCGGAGATTCTACCTGCGAAGCTGATGTCAGCCACCAGGTCGCGCCAGAGGCTTCATATTAGGCAACCTTCCAAAGCACCGAGCGCGAGGATACTGGTGTCCAGAGCCTTTTCGTCACAAGTATCGCTAAGCACTCGAAAATATAATATATACCCTCACGAATGGAGTCCAATACTGATGATTTGAGCACTACGCTGTATGGAACCGTGACTGCCGATGGTCCAGACGGCATAAGACTGATCCATCTGCTTCCGGGTGCGCTCACCGACGAGCTCAGATGCACCCTCGTCGGCGCGGATCTTCCCCCGGACGCCAACAGCAGCAGCCCGCCGCCCTATGAAGCCCTCTCCTACGTCTGGGGCCCGCCGGTCTTCGACGCCATGATTGTCTGCAACGAAGACATCCACTTCAAGATCACCAGCAACCTGCACCGCTCCCTCGTGCGCCTGCGCGCCCTCGACCAGCCCCGCGTTCTCTGGGTCGACCAGATCTGTATCAACCAGGCCAGCAAGCCGGACCGCGCCGCGCAGGTGGCTCGCATGACCCGGATCTACAGCATGTGCCAGAACGCCATCGTGTGACTGGGCGATGTCCCGCTCCAGCTGCAGACTACCCTCATCGAGTTTATCCAGACGCTGGCCAGCGCGCGGAGGCAGCAGCACCGCGACGGGCTGACCGTGAGCGACGGCAACGATGTGCGCAGCGCCTTGCAGCTTTCCCAGATGGACGCCGCGCAGCGGAAGCGGTACGGCCTCCCGGGCTGGCAGGATGCGCGCTGGAAGATGCTGCTGTACATCTACGCGGCCTTCTGGATGCGGCGGACGTGGATCGTGCAGGAGGTGGCGCTCCCGCGCAAAGTAGACGTCATGATCGGCCCTGTTCTCATGGACTGGCAGGGCTTCTCGTCCGTCCTGTTCTACGTGGAGTCCTTGAAGGTCTTCGGGATGGATTTCGGGTCGCTGAGCTCCTGGAAGGCCTTCTTGGCACTCGGGGCCAGAAGGGCGCGTACGCAGAATGGCGAGTTCAGCCCTCTGTCCGAAGTACTGTTTGAGCATCGCCGCGGGAAAGCGACGGATGCGCGAGACCGGGTATTCGGGCTGATGGGGCTAGCGGCCGAGCGAGAAAAGATGTCCCTAGTAGCAGATTACGAGGCCAGTGTTATGAGCGTATTCACGGATGTAACCGTGGACATGTTGCGCCGATCCGGAAATCTCGACATACTTGGTCTTGTCGGGCCGGTCAGGACAGACCGCCCGGAAGGTTTGCCTTCGTGGGTGCCTGATTACGGGAGCCCCCAGGGCCCGCACCCCGTCACCAAGAGAGGCACGATATATACTACAAAGAATCCACAAGTCTCGACCATTTTCGCGGCCAGCGGTCGTCTTCAACCTTTTTTCAGTATCGACGAAAGGCACGCGCTTGTACTACCGGCCGTAATCATCGGCGAAATCGGCGAATTAGCCGGGTGTTGCGTGGGCCAACAAGACGACGACGTGGATGTGCAGCATGGACTTGGCCAGGTTGGTGTGGCCTATGGCTTCCAGCAACTTCCAGATCAGATCGAAACCCGCAACACATCTTTATCATGGGGGAACCTCACACACAAAATTATGGAAACATCTCCAGCCTACTACGAGGCAACGGGCGAGAGTACGCGAGACGCCCTCCTCATGACGGCCTTTGAAGGACAGGGTGATAAAATCACAGACGAAATCCGCGCTCTGTACGGCCTTGAAGGATTTTCTCTCGCGGTGTGGAGGATCCTGACTTTGGGCAGAGGATGCATGTGGCTTCCGGCTGCTATGCCTCTTGCTCTTGCCCAGGGGTTCCTCGTTTTTATCAGCATGCCTTTCTGGAACATGCTTGGATACCCATCAGTTTCGACGGTCAACAACTACACGGAGATGACGAAAGACGCAACCGACCGACGCCTTTTTTGCACTACGACGGATGGCTTGGTCGGGCTCGCACCGCCCGGTTCGGTCCCGGGAGACAATGTCGCCCTCTTGCAGGGCGGCAGGGCTCCGGTGGTTCTGCGTTAGGATGATTTCGATGGCTACTATCGACTGGTGGGTGAGGCGTGCGTGCATGGTGCCTTGTACGGCAACATGTTCGACGCCCAGAAATATACGGTTATCCAGATCAGGTAATCATGGCCTCAAGGATATAAGGGGTTATAAACATCTCCATATCAAGAGGCACTAAAGCAGCAGGGACCAGTATCGAATACCGCTACCAGCTACGTTGGCAGAGTGATGAGGTACGAGACCGTTCAATGTCGTCCAACACGGGAGATGGCGTCAGCATCTTACACTGTGGGATGCTCACCGCGTCCAGGGCCTGGCCGTTGAGACGAAGCTGCAAGTGAAGCTAAGAATCGCTCGAGCGGATGGTCCTCGGACTTGATCATGGACTTAGTATGTATGGGAGGCATTCCTTGATCGTAACACTATATGGATATATGTGCTGCGACTCTTGCGAATACTGGACTAGTATTGGAAGAAACGGGGTTCTTACGACGGCATGCGCATTAGTGACACGAGGAAATTAGTTTACGGTATCATCTGAAGCCCTTTTAAAGCCAGGCGCTTCTCCTCTCACATGTCAAATGGTTGCTTAAGATATCTGAAGAGTCAAGATAAGGCTGCTGCGTCACCATGTGTCGTAGTCTTAGGCTATTCGAAGTATAGTCTGAAGATGCAGCCTGAAATCAACCCGAACAAGGACCGTGGTATCATAACATGCTCGCCATAATCGCATTATACTTCTCTCCGAAAACCTGATCTAAGAGATCGCGTACCCCTCAAGATCATCAAACCCCTTCCGACGCTCGACTTCCCCTTGGAAGGAGTATGCTGAGCAAGATCACTTTCGCACTCATCTGAAGCACTTTGAGAACCGCCCGTCCTCAGAATCCAGCCTACTGTCCGTGGCTCGCCCTTCCCTTCTCGGCGTCGCCATTGACACTGGAGACGTCGTGGGCATCATGACTGTGAGCATCGTGGTCGAGCCCCTTTGCAAAGTTGGCGTTGCCTGTGGCTTCGGCCGCATCGGCATCGTGGCCCACGTCCATATTACGTGCCAGGTGCTCCGGACCTAGCAAGGTCAAGAGGATGACATAAGCGTACACGCAGCCCATGAAGATGCAGATGACGGTGCCATAGTCATATCGCTTAGTGCCGCTCGCGGTCGGTGCCAGGGGAAAGCGCTCGCCAATGGTGGCCTCGATGGTCGAACTGGCCGACGAAACGAGGTTGCCGAGCTGGTAAGCAGTACCGACAACGAATGTGCGGAACGCGCCGGGTGACAATTCCATCAGGTGAACGGGAATCACACCCCAAGCTCCCTGAACACAGAACTGCTGGAAGAAAGCAGCGGCGATGATCCTCTCGTTGGAGACAAATGTGTACGGGTAGAGCAATGCGCCACCGATGATGCACATGACGATGATGCTGATCCTGCGGCCGAAGATCTGCGAGCAGAAGCCCACCACAGTACCTCCCGTCATGGCGCCTAGGTTGGCAACGACTTGGGTGACGGTGACCATGTCAGCGTTGAAGTTGAACTGGTTCTGTAGCAGTGTAGGGTACAGATCCTGGGAGCCGTGGGACATGAAGTTGAAGCCAGCCATGAGAAGGACAAGATAGACGAGCAGAAGCCAATGGCGCTTCAGGGCCACCTGTCCCTCTTTCATGAATGTCTTGTGGACGCCGCCGCTCGCCCGGCGCAACTCTTGATGTGCGATGTAGGTGTTCGTTTCGGGCAAGAAGAAGCGCCAGATTATGAAAATGACTGGAGGGCCTGCGCCGAACCAGAACAGTGGACGCCAGCCGTGAGGGGTGGTATTGACAAGTGCACGGGCGAAAGCCGCAGCGAGCAGGTAACCGAATGCATAGCCCTGCTGGAGCATACCGCTGAGTAGACCTCGAGCTTCATTTGGCAAGTCTTCCAGGGCGGTGGCAGCGGCGTTGCCATATAACCCGCCCATGGCGATACCGAAGAGTGCACGGCATGCGAGAAACTGGCCATAAGTTTGGGTAAACCCGGTTCCCTATAGTTGTCAAGTCAGCCATGAAGCGGGATTTGGTGAACAGGAAATTGACTCAATGAGCAATAAGCCACTCGGTTACTGCTACGACTAGGGTGGGAATGCGAAGCTTTCGCCAATACGGCGCCAAGGTATTTGGGGCCCGTCTGGGCGGCGCCGCTTGGCTCGCAGAAAGCTTAGTGGGTTTGGGGAAAATGTTGGACCTGGAGCCGGAGACGCCACGTGTGCAACGGTTCGACCAGAGGAACTCACCAATTCGAGGACAATGAACAGCACGTTGTTGATAATGAACGGCCACTTGCGTCCGTAGCGATCGGCGGCGATACCGAAGAGGATGGAGCCGACAGACCGCAGCATGAGCACGAGGGTAATGCCCCAGGTAATGTCGGCGATGGACTTGTCGAACGTCTCGGCCAGGTCGTGGGCCGTCAGCGAGACGGTGAAGAAGTCAAAGGCGTCCCATGTCTGTGGCAGCGGATACTGTCAGCGAGCGCACCACGGCCGAGCGGTGCTCGGTTTATATAATATACGTACCCAGCCGAGGAATGCGATGGAGAAGAAGCCCCAGTGGTGGCGATTCAACATGCGAAGCAGCTTGATGGGGTTGGGAGCCTTGGTCATGGCAGGCTTCAGCGAGCTGACGCGCGTGGCCAGGTACCTGCCCGCCGACATGCCATGGTGAGGTGGGTACACGTTGGACTCGTCGGCCAGGTACTCGCCGCTGTGAGGATGGGACATGTGCCCAGCATTGCCATCTGTCGCCATGGTCAAAGGTCAACGGGAGAGGGACAGAGTGTGTGGTGGGTGGTGGAGAAGAAGAAGACGACGACGGCTGCTCGCTCCCCTCCGAGACAACGTCGACCTTTTGAATAATAAAGAGAGCGGGTCCGACCCGGGGAGCTGGGGGTTAGTGGTATGGGGTCGGTAGCTATCCCCGTGATGAATGGCGAGCGGGTGCGGGGATTGACAGGGTAGACGATGCGCCGTGATGGTGATTGGATGAGGCTCGCTAGGTATCGTGAAGTGAAGGACCCGGTCTGGCATGCCAGCTGCACACGTGCAGGTGGTGGCAACGCCGAAGTGACCGAAGCTGAAGTACATATGGGCGTGTGTCTCGAAGTGGACATTGAAGGGTGCTCCCCAGGGTCAACGTGCCACGGGGACCTCGAGCACTCCATCTCGCACAGCAGATTCAGCCCCAACGGCCTTGAATACAGATAATGCTCATCATTCGATACCGACGTACGGTAACCCGCCGCCCGCCCGTTTGCTCTAAAATACTAGAGGCTACCTTATTCATGCGTGGCCTGATGCGTGATGCGTGATGCTAGACCAGAGAGTTGGAGAGTCACTGGAGGACCTGTCAGTCAGAACTTATTAGCGGCACGCTCTGCTTCCCCAGGGGGGCGGGTCGCTGGTCCCGATGTGGGACAACCCCAACCCCGTCAAGTTTCCCCCGCACTTCTCCACACACTATTCAACTAGCAGGTAAGTATCTTATTGTCAAGAAGTTACCGGTAACACTCGCGTCAAGGATACAGCGACAATGTTTGTTGAGAAAGACTGGGTAATGGTAGCATGATGTTCCGTCCTACAGAACATAATGCAGGTACTGTGGGTTCCGTACTACAGAGACTTACCGCAGGTATGTGAGCGAAGCTGGGACTGGCAATCTCTCGAGCAAACTGGAGGTCGTCCAGCGGTATAGGCAGAGTAGGACTTGGAACGGCGCAGAGTTGTTACATTCGACGATGTAGGACGCGCATATGCCAAGCCGTATTGAGTCATTGACTCGCTCAAGCTTGTTCTAAGTCCCTGTGCAGGCGTTCGTCCCCTCGGCGCCAAGGGTCTAGCTGCGACATTGACGGGGCTGGTATACCGGGACTATGCCGACGAGGGCGGAAAGGAACGTTGCAGGCGGCGCCCTCCCATGCCACCAAACTACATGGTAACCATTCTTGTTGTGCGGACTCCGAAGTAAGATCGTCTTTGGTATGTTATTAGGATAGTCTCGAGTCTATAAAAATACAATCTTCCGGTAGGATGAACGGTTCCATGTAAGCAGTGCTAACCAAGCCAGAACCAACGCCATGTGCTAACATACCCAGTTCTCACCCCAATGAAGATCGATTGTGGCAAACCTCGATCAGTTTTGACTACTGAACTGCTGAACTCCCAGCCAATGGTCGACTGCATTCCTAGAAGTAAAAGGTCTGATCCGCTGCCTTGGACATGGCACCAGGCTTCTCGAACCCCAACTCGGTCAGCGATCTCTTCGCCGCCGCGACCATACCCGGCGGTCCACAAATCATGACCTTGGCGTCGGCGCTCGGCCGCGGGAAGCGCTCCGCCATGAGCTCCTTCGTCAAATACCCCGAGCCGTGCGCCCAGCCCTTCGGCGGCTGGTCCAGCAGGTAGTAGACCTTGAGGTTCCGCGGATACCGCCGCGCGAAGGCCTCGAGCTCCGTCCGCAGCAGGATGTCCGCCTCGGTCCGGTTCGCGTAGATGAGGCTGACCTCGGTGGTGTCGCGGTCGTCCTCGCAGATGGCCCGGATCAGCTGGTACATGGGCGTGATGCCCGTGCCGCCCGCCAGCATGCCGATCCTCTTGCACATGTTGCGCTGGTACCGCATCGCGCCCTTGGGCCCGCGGAACTGCACCTCGTCGCCGACCTGCAGGTTTGCTAGGTACCGGCCCGTAAGCAGGCCATCCGGGTAGTACTTGATGACGAGCTCGAGGATGCCACGGTCAGCGTTGTTGGATATGGGCGTGTAGGACCGCTGCACCGTCTTGCCGTCGATATCGGCTTTGATGGAGATGTGCTGGCCGATCGGGAGGCCAAGCACCGTCTGCGGCGTCGGGAGCTGAAACACGAACCGATACGTGTTCGGCGAAATGAGCTCTTTGGTTACCAGAGGCAGATGTTGAAACGTCGCTGCGTCTAGCCAGCCATGTTGATTCAGCGGATTGGGCGTGACCGACTTTGGCAGCTTGACGTGCGGTGGGTAACCGGCGAAGCCCTCGCTCATATGAAGCAGCTTCAGCAGCTTCTTGACCGCCACGGAGCTGGCCGCGCCGAAGACGACTGACGCGACGAGGAAACCCTCCATGAAGCCAAAGCTTTGCCCTTGTGGCCTCGGGCGGCCAAACTTCAGCCAGTCTATGTTGGACATATCGACGGTAGGGAGTGCGAAAAGCCTGTTGTTGCCGGCGCGAGCGGCATAGTATATACCGACAGAACCAAGAGTGAGGGCCGTGAGGTTGGCTACCGTCGACACCCCACGTCGTGGTTCTTTGTTCGCTTCCTGAGGTTGGGCTCTGGCCACAACCCTGACAGGCTTGGGCGCTGCCTTCTTGCCAGCGTTCTTCAGCTTCCCTATGCGGTAGTTTGCCATGATCTCGAAGGCGTCCTCCGAGTGGCCGGCGTTATCGAACGCCTCTGTAGCGTCCGTGCCGGCCGACTCGACGAGCACATCTGCACCGCCGGGATGGTCGCGGATGTACTTGGTGACATCGTACACTGTGAGCGGTGTTAGTGGTATGCCTTGATCGAAGTTTCGGTATCAACTACCTACCTTCGCCATTTATCACCATCCACGCATCGTCAGCTTCCCTGTGGGCAGCAACCTCCTTGGCTGTGAATTCCGGAACCGCTACTGAATCCATTGCGACCGGCTGATTTTGTATGCACATCCACGGTCAACATGTCACGAGAAGTCGCTGTTGTTTTAAAGCGGGCAAGGGGTCTCTAACTTATAAGTGCACAGCGGCTCATGGAGAGAACTTGCACCACGACATTCGAGAGCGGGTCTGTCACTCATGGACTTGCAGATTGGCAGATTGTAGACCTCATGGACCTTGCCTGCTTGCCACCTAGCTCATCCGAGGAGTCGAGATGCCTCGGCTCGCGAAAAGTCCGCGAGTGTTTCACGCCTTCGGCCGCAACGCGGCATGACTTCTAGAAGGACGTGATTTTATCTGGCCCCACGCCGGCGATAAAGGTCCCACTTCGATCTGTTCCTCGGCACCTGGGCATAAAGGGGCTCGACCAATTGACTTCTTCCGGCCTTGTCGTCGTCGTCTCCGATGAAGAAAATTTGCAATCGCATTGTTCAACCGAGGTGGACCATCCCTGGACCCTGCCTGCCTGCGCTGACGTTTCCCATCAGCCCTGCGGCGATCAAGGGTCCCGCTGCCAGCTCAGAGCTGGACAGGCAGATCCGGGTGGCCAACCTTTCTAGAGTAGGGTGGAGCCTCGGAATCGTCTCGAGTCTTACCCACTTTTCGGGCCTTACCGCTGCTAGAACGGTGCCGGAGGTAGTTCCGTTCATCGTTTGGATGTCCTGTTCATCAAAGTTGGCTCACTCGCCATCGTGACTTACCTCGGCAGAGCTATGCGACAATGATGTGGGCCACACGTACACCTCATTTGAAACAGCGGATACCGGATGCTATGAACGCCCGATCAACGATAAGTATCATGCCTGCCCGAGATGGCCGTTACAGGAGAGCCAGCCAGTGTCTCTAGCCAGTGTCTCCTGTCGGCCTTGAAACCATTCATCCATTTCCGTTGTCATGTCTTCAAAGCAGTTCTATCTCCAGGGCGAGGCGCCGTCAACCGCGAGGGAAATCGAAATCCCCAGCGGGACAGACGAGGATGGTTTGCGACACCTCATCGCATCTGAATTTGCCATCGTCGAGTCCAAAGGTACATCAAACCCATATACCATGATAGCCAACTGAACCGCATTGTCTAACGACCATGCAGGTGTGGGATTCGTATCACAGGATGTGGCTCTGACATCGCTCGCCGATGTCCTGGCGGCAGACAGCGGTCCTATAGCCAGCACTATCGACGGAAAGGCAGTCCGCGAGGTTCCCGGTCCAGCCGGCCTACCGTATATCGGGAACTACTTCGAGGTATATCCTGACCATCTCGGCAACCACCAGCGGTTATTCGAGAAATATGGCCCCTTCATCAGGACAACAAACATGGGCAGCGTGGTATATCAGACGAATGACCCGGCCCTCGCCGCAATTGTCTTCGGCGAGAGCGACTTCTTCACAAAGAAGATCATCGACGGCCATCCTCTTCACCCGATCAAAAACCAGGAAGCCGGTGTTTTCCTGGGCGACACCGACACCGAGGAGTGGAGGACCGCCCACAAGTTTCTACCTCCAGCTTTCGGTCCGCGTGCGGGTGAGTCCAGCAAATTTCTCGTTTCTATGCCAATTACGGATATCATGAGAGTCAGAGTTACCTGTTATACTGTATTTGTGGTTTCAGATAATCTCCTTACTTCTATCCTTCTCCCGTCTTCCGTGTGAAGGCAGTTATTGACACGAACTCTTGCAGTGAGGCATTACGCACCGACCATGCAGGCGACCGTCGAGGACTCATTCAAGGTCTTCGACGAGCTGGATGAGAGAGAGGAGGCCTGGAACGTGTACATCTACATGTTGAAGCTAGGCTCTCAAGCCGTTGGCAAGCTGGTTCTGGGAATGGACTTTCATCATTTCACCGCTGTTGACGCACGGTTACATGAGATGGTCCTGCGGATCGCTCAGTCGCTTGAGTTGAACAAGAAGGTCACCTCGATGGGCAGCTGGTACGCGGCCATGCCGTTCGGCGACCCCAAGAAGCTGCGCGAAGCGAGGGTCCGAATCATGGAGATGGTCAACGAGTCGATAGAGAACGCTTCTAAAGGCGTCGAGAGCCTGGAGCTCCAGGAGGCCGCCTTGAAGGCGGAGAACATGGTCGGTAAGTAACTGTACCTCATCCTTGGACAGCTGGTGGCTCGGGAACTGATCAGCGACACCGTCAGACTACGTTCTGCGTGCCACAGATAGCAAGGGTAACAAGCTACCGAAAGAACGCATCATGGAGCCCCTGGTGGTAGCAACAGGCGCAGGCTTCACCACCACCTCGTCCCTGCTCTCCTGGCTTATATATGGCTTGGTGGCTTACCCAGGAATGCAGGAACGGCTCCTGCAGGAGCTGGTCGACAACGGCGTCGACGAGACCACCCAGCTCACAGCAGACCTGACGAACAAGCTCAGTTTCCTCGACAAGTACATCAAGGAGACGCAGCGCCGACACAACCCTTCATACCAGCCCGCACGAACGTCCAAGGTCGACATGATCCTGCCCGGAGGTTACAAGCTGCCGAAGGACAGCATCGTAATCCCCGCCCTGCACCACATCCACATGAACACGAAGCTGTGGGACAACCCGACCGAGTTCAACCCCGACCGCTGGGACACGGAGCGCGTCAAGAACCGGCCTTATGGGAGCTACGTCCCGTTCGCCGCGGGACCGCGCATGTGCATCGGCTTCAACTTCGCGCTGCAGGAGGTCAAGGTCTTTCTGCCGAAGCTGGTTTATCGGTACAAGTTCAGCCTGGCGACGGAAGGCGCCGTCGATTACGATCCCATGTTCCAGCTGATCAGGCCAAATAACCTGTATGTCAGAGCGGAGCGCAGGGTCAAGTGGCCGCCGAGGAGTGATGCATAGAGGGGCGGAATGCTTTGGGGTGTGATAGATATAATGTAATGACTAGACAGCGATTTGATATTGAAGACTCTTCCAGGCTTACATGTATATATTGAACCATCTAAATTGTCGTCCCCGCAGTCCTCCCATCAGTTGACGCGCGCCAAGTGCGTCGTGGTTGCCGCCCTGTAGCACCATCCGAGGACAAAACCAACGAGCGAGCTGACCTCTGGCGGGACATTGCGAAAGTACCGCATGAGACACTCGCTTTATTGTGGTTCAAACTCCATATTTCACTTGAACAGACAATAATTCGGTGTTATTGCTGAATCATAGTATCGTATGAAGGCCGTGGTGTTTTGAAGGAGGGGATGAGTGCAGCAATGATAATCGATATGCGTTGAGTGGCAGTCACCGAGGCCTTCCCAGTGTCCTTCTACGGGCATAAACACATGCTGCTTCACTTACTGGTCATGTATGTGACGAGATTCATATGCAAGTTCGACATAATTGACGGTTGACTCCTTTTCAAATCCATGCCCCGGAAAACTATAAAAACCCTCCCCGGCTGGACATTCCCTCAGTCCTCTTCCTTTCCCTAAAACATTCTCATGTACGTTCGTATCGACCGCTCTTCATATTCGTATTAACCGCTTCAGAATCTAACACCCTCAAGCCGACATGTCTTCAAACAACAACAACAACAACAACAACAACAACGACGACGACGATGGAGGTAACGTGCCTCGTGGCTACACCGGCGTCTCTCCAGGAATGATGGCCAGCCTGTTGTACCCAGCGCCCACGGAACCTTCTGTTGGCTACAACCATGGCGTGGGTGATGTCAGTTCCCACAAGCCTGCCGATGTTCGCCCGTATGGGAGCTCTATTGCACCGCCCAGAGAGGCACCGAAGAAATAGTAAATAGTAGTGTCGAGCACACGGTGGTCTTTCGAGCTATGGGGGAAGGGGGAGGGGTTTACTTTGTATGTCTCTGTTGGCATAGTAGGATATAATACAGCCTCAGACTCTGCCAATTCTTTTTCGCGCCTAACACTTCATTATGCTCGTACTATGCTCAGGGGACCGCGAATGGGGAGGTAGAGGGTGAGGTCATGGTGGGGATCTCGAGTGTAAGCCAGCTGCGTGGCAACCTGGATTTCCTCGAGAAGGGTCTCTTGGACAAAGAGCTTGTCGGGGTGTTGGAGTGCGCGGGAGGGCGGCGAAGGTGGACGTAGATCTGTACCGGCAGCTGCGCTAGGTGTGTACTTACGATATCCATGGGTGCTATTATCCCAGAAGTAGTTGATCCGGCTCTCGAAATTACCTCGAACGTCTCGGCGGTGTTCAAGTTTTTGCAGCAGCTGAAAGGGGAAATATCCATTGCAATAATATGGAATAAAGGGGGTGCGTCCGTATGGGCCCTATCTCCTAACTTTCAGTCCAAGAAGAAACCTCCATAGATTTCCAGTTACCCTGTACGCATGAATTATGCCGCCATCCCACATGTCTCCTAAACACATTCCTACACACTCGTTTTCAAGCCCATGAGCCAGGCATAACCCAAAGGTCAATCAATGCTAGTCCATCATCTCAGCATCTGCATCGCCACCAGAACCATCCATATTCCTGTCTCCAGTTGGACGCAGCTCCTCCGCTACACCGGCATCCGCACGAAAATTGGTGTTCCTGAAAGCGAGGCGAATCTGGTGTCGCTGAAGCGGATCAGCCATCCGAGCATCCAGCGCGCCGTGCTCGGCCCGAACCGCCACAACAAACTCATCGTCCGCTTCCATGAAATTAGGGGACAGCCCGTTGCAGAACTTGGCGTACGACACTGCATCTTTAAGGATCTTGTCGAGGAGGCCGGCATTATCGTTCTCGCAGAAGAGAACGACGTAGAGCTGCATGCGGGGGATGAGGTCGACGAGCGGCACATCGAGATTGTATGACAGGTAGTCCAGAGGAACCTGGCTGAGGTAGCTCTTGACGGCGCCCTTCTCGAGGTCGGTTAGGTCGTCGTAGGTACTCGGCTCGCGGGACGGGATCTTCCATGCGTCGCATTGAGACGGCCCGGTTTGGTGTTGCGCTGTCGATGGTTTGTCCATGGTGCAGACTCCACTATGGTCGATAGCTGGCTGTGCCGATCTCGGGGTAAACGAAATGTTGGGAAGCTGGAAGGTCACGCGGCGTGTAGGCGTGTAGGGTCACGGCTGCGAGCTTGGGAGATGGTAGAGCCGCCTCCTCGTAATGAAGCTTGGTGGGTGTCTGTGTCGTGGGGCTTTTCTGAGCAGGAGATGTACATGATATAGACAATGATGTGTCTACCGTCTTCGAATCCTTGAGTGTGACTGGGGACTCGGACAATGAACTGTGGCGCTTCTTGCTCAGTGAGTCACTGCTGGTCACTTCCGGCGCATGAGAAGCTGCGACCAATTCCACGGATAATGAATCATCTGAAGCATCACGCAAAGCATGGCGATTGACTATGCCAGGCTTGCTATGTCTGTGGGTAAGGCGAGCCCTAGAACCTCCGCGAAGCCCTAGAGAACGGAGCAGACTCAGTCTCTGGCTGTGTCTCTGGCAATACCTGACGGATCTTTGCAATATGCTTCAATCTCGACGCGCGAACATTGTCGAGGCAAGGGATGCAAGTTTTGGTTGAGCGGTTGCGGAAATTGTCAAGGGGCTTGATGATACTGCATTTGGTACATACCTTAGTGGCTGAAGCTTCGAGAGCATAGTTGAGGCGAGCGATTCCATCTTGGCGAAGCTGTCTGCGCTCTGTGTCGGACCTCTCGAGGCACGAATTGCACCGCCTTCTCCATTCCCTTCTATCGAAGTCGTTGATCGACTTTGCTTCGAAGCAATTGCGCATCGTCTGAGGGCACATAATCCTGCACACGATGTCTTGTTTCCGGTCAACGCTACTTTTCGCTCATCTTCGACGAGCGCAACTGCGTATTGACCTGGTAGGGGTCATGATTGTTCCCAGCGTCTGGGCTCCCACCTGATGCTTCCAGGGGCGTGTCCCTCACAATATCGCACCATATTTCCGTGCACCGGCCGACTAGCTCGTCGCTCACACTTATGACTGACTCGGGCGAGATCTGGTGCATGGCAGGGGATGATTCTTCCCAGTCAGCCAGCGGATTATCATCTGCGATAGGTAAATCCACAACAACATTGAAGGCTGGAGTGGACTTGGAGTCCGCGTGCTGTGCTGGGTTTCGGTGGGAAATGTATGTCCCCACGGGCTGTATTGGATTGACAAAGAAGAAATCAACATTCGAGAGCCGAACTGTGGTGCGGGCCTCAACAGCCAGGGCAGATGGGGACGGTGGCTGCCGTGGCATATCGCCTGCAGTCGACATACTGTGATGACTGGTGACGGCGGCGGTGCGGACGTAGAGGGCGCTGATCGGAGTTGCTGGACACGGTCAACGATCACTTGGGTATGTACCTAAAATATACATACCCACCACCCCTGGACGTGAGAACTTGGTGATATAGGCCGCGAAATGCAGCGCTGAATTCAGGATGCTGGGCTGTGAAACTCCATCCGCTGCCTCCGCAATGAAAATGTTGAGAGTCTGGGTCGGTTTGCGTTTACCCCTGATGTCCGTACTTTCATGTATTGTTGCCATTAACTTGATCCTCTCGATGTTCCCGGCCTGGAGGAGCCCGTGCAGAAGCGCCAAGTGCTTGACGGCGTCGTTCCCAGCGTTGTGATAGTGCGAGTGATACTTTCCATGGTCTTTCTCTCCGTAGCCGAGGAGCTTCAGCTATGACCTCACTCCCGTAAGCCTTGAGCCCGCATCGTCGCACACCGACATTATTAAAGTCAGTATGTCGATCCGGTAGGAGAATAAACGGGCCATTGCTGGGAAGTCATGGAACATGGCCTTGCAGTCATTCTCCATGTTGAAGCCTACCAGGACTAGCTGTTCATCCGGATCTTCGATAGCCTTGTATCACCTCGCACATTCGACTTTCGATCTTATCCAGGGGCGCGTATTGCTCCTTGCCGAATAAGAAGCGCTCCCTTTGCCGACTGTGCTTGCGCTGCACGATCTCCCGTATCTGCTCTAGATAACTCTCCTTGATCTCGATGGACGATTCGTTGACGTGAAACCGACTGGCAAAGTCGTCCAGCTCCGGTGCATCATTACAATAACCCTTGACCGAGTCAAACGCTTTCCCTGCGCATGCTAGGCCTACCTCGGTAGCCGCGTCGGTGGTCCTCACGAACTCGCAGTCGAATGCGATGACTCTCAGGCTATATTTGATGTCACTAAGCTCTTGCAAAGAGCGAAGCGTCTTCCAGTTTGCGTTGGAATCCATGTTGCTCGTTCTGCGGTATCGTTGACGGGGGACCTGACTGGGAAGTTCACTCACAGAGATTCATGAGTATTGTCATCCAAGTGCTTTGCCAAGATTTGTAAGAGAAGCATGTTGGCTTGTAACTCGTTTCTGTGTGGTTCTATCATGTAGGGAGAGCTTTGCTGGGTAAGGTATGTGAAAATGGGGACCTTAGATAGGTGGATAGGGGGTTGTTCAGTGGATAGGGATAGCGGTAGCAACAGTGAATAAGGAGGATGAATAGGGATAGCAGCACAAGGAGCAACGGGGGCTTCAAGGGTTGGTACAGTAGTCGTTTCCGGGGATAAATCCTCGATATTATATTCAGCGTACCAAATTTAAATAAAATCGTATTAAACTAAGTATTATAACTAATTATATAATTAATCTTCCTTTATTATCGTATATGCTTAATAATTACGAAAGTAAAGCTTAAAGTTATAAAACCGTTAGTTAAATTAAAAAGATTATAAAAACAATATAACTACCTTATATAAATCCGTAATCTTTTTACTATTTCATTCTTTCCATTAAACGAAATCAATAACTACCTTGAAAACGGGTACTACATTTATCTAATATCTTCCCGTAATTTTTTTACGTAATAAAGAGATTGATGAGTAAAAAACATCATTAGTAAAGGAAAAACCGTTCATTTTAAATGTTTTTCGTCGTTATATTATCAATATACTATAATTGTATTTATGTGGGAACAGGCTTGAACGATCAATCATAATACTTGAGTATGGGGTCAAGGTCATGATGTTGCTGATGGTTGGATTGGGAGGTCTCGCTGGACCTGCAGGTCTAGCTGGGTGACCTCACAATCTGGTATCTAATCTCTTATCTAATCATACATGTGGGTTCTGTATGGATGATTTGAATGTGGAATCACATGGATCCATCAATTTATATATATACGCATATATTACATAAGAATATATTTATATTTATATTAATTCATTTGTACGATAATAAAGCCTTTAAGTTCTTAAATACAAATCTAATAAACTGTTGATTTAATATATCAGATATATTATACTTTATAAATATATATATCATATATGCCTTTTTTCGTTTATTTTCTTCCTATAATTTAATAAGTAATACTTATATATTTAAATTTCTTATGAAAATTTGAGTTTTGATTATTTTTTTAAATATTTCTATTATTTGCTAAAAATGATAATATTAACTTAAAATATCTCAAAATTTGAACTGTTATTTAAATAAATAATGAAATAATCTGAAGATAATTTTTTTTTAAATGTTCAAAAAGTTATATACTTTAATTTATCACTATTTAAAGCTACAACCTTTTAAAGCTATGAATATCAACTTATAACGTTATTTATACTAATATTTATGTAAATATTAAATATAAAACCAGTAATAAATCGTTTACTATTAAAATTTCTTGTTTATTTAATCTTCAAATATGGTTTGATTTTTAAATCTTTATAAAAAGAAGAAACCCGCTTATCAAATATTAAAATACATAGTTATAAACTAAAATAAAAAGCTTAAATTTTTTTCTTCTAAATAAAATATAATGTGGATGACAAGCGAGTGGCAGTTACAAGCAAACAGCAACTTTTCACCAACCTTCTAACCAACATGTCAAATGACTTGACCACAACGCATTTAATTTAATTTAATCAATTGGATTCTTTTTCTTCAGACGTTTCTATCTCTATTGTACAAGTTTGCGCATTATGGCCAGTGTTGCCGCAAACGCCACAACATTGCTCACGCGCTGCCGCCCTCCTCGGACGACGATTACCTTTATTTATTTCCTGTCTTGCCAGCTCATTACCATCCTTTACAGTCTGGAGACCTACTGTATCTTTAACAGAAAGTACTCCTCCTTTCACTAGACGTTTGTTTTTTTTCCTCCGGGTTTTACTTAGTAGGTGATTGGCCTCCTCTAGCTCGCGGACCCGGGAATCAACCAAAGCGACCTTGTGCATAAGACCGTATGTAGCCTTTAAAAATGAGCTCAACGCATCAATTATTGATGTAGGTGAGCTTCCCTGGTGGTTTCTAACTCGATTTTAGATATAAACCAACTCGTTTACCGCTTCATTGGTGGTAGGTGTCTTTGAAGTCCAAGTAGTGGGTGGCAGATTGGGGTCTGGCAACGGTGTTCATATCTTGGATACCATATTTTGCGACTGCCCGGAACCACGCGCAATACGCCTCTGGATCTTCGTTCAAGACCCTCTGGTAGTCTATCCTCCGATGAAAACGCGTCCGGAGGCCTGGTGTGCGTTTAATGAAGTTCCGCATCCAGTTTTTTCTAACGCATCCATCCCCACACTCTGCCAACAATTGACTCGCCATATCTTCAACATAACTGTGCCGAGGTGGAAATGCTCGCGCATCAAGGTCAAGAATGAAGGAAAGAATGGCATTCTCTTCGGAAACCGTAAGTCTCAAAGTATTGGGCATGCTATCGTGTCGTGATGGTCGGCCAGCGATTCTAGCCTTCAAGGTATTATATGGGACATGGAAAGTCTTAGAAAGCTTGCTAATAGTAATATGAGGGCCGCGTCACTTAGCTTGGACAGCAAGCTGTAAGTCTGATTTGCTATAACGCAATGCCATTATTGTTGGTTGATCAATTAGGAGCCTTGATTGAAAGGTTAGGTGGCTGGTGAAAAGTTGCCGCTCGCTTGTAATTGCCGCTCGCTTGTCATCCACGTTAAGATATTTTTAGTTATTTAATTTGTTTTAATTTTTAATTGTATGTAATATAGTTATAACGCTGTAACAGCGCGTACGGCTTATAATTACCACTTTGAATTAATTTTAATTAAGCCGACGTTGATAAAAGAACTATTTTTAATCAGAAAAATACATCTTAATAATACAGTTCGTTTTATATAAATATCGTTTAAATACATTTATAAGTTCAAATATTATAAAAGAAAAAGTCGATTTGAACGGGGCGAAATCTACTGTATAATTAGTCGGTAAAAACGTAATGTTATTAATATTTCAAGGAAGACTTAATAAATCTACTAACTCTTGTCTTACTCGCAGGCTGTACAACCCGACTCGTGTGAGTATCAAGGAAGAGGCACTTGGTACACTTGTTACCAACGCCGCGAGCGGGATCGAACCTATTGAAGCACTCCCAATTCCTGAGGCTACCATTTCGTTCACGGCCAGGAATAAAATTCTTCACCTGCTTGGTGACGTCCTCTTAACTTTACTACCAGTGATTGCCAGGTGCCGTTGGTGCCCGGAGTGCCCAGAGTGCCACGGTGCGTTGAGACTAGCCCTCAAGCCTCTCAACAGCTTCCAAGCCTTTCTGGCACTAGCTCCTCGTTTCAGGCTGGAGTGTCAACTTACAATCTGAAGAGCGAGGTTCTCCGGGGTCACGGTCTGAACGCGAAGCCAAAGAGGACCAAAGCAGAGCAACGGGAACACCCCCCACCTAGCAGATCTATCTTGGCCTCAGAAAGCAACAATACAAAGCATCATTGATGGGTATAGTCAACATTCCAACCGAACAAGGTTCCAACCAAAGGATCCATCATAGTACCTGAGCTCCGGGATCAGCACCAGTGGTCGTCGTGTCTCGGCCACCGGACCAGTCGAATGCAATCGTATCATCGTAATCCTCGTCGATCATCGGTCCAGCAGTTGCCTTCAATCCTCGCCATCCTGCTTCTGCTTTTTTGGGGCATGTTCAGCGTCGGCGGGGTCCGTGGTAGGCACACTCGGCAGCTGGCTAGCCTTGGCCTCGGCCTCGGCAGTCTGTTCTTCGGCAGCTTTCTTCTGCTCGGTAGATGTCTCACTGCTGGGAGGGAAAAAGCGACTGTGCAGAAGGACAAGGTTAGAACAGGACAAGGACGAAGAGAGTATACTACATCTAAGAAGGGGCTGGAGGGAGACCCACGGTAGGACATGGTTGTAAGCGTTGACGTCCTTATCCTCGAACGTGACAAAGATGACCTTGTCGAGCTTCTGGCCGTCGTGGCCATCCAGAAACTTCTGGACGGTGTCGCAGGCAATAACGGCAGCATCCATGCTCGGATAGCCGTAGATGCCTGTGCTGATGCCACTAAAGGCGATGCTCTTCAGGCCGTTCTCCACAGCCAGTTGTAGACTGGACTTGTAGCAGCCGCGGAGGGCGGTCTCGCTCCGGGAGGGGTGAATGTCGTCGTAGACGGGCCCGACAGTGTGTATGACCTTGTTGCATGGCAGTTCGTATGCGTCGGTAATCTTGGACGAGCCAGTGGCACAACCATCCAGGGTGCGACACTCGGCCAGCAGTCTCGGGCCGGCGGCGCGGTGGATGGCACCGTCAACACCACCGCCTCCGAGGAGGGACCTGTTGGCGGCGTTGACAATGGCGCCGACGGACAGGGATGTGATGTCGCCGCGGATCAAGCCGATCCGATCGTTGTGAGACGGGTTCGCGTCGGTGGTGGGACCGAGTTTCGAAGGATGAAGCTTCTTCAGCTTGTAGAGCAAGCTGAGGGAGGGCACGTCGCTGGCTGATGTCGGGGCCATTCTGGCGGCGGCGCGAAACATACGGCTGCCGGGCTCCACGGCGGCTGAAAGCTGGGGCTGACGGCAGAGACGTCTATTGTTCTTGTAATAGTCTGGGCGGGGTAAATGTCACGACGATGGGAGCAGGTTGTCGCCCGGCTCGTGTTTGAGAGGGACAGCTGGAGGAGAGGGAGAGACGGGAGAGAGAGAGAACCAAAGCTCCAGCTCCGTTGGAGCATACCTAGGTGACGTCAAAGTACCGGTACTGCTGCAGGTGGTGGGTAAGGTACCTGGGTACATTTAGGTAGGTACTTAGATTGAAAGGATCCACCATTGTGGCTCCTCAACCCATTTTCCAGCCACAATGACGGATGGGTCACGAACCAGGGTACAAGGTACCTTGGAGCCCAACTGGTACCCGTTTGTACCAGATTCGTACCCAACTGGGATGATAGCTACTTCTGGGATGGGGACACCACCCATCCCTTCTTTCAATCAAGCAACTTCCAGAATACAGACCAATAGCCACCATTCGTGACCCTGGTCCTTATTCTGGATACCGCTACCACAAGGCACACCATCGCCTTATCATAAAGCCCGTTTAAATGCATATGAAGAGCACGTATGCCTTTATAATAGCGGCATTAGAACGTTGATTAGTTATAAGTCTAGTTATAACTAGTTTCTATTTTAATAAGTGTTTAATTAAGTTTTATCAGATTTCAAAGGGTTGACAAGCCTGTGGTCTTGAGCGGTAGCTGCAATCGTTGTTATCATTTCTCAGCTATCCCAATTGATTGGTATCTACACCTATTTGTACAGCTCCGGAGATGCAAGAGACGATCCTCTGGCCCACCTTTTTCTGAGTCAACGTATAATTCATGGTGCTAGTCATAGCAGCCTCCTTGTCTAGCCACCTGACTAGCCAGCAAGCCTAAGGACATACACACCTGGAGATCCCTTAAATCTGACAAGTCTTTAAAAAATTCTTATTTAAAATATATTTAAATACTTAAATTAAATAAGTTAATACTTATCATTTAAAATAGTTATTTTAAATAACTTTATTAAAAAGCTTATTGAAAAATAATAAATACGATAAGATATTAATAGTTAATTTAGAAGTTAAGATTATATATCGCAAACGATAAAGTAAGAAAACTTTACGACATTTATAAAGTTTTTAACTTAATACACGGAAAATCAAAGCGAAGTTTTAATTTTAAATTTTAAACTTGATTATTAAATGAATTATTATAATTATGTCACGGCGCTGGACCCTACCTATGGGCAGGAAGTGGAGGGACCCCGGGCGCCAGCTGTCGGCGGCCCGGGTGGACCAATGTGGACCTGAATACTGATGATATCTTTATTGTTCCTGCCCGAACCTGAATTGTAGCTCTTTGAACTATGTCCTGTCAATAGAGTTACCTGTAACCCTGCCAGAATCGTAGAGAATAGACTGTCATACGATCGCCTATACTGCCCGTACTGGAGCTCGTGACATTACGTAGCTCCTACCCTATAAGCGCCGTATCTACCGTGAGAATGTCCCAGGAGCGGCCTGAACCGCCTTCGGGAGCGGACTCTCCAGAAGAGCTCGTTGCCCACGTTACTAACAACCCGTCCGACTGGCTATTATACTTGTGCCATATCAATGGCTACGTTGTTGCCTTGAAAGAAAAGAACGATTTCTTTTGCCTCGCCGAATCTGACCATGATAACTCCTTCCAGTCCCTCTGATCGACTATTGCCAAGCAAGAGGGAATTATTGAATACCAAAAGCAACAGCACTAAGAAGATACTGCCCTTCTCCAGAAAGAAATTACCTATCTCGAGGTTAAGAAACTCCGCCTGCTCGACGCCGCCACGCCTGCTATACAGACTCCCCGACCCGTCTCTGCCGCTACCCCGAGTCCCCCGGCTGAGCAGCCTGCAGATTCTGTACCGGGATCAACTGTGCTTGCTCTTCCTGTCCATTCTGGATCTTCCCATCTCAGTGAAAAGATCCTTGACCTAAAAGAATTTGATGGCTCTCGAAGCGACCTTCGCCGGTTCACACAACAGATCTATGGCAAGATAACCGCCAACGCTGACCGATTCCCGACCGTTACTGCCCGGCTGACCTATGTTGCTGGACGTCTGACCGGGAAAGCCTACGAATTGATCCTGCCGAAGACCCGCTACGGAGTTCCCAACTTCCTCGATTACCTGGAAATGCTTGCCTACCTAGAGAACGCCTTTGGAGACCCTGACCGTATTCAGAATGCCCAGAATAAGCTATACCAGCTGAAGCAGAGGAACCAGGACTTCAGCACCTTTTTCTCCGAATTTTAATACCTGGCCCTAGAAAGAGAGATGCCTGAGGACGCCCTGACCCCATTGTTGTTCCAAGGCATATCTTGCGAACTTCAGGATATGCTCCTACACAGCCTGACCCCGTCCCGGAGATACAAAGACTACGCCAACCACCTGTAAGCCTTGGATAACCGCTTCCGCCAATACCAACAGCAAGTCTCCCGGAACCGTGTCGTCACTTCTGCCAAAACCCCTGCCAGTTATGCTGCCGCTGTTGTCCCCTGCCAACCCGCTGCCACGAGCCCGGACCAGCCCAAGAGAGAATGGAGAGCGCCCCGACCTGCTTTGCCCGTCGCCAACGGAGGAAAGCCTCTGGACTTGAGCTCTCAGAGAAGATTCGCCCCCGGTGGAAGGAAAGAGCACAGAGAATGCTTCCGCTGCGGTTCTAAGGATCATTGCATCGCTACCTGCCTCGAACCTGATACTTGCCCCTCGTCCCAATTTCGTCAATTCCGTGCCAGCTATGTCCACCGTTCCGATAGCCCTGATTCTGTCTGATCTGTCAGCCCGCCTCGCAGCCCGTCGAGCTCGACAAATGGAGTGAGTCTGAGTTAAGTCGCACCCAGGCTCCGAAGAAGGAGCGCCGCCTAAGAACCGCTGCCAGCGTCCGACTATCTGCTGCCGCCGCCAAGGGAGTCTTTGTCCAAGAAGAAACGGATCAGAGGTCCCATTTAATGATTCTACCTGTTACCCTGGAGTTGGGAAGCAAGACGCTCCCGACTTACGCCATGACCGATACCGGAGCCGAAGGAAAAGGCTTCGTAAACCAGAGCTGGGCCGCGAGCCACGAGCTACCCCTAAAGAAACTAAAGAAACCATTCAGATTAAAAGTGTTCGATGGAAAAGATGCCGAGAGTGGAATGATCACCCACTATATCGAGACCCGACTGAGAACTGAAGACCATTGCGAAAAGATCAAGCTCTTTGTGACCCAACTGGCTCATTACCCCGTTATTCTAGGAATGTCATGGCTAAAGAAGCACGACCCAAAGATTGGATTTGCGAGCCATACCTTCACTTTTGACAGCGAATACTGCCGGAAACACTGCAATACTCCTGCCCGCCCGATGAAGATCCGAGCATTGCATGACGTCCCTGCCAAGGCCCAACCGCACAACTTGCTTCCCCGACCGCCTGAGCTGCAGCATTTGGATATTGCCCGAGTATCGTTGAGAGCCTGTATAATGTATAGCCGAAGGAACTGCCAGCTCTTTACTGTCACGATCGATGATATCAACCGGTACCTACAGAATGCCAGCCCGCCGGAGCCCCGAGACCTGCTACCCGAGGAACTGGAGGATTATGCCGACGTCTTTTCACCCAAGGAAGCCAAAAGACTCCCCTTGCACCGGGATTATGATCACGATATCCGCCTGCAGGATGGCAAGACGCCCCCATTTGGACCACTGTACCCCATGTCCCGCAACGAGCTGTTCGCATTGAAAGAATGGCTGGAAGAGAATCTGCGCAAGGGGTTCGTCCGTCCCAGCTCGTCGCCTGCCGCCTCCCCGGTCCTATTTGTTAAAAAGGCTGATAGAAGCCTCCGTTTCTGTGTCGACTACCGAGGACTGAACAACATCTCTGTTAAGGACTGATATCCGTTGCCCTTAACCAAGGAATCTCTGAACAACCTGAAAGGAATGAAGTACTTCACGAAGATCGATATCATGTCTGCTTTCAACAATATCCGCATGAAGAAAGGACAAGAGTACCTGACCGCGTTCCGTACCCGCTTTGGCCTGTACGAGTCCCTAGTGATGCCCTTTGGACTGACTGGGGCCCCCGCAACCTTCCAAAGTTTCATGAACGATACCTTGCGAGAGTACCTGGATGTATTTTGCACTGCTTATCTGGACGATATCCTGATCTACAGCCGTACCCGAGAAGAGCACCTGAAACACGTCCGCCAGGTATTAGAGTCCCTGAGACAGGCCGGCCTATACGCCAAGATCCAGAAGTGCGAATTCTTCAAGGATGAGACCACCTTTTTGGGTGTAATTGTCAGGAAGAATGGGATTCGCATGGACCCCAAGAAGATTGAGACCATTCAGAACTGGCAATCCCCGTCCTGCCTGACAGATATCCAAGCGTTTATCGGATTCAGCAACTTTTACCAACGCTTCGTGAAGGATTTCTCAAAGATCATCGCCCCAATGGTAGCCCTGACGAGAAAAGGGATGCATTTCCACTAGAACCCGGCCTGCTAGACTGCCTTTGACCGTCTGAAGCACGCTTTTACCACAGCGCCTGTCCTGGCCCCATTCGATTGGGAAAAAGAGATCATCATAGAGACCGACGCGTCTGATTACGTGTCCGCCGGAGTGTTGTCCCAGTATGGGGACAATGGAATCCTGAAGCCAGTAGCTTTCTTTTTAAAAAAACACTTGATGACGGAGTGTAATTACGAAATTTACGACAAGGAACTGCTGGCGATTATCCGCTGCTTCGAAGAATGGAGACCCGAGCTGGAGGGGACAAGTTCCCCGATTAAGGTTATTACCGACCACCGGAACCTAGAGTATTTCATGACAACAAAGTTACTAAACCGCTGTCAAGCCAGATGGTCCGAATTCCTGTCCTATTTTAACTTCAAGATTGTCTACTGCCCCGGAAAGCAAGGAGCGAAGCCGGATACTCTGACCAGGAGGTCAGAGAACCTGCCTAAAGAGGGGGATGAACGCCTGTTGTACCAGAGTCAGGTAGTGCTGAAAAGAGCCAACCTTGACGATTTCTTACCTATAGATAGGAAACCGGAAGACCAGCCCGTCGAGTTGCCGCCAACTCCAGCACAGACTCCTGAGGTTCCTGAACCAGTGCCTGCTGCCCCAGAACCCGTGCCGGGACCAGCCCGCCCCGCCAAGCGAGTACGATTCGTAGACCCGATCCTGAAGCTGTACCCGATCACTCGCAGCCAGCTCCGTGGACCTGGAGCTCCAGACCACCGACCACAGCCCGATTTGGAACCACCACGGCCTGCACTGCCCGTCGAGAGAACTGCACCGCTGCTACCTCCCCAGATCCAGGACCTTTTCAACCAAGGATACGCCACAGACAAAGAACTACAGTCGATCGTCCAAGCCCTGAAGAAGAAGGAGTCTCGCCACCGCAAGATATCACTGGCCGAGTGCGAACTGTCCGGAGAACACTTGTATTACTATGAATGCTTGTATGTCCCTGCGAACGAAAGGCTGCACGCCGAGCTCTTACGCCTGTACCACGCTAGCCCTGTCGCCGGCCATATGGGTCGAGCCCGTACATACGAAAAACTGTCCCGAGAATACTACTGGCCTGGTATATTGTCTTATATCGAACGATGGGTTTGCAACTGCCATACCTGCAAGAGGACTACCGCCTCGAGAGAAGCCCGTCAAGGAGTCCTGAGACCCCTCCTGATTCCCCAGAGAGCCTGGCAAGATATTTTGATGGACTTCATTACGCACCTGCCCGACAGCTACGGCTACGACGCAATCCTGGTAGTCGTCGACCGCCTGACCAAGATGAAGCACTTCATCCACTGTAAAGGAACCTGCGATTCTTGAGAAGTCGCCCGCCTATATATTAAGTATGTCTAGAAACTGCACGGCCTGCCCAGAACCATCGTATCTGACCGAGGACCCCAGTTCGTATCCGATTTCTGGAAGCACCTGACCAAACGCCTGGGAATCACCGCACTGCTGTCGACCGCCTACCACACCGAGACCGATGGGCAGACCGAGATCGCCAATTCCTTCCTGGAACAGTACCTGCGGGGCCACGTATCATACCTTCAAGACAACTGGGTACGCTGGCTACCGTTAGCCGAATTCGCGATCAACAACGCACTGAACGAAAGCCTGAAAACCACGCCCTTTTTTGCAAATTATGGATATCACCCCCGTTTCGGATTCGAACCTGCGTTATCCGGACGCCGCGTTGCCGCCAAGGATGCTGAGGGGGTCTCCCTGAAGATGGCCACTGTATACGAGTACCTGAAGTCTGAGATCTGCATCGCCCAAGCCCGCCACGAGGAGTATGCCAACCGGAAACGCCGACCTGTCCGCAGATTCTACTTCGGTCAGAAGGTCTGGCTAGACACAAGGAACATCAAGACTGCCCGCCCCCAAAAGAAGCTGTACTAGAAGAACCTGGGCCCATAGGAAATAACTAAGGTTATTAACCCGTACGCCTACCGCCTGGAGCTACCTGCGTCCATGAGAATATATCCTGTCTTTTATGTAAACCTGTTGCGACCTGATTCCGCCGACCCCCAGCCTGGACAACAGTAAGAACCGCCGCCCCTCGTCAAAGTAAACGGCCTGTAAGAATGGACTATAGAGGAGATACTTGATTCCCACTGGGATCGCTGAGGACATGGAGGAAAGCCTAACCTGAAGTATACTGTTAAGTGGGAAGGATATAACGAGCCCACGGAGTCCTCTGCTGCCTGGCTTGAGAATGTACAGGAGGTTGTTAACAACTTCCATCACCAGTACCCGAACAAGCCCAGACCTGGACCTCTGCTATGAGGATAAACTGGAAGCCTGTGAACCTGTTAGGCGCGTCGTCAGAGCTCCGCCTGGAGAGGGGAGTACTGTCACGGCGCTGGACCCTGCCTATGGGCAGGAAGTGGAGGGACCCCGGGCGCCAGTTGTCAGCGGCTCAGGTGGACCAATGTGGACCTAAGAACTGACGATATCTTTACTGTTCCTGCCTGAACCTGAATTGTAGCTCTTTGAGCTACATCCTGTCAATAGAGTTACCTGTAACCCTGCCAGAACCGTAGAGAATAGACTGTCATACGATCGCCTATACTGCCCGTACCAGAGCTCGTGACAAATTATAATTATATAACTATAAAGCTAAATACTTTGAATTTAAATAACGTAGAATTTACATTTTATAAAAAGGTTTATTAAAATGTTGGATCAAATATTGAAAAATTATTTAAATAATTGATTAATATCATAATACTCGAGTATTGGGTCAAGGTCATGATGTTG